CGCCTGCTGTACGCACGCAGTCTCCCTGGGTACGATGTTACTAGGGTAGACTTTCGATCCACGTCATGACTGCAGCTTGAATGGAGGCGCAGCTCGACCGGGCAATATGGAATCTGCGGAAGTTGACGACAACAGCCGAGCTAACGCTTCAAGCGGCGGTCTGGCGGTAGCCCATTTGAAAATTCGGACACTCGGGTGCAGGTGGGACTCGCCGCGTTGTTGCGGCCCAGCCTTCGTATGACTGCTGAACACGAAGGCCATGTGTCTACGGGCTGCAGGGGGGTAGTGGTAGTGGTCGACATCTCACCCAAGCGTGCCCTGTCCTTAGGGACAGACAACAAGAAGATGATGAGGCGGTAGGACGGGCATTATCCTCGTAAGTTCAAAGGTATCCAATTCAAGCGTTTGCGTGTGTCTCGGGCCTAAGGGTCCTTCTGACGAGATGCCGTCTATCCCTGGTGGCATTCGAGAATGTGCATCGGACGAAAGACGTTGTCTGGATGCATTTGGGGAGTCAGGCCCAAACATGCCAAAGCATCAGTCCGCTACGACGCAACTCTGCTCGCAAGAGGAACGAACAACAGATGAATCGTGTTCAGGCTTGGGGAAGGATTGCCGCGCTGATGGCTACCTACCGGCTTTGATGATGCAATAGCAGTCAAGTTTCAGACTGAGCTGGTGCACAGCTGCCTTGATACACATTTCTCATGCGGCTGCATCTCACCCACATGGCTGACCAGTGTGGATGGATAGCCGGAGAGGGAACCAGGTGCATGGCTGAGATTGGTATCAAAGTAGGATCGAAGTAAAGCCAAAGATGAGGGCGGGGATGGAAGGACGGATGCCCGGTCAGCCCGGTACCCCAAACACGGCTGCAATGTATCCAGGCGGCATGTAGAGAATAACCTGAAAAGGCGAGGTTATCTCTCAATGTCTAGTCTTTGCCGTGTCCAGTGTTTTGGCATGTCTTGGGTCTAGATCTTGTTTGGAGGGTGATGGGTGACAGTAGGTGGCTGATCGGGCCTTATCGTCTGTGAGACCAAGGCTAAGGTTCCTGGGCGCGGATGGAACCTCGTATGGAACTTGGGGGATTGGACGGGTGGGATGGCTTGATGAGGGGGCGAAACGCGTAATGGACAGGCTGAGGAATGGAATTCCCCCTCCGACAGCACCACAACCTCCGGCATTTTTCTGCCACTTCCCCCTCCCCCTCCTTCTCCATCCAACAAGTTTCCCAGCGTGTTAGCACAGGAACTGGACAACCGGCAGCGTCGATGTGGGGGTACGTACTCCAGGCACCAGGAACGTTTCCTGGTGGTGTGTGAATCTAAAGCGTGAGGTGGGAGGTGGACCACAACGAAACACCAGTAAATAGTACGGTGGAATGTAAGGTAGGCCTTTCACTTGCTTTTCTTGCTTTACCTTGCTCTCCGCTGGACCAGTCATATCAGCCGGGCAGTTGTGTTTCCAGACAGGCCGACAACATGGCGGGACTAGAGAAGTTTTTTTTTTCTTTCTTTTTAGTACCAGCATCTTCTGATCGTGGAGACCCCGGTCACTTATCCTAGGTCTAGGTAGCTAGCTGGTCGTTCCATCGACTCGTCACCTGTCATTCATGGAAGGGCCGGCAATTGAAGCCAGGATGAGACGAGACTGGACATACAACTGTATCCCATGTTGAAGTAGACAAAATACATTGAGCGTCGTAAGTCACTAGTTTGAGTGAGTTTGACCTTCGTTGGGGCGTCGGTTTGGTTTGGCGATGCGCGGGAAGGAGTGGTGATCGGAAAGGCAGGAATGGAAGGTACCTTCTCTATCCGCCGAGTACGACTTTCACTTTACACTACATGCCTATGCCTGTCATGACAGGCCACGGCCTTACTGCTTTTGATGATGGATGGAGTGGCCGCCACACACCATCTCGCCGTTCCCGCACCTGCTCGCGCCAGTCACACATCACTTTCAAAGTCGGCTGTACCTTCGTTGGTCGGTTTGCTACCTCGTATAGATACCCAAGGCCTCCCGCCACGCTTTTACTGATTTTTTTTGGGCATTTTTGGAAGTTTCCCTCTTTTTTTTTTTTTGCTTTCGGTTTTGATTCACCAGCAAAAATAAAAAAAAACGAAGGTCGTCTTACATATTATCCACGCGCATGGAATAGTCAAAGTCAGTCACTCACACATCATACCCTACTTACACACCTCTGCCAGAGCACGCGGGACAGCGTCAAAACCACAACCTCCCGCTCCTGTCTCTCCTGTTAATTCCCTTTCCTTATCTTCATGTCCCTGCAGTCTGTCTCTTCTGTGGCCGCCGCGTGTTCTCCCTCGTCCCTTATCGCCCATGGTTTATCAGCGCGTTTCGGTTTTGGACACTACTGACGCCGCCAAATTTACCAGAACACGCCATAAAAACTAAATAAAATAAAACTTTGACGAAGAGCTTCCTTTGGGCTTGGACCCAACCGGCGGTTGACGACTACCACGACTAGGGTCATCAAATAAGGCCGCAGCAGCTAGGGATAGGATACAACAAGGTGCGCACAGAAGGAGGAATTTCTTTTCGCCCCGTCCGTCATCTGCAAGCTGCGGACGCCAGCAGCACCAGGACGTGCGACGGTGCTGTGTGCTTCGCGGCGACGTGGGATGAAAGACAATTGATCCAGTTGTTGCCCTTTGATTGAATGTAAGTTTGGCTAACACTGGGGAGACGTCTGAATAGGCAATCACAACCCGCAAGTGCCATTCGGTCCATATTATTCAATTCCACATCATACCTTACACCCATACTCAAGACGACGCCAAGCTCCGAAAGGGCTGCGACCAGCAAATCAGAGACAAGTTGAAAGGGGAAGGCAGAAGGCCAGGTACTATTTTGAAAAAGCTCTACCGCGCGAGGCTCTGAAACACAAGATTGCCGTGGCTTGACGTCAGCAGCTTCCCTATCGACAAACCGACGCGACAGGGGGACATTAATGGTCGTCAGCTCATTTGCCCATTGATTTGCCCATCGCTCAGCTCAGAAGCCTTGCATTGTCATCCCTTTGGAGCGCTGCAGTGCCATTGCCCATCCACCAAACCATTGATTTTCTGGGTCCCGCCACCTGCGCCCACGCCCACATCTCCGCCAACAACCTGCGAGAACCCACGACGTTGCATTCGATCATCGATCATCCCCGGCCATCAAACATTATTCCCCAGTTTACTGGTACAACCTTTCTAGTATTGCGAATCGACAAACAGGCAGGCCGTATACCTTTCAACAGGCCATCAAATTCAAAAACGGAAAGACTGAACATTGCGATCTCCGCTTGGAATCCTGACCATCGGAATAAGCATACGCCCTGCAGACAACTGCCGGCGACAGCAAAAAAACAAAAAAGAGAAAATAAACACAGCAGAACGAGAAGGAAAGAAAAAAAAAAGGTAGCCGAAGAGACAGACAGCAGCACCCGGTGCATTAACTCGACGAGCTGCAGCACTGAATCGACACGGGTAGGGAAGAAAAAAAAGACCAGACGGAGAAGAAACCGGCAACCGCATCACCAAGACATTCGTGGTCAATCAGGAGGCGCTTACAGCCTGGGCAAACCCAGCAACAACTCTCCTAAGCCAGCGTCCTAGCGCTCCAGGTCACCACTTATTTTTTTCTCCTCCAGAGTCTACCACCACTTCCATCGTTGAAAAAAAAAAAACAAGTGGTTCTTAAACCCCTTGTGGTCATAGCACTTACCTGTAGCGGTAGCGCCCCCCAAGAGCACCACATCCCAGTACCTATTGGAGCAACATCCTGGCGTCGCTCGCCCGAAGTTGCCCCCATCAGCATCCATCAGACTCTTTGACTCCCGCCCTTCTGTTGCAGCTTGCAGCATCCCGAGCCAAACATCGGCCAGTAAACCCACTAGGTACGTATCTTTTACCTTAATGTACCCGGCACCACACTTGGCGAGGGTGTTATTCTCTGGTAGTAGTCACCGTCATTGTAGCTGGGTGGTTGCCCGGCTGTTCGTTCCTGCTCGGCACGACACCTTTCCACTGAGGATGGCCTGTAACCTTACCAGCCAACACACACCTTGCCAGCTTGCGGCCACCCCCAGCCACATACGAGACACTCTCTTCCCTGCTTTCCTCTGTCTCCTTGCGACAACAATTTAAAAAAAACAAACACCTTCACATACCCACAAAACACCAAGCTTCCTGTCCTCGCCGTCTCCGTCCATCACATCTCCATCAGTGGAACTCTGGAAATAGCCCCAGTCTACGGGTACACCACGTTCTGCTAGTCCTGCATCCACTTTCCACCCCGGCAGCCAGCCGGAAACACCACACGCACCCCTTCTGCCCCTTCTCTGGTCCACTTTGCCTTGCTCCATCCCAAGCCGCAGTCTGGGAACGCTACCTTGGCTGCTTCGCTAGCGAATCTCCTGGGAACCGCCAGTCCACTCTTCCCCTTGCTGACCCGCGATAAGGCACGCAATAGCTCCATTAATCGACCTTGCTCGCCGAGAGCAGGCCCGCTGCCCCCCGAGACAGATCAATTAAAAGTAGCACCCTCCCCCGGTTGCCCATGATGGCAGAGCATACACTTCCCGCGCTGCCTTCCCAGCCTCAACAGCCGAACTCGCAATATTACTCGCAACAACCCGACGAATATCAAGAACAAGCTCAATATCGTCCATATCAGCAGTACGAGCAACCTCTACCTGTCCAACCACCGTCGTTGCCCAGGACCGAGTCATCGCAGTCCCAGAACCAAGGCCAGAGACATTCCAAATCGAAGTCCAGAACCTTTAGTTTTCAGTCCAATAAAACCCATAAGAGCTCTGGGAGCAGCCACAAAGTCGACTTACACGAAACACCGCAAGAGAAGGAAGCAAGGAGACTACACAGCAAAGCCGACCCAACCATCGCTATGAGTGAAGCCGAGCCTTGTAAGTCAATCCCAGCACGTCTTAGCTCGGCTAGTTGTTGCTTCACTGGCGCAGACTACTAATGCACTGAATGACAGCTGCCGTTCAGGCAATGACTAAGTCATCTTTGGCTCCTTTACGTTCCATACAGCACAAAGACAATCTCGGCAACCCAATTGGTACGTTAAATATGTAACCCGAGGGACTTTGTGTGTTCGTGTGCTGACTCCTGGTTTTAGCCGAGCCGGATCGGTCCAACCCAACACGTAGCAGGTGGGAACGTCCCCTGGACACCATTCGCAGCTTCGAGGCTGCGATTGATGGAGGTTACCGTGATAGGGACCGCCGTAAGTCTTACGTTCGTTCAGGCATGTCTACTAATACCCAGTCTCTCAACTTGATCTAACACTGGACCCTAGACACCGAGTCAATCGCGACATGGAACCGACGGAGCAGCTACTATGCCAGTGAGTTACATGTCCGGATGGTGTGGATTTTAAGCATAGCTAACGCACCAGCGCAGCCAGCGGACCTCGCAACCCCCATGAAAGCTATTACAGCGGTCGCCCGACTTCGTACCGGCCCGAGAGCAGTCAGTTCGGTATGGGCCCCAGCCGGCAAAGCTACTACGATAACTATCAGAATGGTGGGGGCTACTACGGCGGGAACGACCTCCCCTATCGACAGAGAGTACCAAGAACTCAGACTGAGCCGCACCTAAACGGCTATGGAAGGGGAGAGCAAAATATCTACCCACTTCCCAACAAAGATCGTTCCTATGAAACCGTTACATCGGCGGCTGGAAGTAGAAGCTCGGCGGAACAAGCAGGATATCACACAGATCCGACAAGCAGTGACAACAGCTCGATTGAACGAGTCGCGCCGCCACCGAGACGGGAGCCTGTCAACGATTATGGCATTGGTTTCAGCCAACCGCAATCATTTCAACCAGCCCCTTACAGGCCAGACAACGGTCCCTCCAACACTCAGCAACAAGCATATCAGCCCGTAAGCAGTGGTCCGCCGGAGGCTGACAAAACAAACGTACTCCGGAGACCAGTGGCTGCTCCACAGCAAAAGCAGCAAAGGCCTGAAATGCCTGCCAAGAGGAAGAGTTGGTTTTCCCGCCGGTTCAGCAAGTCGTCTTGAAGAGAGCGAGGACATGAGATATGAGACGGTTTCGTTTTTTCTTTGTCGATACCCCATTTTTTCTTCCATCCGGAGACGGCGAGGTATTATTTTGGCTACAGGGCAGAAAACGTACAGTATGTGACTGGCCCGGCCCGGTGACGGTGGAGTGCCGTTTCTCCCATGAAATGGCCCTTACAACGATGGGGAAGCTGGTTTGCCTGAGATGGGCCAACAGACCAGTCCATTCCTGAGTTGCTTCATTACGCGATGGTTTAATATTGTTGGATCACGGTACCTGCATACGATTAGTACGATGTTGAGATTATGATGGACCATCTAGGGATTGGAAGGACAGGTCATGGAATCATTGGCGGTTGGCTTGCATGGCCTGCATTCGCAGAGTCCAGAGGCTAGGAGCTAGGGGCTGGGGACAAGGAATCGTTCGTCAACCTTTCCACAAACCCACTCGCCTTAGTCGTGACCGGAGCCGCGTGGAAACGAAGTAGTGAGATGAGATAGCCAAATAGATTTGTTTGTTGCTCACTTGACGAAACCATTCACTTCGGAAATCAAAACTTGTGCGGTGTGACGTATTCTGACCCGGCGACTGATTTCATTTCACGCAGTCAATGACAAATACAAAACATGCCATATTCCAGACGGTGTTCGGTTTTCAGCGATCCTTCTTTCCCTCTTTCCAATCACCTAGCTTATCACTTTGGTCCTCCCTCATAGCAACAATGACATATGTAATGAGGACAACGTTCGCTACAATTGCAGCCAGGCCGCCAGCGAACGTTGAGTTGCCTGTGGGATCCAGTGAGCTGATTGTTCCGACACATTCTCAAAAAGGAATGAAGAAACTGTGGAACCTACCCTTGAAAATCAAATTGACAGTGGCAAAGTACGTGCCGATAGGCATGGCAATCATTGCGAGCGTGAATCCGAGGAGCTTGATGATGACATCCATAGGCACAGCAGGTGTAATGTTTGACTTCTCGCTGGCAGCAGGGCTCGAGCCCACCTGGTCATCTTTCTCAAGGATGGTCTTCTCCGAAGCGACAATACGTCGGGTAGCCATTGTGATGCCGGATTACAGTAGACCGCAGACTCAGATAAGATGGGGTTGAAATATGAAATGGGACAACAAACTGCAACTCGTAAGCATACATTCAACAAGAAGGGAGCAAACAACCCACATCTTATCAGTTATCACGGCAGGGGCGAGTTCTTGATGGAATTGGTCGGGCGGAAGACTCGGTGTTGTTGAATGTTGAAGTTGTCGCAAGTCCAGGGTCCCACTGCGAATGAGCTCTCAAAAGTAGAACGAGAGTTAGAAGACAGCAACTACAGTCATTATTGGCACTGTATTGCACTGTGCCTTAATTGATGACGCCAACCACGTGCGGACGCGCTACGGGTCTTCGTCTAAGCGCGTCTCTTTCTGCCGTGTCAACGGACGGGGGAGGGATGTGCCCCAGAAAAATCCCACTCTAGAGCCGCTGCCGGTTCAAATCTCGACAGCTCGCTCCTCCCATAAACTCCCACAATATACAAGATCGTAATTACCCAGTTTGTCACTCTTTCTTCGTACCTTTCTTGGTTTGATTTCATTGGTTGTATACACATCCTGAAAATAGGGCTTTCCTTCCAACGTCGAGTCGCTCAATCGAGTCTTTTATACACTCGTTCATAAACAGCAACACCCCCCGCCTTGTTGATCGGCCATTATTCGCCTCTTCAAGCCACTCGTCGAACGTTGAGCAGCTCCTCGATACTGCCAAACAATACCGGCCATGGAGATTATTGATATAAACTCGTCCCCTCCGCCGCTGAGAAGGTCAGCAAAGGATTCTATATCGCCTCCCAGGGGTGCTCACCGTAGCAGTGACGTCGATGAGCTCGGCGATGAGACGATTCCTTGTTCTCCATTTCAGACTCAAGCTACACAAATAATCAACCGGACCTCGCTCGCGACGCAATCGAAACCGCTACCCGACCTATCCTCCTCCCCTTCGTCTCGATCGATCATCGAGGTACCTGCTTCCTCGCCTTTCCAGCCTAAGCAGCCCAAGCAGCCAACCGTCTCGAGCTACTTCAACCGTCTTGCGCCTGCTGGTACACGGTTCCAACCCCCTGCTCAGGCGAAGTCACTCAAGCGGCCTGCTGAAGAGCCACAACTGATCGATGACTCCTCTGATGAGGAGAGCAAGCGAAGAGGTGATATTCGGCCTACGGCTTTCAAAAAGCATATTTCGTCCTTTGAATATGTTCCTCTCGACGAAATGCAGAAGAAAATCGACCATGTGGCCGATGCGTTGAACCACACCCTACCAGTCAAGTGCTATAAGGAGGCTTTGACTGCGTGTCATAACGACATATCCGACGCAATTGAGTACCTGCTGGAGGGTAAACATCTAAAGAGCAAGCACAACAGCTTCGTGAGCTCTACGAAGCCGAATGTAACCGGCAGCAACGACAGACAAGTAACACATGAGTCGAGATCAAGCCGGCCTGCCGAACCTACTAAGCCGCGACTGCTTGGGCACCACACTCCAAGTTTGCCTACCCCGTCTCGAAGCATTACCCCTTCCCCCCCGAAGCAAAAGCGTCGTCGTCTGATGCAGGGACGCCGACCTGGCAGATCTCCAGTCTCGTCGCAGCAGGTTCAGGAGGAAATCCATGAGGTCAATGATGGGTTAGATGAGCTTGCCGACGACAAAGTCGACGAGCTAATTGTCATTCCCGACGATGGGGATGATGATGACTTTGACAACGAAGAAGAGGTCAATGAGGCAGTGAAAGAAAGCTTGCAAGACAAGGCCCTGCAAGCTATCAACACCAGCTCAATTGAGGACTTGTCCGCCATGACGAATATGAAACAAGACGAACTTAAGATCATTGAGAACAAGAGGCCTTTTACTACCATCGAAGATGTCCAGGCGGTCACTCTTTCAAAGACGGGCTCTCGGGGCCGCAAGTCGCCCAAAGTTTATGTCGGAGAGACTTTGGTGGATGCCATTATGGAATTTACTCGGAGTGTCAACGCCATTGACGAGGTTGTTGCCGAGTGTGAGAAGAAGGCGAACAGAGTGAAACAAGAGATCAACTTGTGGGACATCGACTTCAAAGGACAGAAACGCAGCACCCAGGGCTCTTCGAAAAACGGCGACCTTCCCTTGACACCGTCCAGCTTTGGAGGACAGAAGTATTCTGAACCCCCTATTTCTTGCCAGCCAAAGTTCATGGACGGACACTGTACGATGCGCCCGTTTCAGCTGTTCGGTCTTAACTGGATGTCACTATTGTACAATAGTGGCTATGGATGCATTTTGGCCGATGAGATGGGCCTCGGCAAGACGTGTCAAGTCATCTCCCTCATTTGCCATCTTGTCGAGAACTATGAGAAGACGGGGGCCGGTGAAAGACCTTGGCCTAACCTTGTCGTTGTGCCACCATCCACTTTTTCCAACTGGATGGGTGAATTCAAACGTTTCGCACCCGATCTTTCAGTTCTTGCTTACCAGGGCTCACAAGCAGCTCGCCGAGATATCGCATACGAGATGTTGGAGAACCCCGAAGACCACCATGTCGTCCTGACAACATACACTCAAGTCGGCTCCGAAGAGGACTTGGAGGCTATCCGTGAGCTCCAGCCAGCCACCGCCATCTTCGACGAAGGACACAAGATGAAGAATCCTAAGACGAAGATCTACAAGGATCTGATCAAAGTTAAGGCTGGCTGGCGAATGCTGCTTACAGGCACACCTGTTCAAAACAATTTGATGGAGATGCTTGCTCTCTTGAACTTCATTGATCCCAAGCAGTTTAATGGCCGGATGGACCAGCTGCAGTACATGTTTAGTCAGAAGGTCACCATCCGCGACGTCAACAACGGCGCTTTTCTGTACGGAGAACGAGTCAGCAGAGCGCGGACGATTCTCGAACCTTTCATACTACAACGTCGCAAACAGCAAGTCCTTTCTGACATGCCGGCTAAGATTTGCAATGTGGCATATTGCGATTTGGCGCCATCCCAGAAAGAGCTGTATGAAGAGTATGAGCGTCTCTTCAAGTCTGGCCCGGTCAAGAAGACGAGTAGCGGCCGCCAAAGCGATCAGAACAACAGCTGGATGCAACTCCGCAAGGCAGCCATTCATCCTCAGCTTTTCCGACGGTACTTTGACGACAAGAAAGTTGAGAAGATGGCAAAAATCTTGATGCGGGAAGTGCCGCAGTCGGAACTACAGCAACCACGTATCGATCACTTGATCGGCGAGCTGCAGAATTGCTCAGACTTTGAGCTTCATCTTTGGTGCCGCGATTACGCCTGTATCAGACATCTTGATATCCCCGAAGGCTCTTGGATGGAGAGCGGCAAAGTTAAAAAGATGTTGGACCTTATCCACCAATATCGGGAGAATGGAGATCGTGTCCTTGTGTTTAGCAAGTTCGCAAAGGTCATCGAGATTCTTCGAGAAGTTCTCCACACTGATGGCATCAAACACTGCGTTCTCTATGGCCAGACCGAGGTTGCGGAGCGTCAGAGTCTAATTGACGAATTCAACAACGATATCGACATTACCGCCTTCTTGCTCACTACCGGCGCAGGTGGTACCGGTATTAACTTGACTTCTGCGAATAAGATAATCATCTTCGATCAGTCTGACAATCCCCAAGACGATATTCAGGCTGAGAACCGTGCTCATCGTCTGGGACAGACCCGCGATGTCGAAGTGATCCGCCTTCTTACCTCCCGTACCATCGAAGAGCTCATTTACAAGGCTTGCCAGAAGAAGATTGAGCTGGCTGAGAAGGTCACGGGCGCAGTAGAAGAGGTGGCCGGAAAGGCTGCCGAGGAGAATTTGGAGAAGGAGGTTCGAAAAATGATGGTTGAGCAACTTACGCCTTCCTGATTGTGGTTCGGCCTGCGCTAAATAACTCAAATGGCTGCCGACTCATGGCAGCTGTTCACAAACATCAGCTATCATCCTGACAACAATTGCTCTTGACTTTATTTGCGCCAAGATACCACAACGCTGAGGGGTTTGACACAGGTTTTTTTTTTTCTTGTACAATAATGGAAGAGGCAAAGACACGAGCATTCGCGCAGAAATTTTATTGCTGAAATGGGAAGAACTTTTGGCGGAAAGCCATCTGGGCTCAACGGGACACTAAAGGGAGGAGCAGCGAGCCGAGGGGACTGATGCGATTCTAGGACTTTACATAGCATTGGAAACCGGTCTAGAAGGGCAAACCACAGACATTGGTAGGATAGAAAAGACCATCATCAGCTTTAGACGATAGATGAGGGTTAGGACCTGTTAGAGCGGCTACTACAATGAATCTTACGAGCTGCATATTTTGACGCCTGATTTACTTCAATGGATGTCTACTGCTTGTTCCTTCTTTGTCATGATAAGCCACTCACTGAGTTGGTGCCTCGCAGCCGTCACCACAGTCTTTCTTACCCATCTTTGTTATAATCGCCCCTATGCTAGTGACTTTCTCGTCCTTCGTCACGATCCTTATAGATCTAGGTTTGAAGCCAGCAAATTGAAGGCACTGCTTAGTGAAGTATATGCCTGGTTGTAGAAGAAAAGGGTTGAACCTCACTCTCCCATACTCATCAACCGCCAGGTTTCAAAATTACATGTTTCTTTTCCCACCACCCAGTCTCCGTCTCCAGCCAGCTTGTGGCTGACTCCTCAGATCTTCGACTTCACCTTGCCAAACTCGACCTTGTTGATGCAAGAGCCCACGTTCTCCAGACCGACTTCAACGACATCGCCATCTTTGAGCCACAGCTGGGGCTTGCGGCCCATACCGACGCCTTCGGGGCTACACGCGCATCAGTACAGGCACTCAACAGTTTCTGCAATTGTCACTTACGTTCCAGTGAAGATGACGTCTCCCGGTTGCAGAGTGGTGCCCTGACTGAGGAAAGCGATCGTCTTCTTGATACCAAAGATCATGTCTTTGGTGTTGTTGTTCTGTATTTTCGTTAGCTTAGGGCTCTGTAGCTGGCATCGCGCAAACTCACCTGGACAGTCTTTCCGTTGAGCTTGGTAAAGATCTTGAGGTTCTGCGGGTCCTTGATGGCCTTGTTGGTGACGATTCCAGGGCCGAAGGGTGCCCAGCCGTCGAATCCCTTGCCGAGAGACCACTGGCCGCCGCCTCGCTGGAGCTGCCAGTCGCGGTGCGATACGTCGTTACCGACGGCGTAGCCCAGGACGTAGTCGAGTGCCTCGTCCTCTGACACATCGGAAGCAGTCTTTCCGATGACGATGACCAGCTCACATTCATAGTCCAGCGTGCTGCCTGTTTGTGCGATTGGGTGCACGGGAATAGGGTCCGTTGGGCCACTGAGAGAGGTGGTCGGTTTGTACTTGCTTGGTTAGTATACAGCCGTGGCCCGTACCAGTGGGAAGACCTACGAAAAGAACGGGGAATTTGGGAATGGCCATGTTTGACTGCACAGTATTAGCTATTGAGAACAACTACAAAATGCAGTAGAGGATTTTCCTGACCTCCTTGGCGTGGTTGGCATAGTTCAGACCGAGGCATCGCACAGTCTTGACTTGCTCAGGCGCCAGAGGGGCAAGGAGAAGGCGGATGTCGGCGACGTTTTCTGTCACATCATGCCTACCAAAGATGTCGCCGGTAACAATGCGAGCTTGCTTCGCCTTCGCGATGTCCGTGATTCCGCTGGGGAGGATGGCATCGCCGTAGTACGTCTTGCCGTCCCGGGCAAGGAAGCGGACGAGTCTCTATGGATGTTTGTTAGTCGGCGCGAGTTTTGAAGGAGATAAATTGGTCCCCACGGAAAACGAAGCCATTCCTGCAACTATGAGTATACAATCCAATTGAAACCAAAACGAAATTATACGAAACGGACAATATTCTACAATCGATGAATGTTTTGTAGATGTTGGAATGAGATGAGTGGGCGCTCATGTCTGCCGGGACGCTTCGCTGTAGCAACCCCCACGAAGTTCAGCGCCTCCGATTTCCAGCCGCTGACCCCACACTCCATCATCCAAGAGCACGCCTGGTCCACCAAACCCTTGTACCGCAGTTGCTGGAGGTCCTTCCGGCTATTGTTTCGGCACCGTTACGCCATCGCATCCCGGCCCTTTAGTACCCTTTTGGGACAGGTCCCCATATATTCGGAAGAGCTTCAGCCAGTCTAAATTAGCTGAGTCATCATCACACATAGGGAAGACAGGGAATTATTTCATTGGTTCAAGTCAAGAACGGAGCTCTTTCCCTGGTTGACATCAACGATTCGAGCTTTCGCGAATATCCATTTTTGATGAGCTGCAGACACAACGCAACTTCCGCTGCCTTCTAAGAGCTTGATACAAATTATGGCAGTTAAACGGCGCGGTCTTTCCGGTCTCCAAAGGGAGGTTCTGGCGCTCTACAGGCAGTGTCTCCGGGAAATCCGCAAGAAACCAGAGGTGAGGTTCTTCGAGATTGTATTGGAACACGGGAGAGCTAACAAGGTACTGCAGACTGCGCAACCTCATTTTAGATCTTTTGCCAGGCAAGCCTCAGTATATTTTTGCGGGCAATCAAATTCCAAGCTGACCAGTAACGTAGGACCGAGTTTGACCGGTATGTCACTGTAGACAAGCGTGACTTCTCTGTGGTTGAGCACTTGTTGCGGAAGGGTCGGCGCCAACTTGAGACTTACTCATCACCCAGCATCAAGGATGTCATGAGGTGAAGACGTCACGAGTATTTCGTAATTGGTTCCTTCTGCAAAACAACTCCTTGTATTACCTGGGAAAGGATGGCCACGGCCCATAGATTCAAGGCCACCCGCAAGGGGCGTGCTGACCTCTTCCCCATTGTACCACTACATGTCCCTCCTACGACTCGTTTTGTTACCTAGAACACATGATACCATCACGAATTCTTCTTTGGAAACAGTTCTGATATTCCCCCGATACCGTCGAGTATGGACGATGCTTGATCGCGACAGGATCTTCCGAGACTGCAACTGCCTCTTGCCTTGTCTGAACCCGCCTCTTCCTGAAGCTGAACCATATCTAGCCCACAAGGCAGCAAAGGACGTCTTTCAGAAGCCCTTAAGCCAGTCTGTCGAGGGCCTCCGCCTCCAGCAGCGCATAACTGTTCGTTCCAAGCCAGCTAGTAGGGTTAGACTTCCTTCGGGCAGAGTTTCTCGTCCGAATACAGACCGGCTGGCTGTTAGAAGAACGCGTCGGCCCCAGTCTGGATCCCTTACAGCCGTGCTACTTCAAGAGAGAGAACTTAAAAAACTCCGCAGTAGCATAGCATCTGATGCCCTGCAGCCCTTAACACCGAGTCCTCGACGACATAACAGACAATCCGTTCAACATCCACCTCGTTCGCGGTACGTCACAATGAATGCTACAAGTCAGGCCGGTACAAATGGGCCAGAAAAGGCTCGGAATACTCGTGCAAGGTCGATTGCGGGTCCTTCGGGATCTCCGAGCCGACAGAGATCAACACGCAAGCTGGATCGACGCCCATTTCCCTCCAGCAGTCCGCTGAAACAGCGAGAGTTCCCTTTGTCGACCGTAAGGGAACCTGAAACTGGTGAACAAGGTGGTTTAGTCACATCTAGTGAGAAACGCTTCGGGGTGGCCGACCCACAGCTTTAGGAAGCTGTTCGCAGAAGCCTCTCACAGCAGAGTCAAGTTTCATCTCTCGCGTCTCCATCCAAAAGGTCGTCAATCCATTTGTCAGACGTACCACAACCACCATCGAGGACTTCAAGCCACCGCCGAGCAGTGGATCGATTTGCCAGACAATTGGAGATATACGCAGAACGTAGGGAGGCCGCGGGCAAATTGCCAGTCACTACTCCAACGCCAGAGTCTGGCCTCTCATTGCATACCGTAACAGCATTGCTACCGTATCAAGATCAGTTTCTGGCAGCTGGTCTGGCGGTAACGTCTGCCCAGCAACAGCACAAATCGCAATCTAATAGGAGCCCAATGAAGGTGGAAAGAACCGAGGCCGCACCAGACAACCAAATGCTACATCCGATCGAGGCGCAAGAGCCACAGTACCAAAATAACCCTGGCCACCTTCAACTTAATGGCTTGAGGAGTAGGACTTCAACATCGACCTCCTCAGACTCCAGCAGCTTGAGAACACATGTTGCCTTTACTCAACCAGATGCGTGGGAACTTGCATTCATCGACGAATTACCCCCTAAAAATTCTGACCCGTCTTCTAAATGCTGCAAACTACCCTGTTTCCCGGGCCAAAGGGATGAATCAAGTGAGGTTCCAGCCAATAGAGCTCCGCCCATTCCCTCACCAACAACAATCGATACTCCGAACAAGATCTTGTCGAAGTGGCAACCGGTATATCCTCAACAAGACAAATTTGTCGTCATCAGATCCCCAGGTAAGTATTTGATTTATCGTACAGTTTCAGCAATTAATACATGCACAGAAGGAACTGATTTTCGAGACCCTCGAGTCAAAACGTGGCATGGTAATACTATGCAGCAGCCGTCGACTTATCGCCCGATAAGCAAACCTCGTGTAGAGCATGAGTATATCGAAGTATCAAGTCCGACGACCCAGCAACCTGAAAATCCAGTACAGAAGCAGGAGAACCTACCGCCAATCCCCAAAAAAGCTTCAGGCCGTCTGAAAGCTTCGACCAAGCCACATGAATTGACGCAGCTCAATTCGTCAACGGTAAAAGGATGCCAAATGCCCTTGAAAAGTGGTGTGCTCACTGAGGACGGAGGTGTTTCACTTACCAACAAACATTTGCCTAGAGAGATTTCTGCAATTGCCAAGCGGCCAGTGAAGGCAGCTGCCAAGTCCGTTTCAAATGAAACCGCCCAAAGTGCCCAACCCAGTAGGAGCCGGGGGCAAAAACAAGCAAAGAATTCGCAAAAAGCGGCCCGTAAACCCTTAAGGATATCTACCAGACAACCAGAACGGAAGGCTAAAGAAAGAGCAGCTCGACAAGGTAAACCGGTAGAAGTTGATCACCCACCAATCTTCTATTCTGTAAGGATGTTTCGGAGCTTGCCGGGACCATCAAGGATTTCAGATGAGAGAATCGAGAAACGGTCGGCCACTACAAGCCACACAACCATCTCGGCAAACCCCGATTTGCCGTCTACATGGAGATTAACCCTTAGTACCTCCTCTTCACTCAAGGTTGCCATGGAAGCGGCATCACAAGAGATGGAAAATAAAGAGGCCAAAAAGGCCATGGGCACAGGTCTTCCATTGAATGGTTTGTTGGAGGAAGGGCAACCTCATATAAATAATGTGAAGAGTTACGATGAGAGTCCTTCTTGTTCTGTCGACAAAGACATCAACCCGCCGACGGAGATACAGTATAAAATGCCACATGAAAATCCTCAAAACAGTGAGGGTTCGTCTCCTACGGAACTTGATGACCGAAAAATTGACGACAGGGATGTATTGCGGGGCCTAAACATTGCAATATCTGCGGCCTGTAATGAAGATGTGGATGCTTGGATCAGACAGAGAACAGGCGTTCGCATTCGGCGTTTTTTAGCTGACTTGAGAGCTTTTGAAACCCTTGGCGATGTTGAGCAACCTGATCCTAAGCATGAGCTTGCGAGGAACAGAAGAGCGGGATCAAGAAAGCTCAAGGCACAAATTCAACAGTCGAGAGCTGCCCGGGAAGCGAGAGCGCATTGAGTAGAAATTAGAGGGCATAAAATTCAATGCCTCACTGAGAAGGCGCCTAAGTTTGATCAAAATTATAGATTCAGTATTCAGGCTATTAGCCTTACAATCCAATTCTAACATCAAACTACAATGTCTCATCTTTCAGGTGTGCTTTCAATCCAGGACCACACTTTTCAAAGGAGGCCTTAGTGTAGAGCTTTAACGTCATCATCGGCCTGCCCAGGAGAACAGGTCGGGATCTCCCTCTTGAAAACCATGGATCTGTGCGATAACTTCGTTCGTGATGGGAAGAAAACCTCCAACTAGGAAGTCTTGGCGGTGATAAAGGTGAGTTTAGCCAGCCGTAAAGATACCTAGGTAGGTAACGATCGTGCTTGTATGAACATTTTGCTATTACCAAGGGTGCGAAGAAGGAAAATAAGTGCTTGATGGCCGTCTGAGGTTCGGCGAGAGTAAGGATACGCTAGACATCAGCAACACTTTGTAGGGGGGGGAAGGTCGATTGGTTCGACTAATGAACCGCGCATCCCAGTTATTTATCTGCTCACCGAGCATGGAATTCCTGCTCGCGGCAACTTGTTGCAATTTTACGACACGTACTTCCAAATCGATGGATGCTTCATTGTGATTTCTTTTTCTTCTTATGGGGTCTAGAGTTATTGAATTGTTCATAATTGCGAACTTGATATTCTTGTTCAGACAAGCAATTTTCGTACAAATACACAACCTACAAGTTGGATAACGCTCCATGCAAGGCTGCGCCTTGAAATTAGTACTTGGAGAGTGCGCTTCCTGACGGAGTTATTTCTCCCTGGTCTGTCATCGGTTTCTCGAACGCAACAGTAGTACGTTGAGACTACCCCATCCATCACGGGCTTAACCGCCCGCTTCTTGGCTGCCATATGCCTGTCATAAGCGATCGGGAGAATGCCGCGGGAAGTGGGGGGACGGGGCACCTCTTCACAAAACCGAGTCATGCACCATCTCCACTCACTCGTAAAGACATTACACTCAAAAGGTAGCAACCGTTTACAGCTAGCCCTAGGGATGTTTGACCTAGACATCTCACTAGATTACATTTCACGGGCAGACGAAGGAGCTCAACGAAACGGGCTAGTAACATATGAAGGAGACGTGTATATCTTCGTATTATAAGTCGTTAAAAAAAAGATTATGTGTTATATCGCCATGACTTGGGGAACATTATCGTAGTAGGGGTATCTGCATGCTCATATGCTCTCATATAAACGGATTCAAGCAATGATGCTTCAAAATGGGACTGGGTGCCCCCAACAGCTTCCAACGTTTAACCACGCTTATGGTCGAACTCCTCGGCCTCGTGGCCAATTTTGACCTCTTGCTCGACCTGAGCGAAGTCGAGATCCGCAACCTCGGCATCGGGGCCGTCGATGACCTTGACGAGCTCTTCCAGGGTGGGGCCCTTGGTTTCGACGTAGAAGCAGTAGACAAAGGTAAGTTCGAGGAAAATCCAGCACTGGGAAAAAGAGTTAGTCAAAACGTTTCAACCACGGCTTACCGGGACAAACAGATGAACTTACAGTGTAAATGAGGTACAGCTTCCAGGTGTGGCCCTCGAAGTGCTCGAAGGCGTAGGGGTTGGCGTAGTTGTTGAGCGTCAGAGCAGCCTGGACGACCAGGTTGACAATCATGAGACCCTTGGCACGCAGCTTGTAAGGCAGGATTTCGATGGAGTAGCTGATGAGCAGACCGGACCAAGCGAAAGCGTAGAAGAAGCCAAAGAGCCAGATGAAGAAGATCATGGCGTAGTTAGAACCGGGAGAGCGGTGCTCCTCGTACAGACCGGCAGAGAGGGTCCAGAAGACGAAGGTCATGAGCATACCTCCGGTGGAGGCGAGGAAGATGGGGCGACGACCGAATTTGTCGACCTGCATGGCAAGAGTGAGAGAGACAATCAAGGACAGACCAGTCTGGCCGGCAGAGAGACCGAGTCTGGCAGTGGAGCTCGCGATGCCAGCGTTGGCGTACAGGATGTTGGTGTAGTTGGAGATAATGGCGTTGCCGGACCACTGAGAGAACAGACCGAGGGAGATGAGGACGATGAAGCGGTACTTGTTGCCAGGGGTGCGGAAGAAGTCGAGGTAGCTGCTGCTGTTCTTGGCGGCCATCTCACGCTTGATGGTCTCGCGAATCTCGCGGAACTCGAACTGAACAGTCGGGTGATCGTTGTTGCCGTTGGCATGGAACCTGCCAAGGATGTCCAGGGCCTCGTCGTGGCGGTCCTTAGCGATGAGGTAACGGGGGGACTCAGGTACCCCTTTGTTATGTCAGAAACAGTCCGAAAGGCTGACCCAACAGTGGACAACTTACAGAAGATGAAAAGCAGCTGGAAAATGGAGGGAACGGCCTGACCAAGGGCGGGAATACGCCAGGACCACTCGTTTCCGAGGAAGTCGGTACCGAAGGACAACCAGGCTACGATCAAAGCTCCAACGTTCCAGAGACAGTTGTAGACAGTCGTGAGTCTTGCACGATGCTGAGGGTGGCAGAGCTCAGCAAGCAACATGGGGGAGGCAATCTGGGCAAAGGAGTTGCCGAAACCGAGGAGAGCACGACCGCCCATGAACACTGTTGGTGGATCGATCAGCTCCCGATCTTTCGTAGAGGTTTTGTATCTCACTACTTACTGCCCATGTTCTGGCAAGCACCCTGGAGGACTGCACCTGCAACCATAATCACGCAGCCCACAACAATGGGGATCTTGCGGCCAAAGTTGTCGGCGATGATGGGGCTTTTTCTTTCAGTCAGTATGTGACGCGCGGTGATGGGTCCTTTAGGCGTGCGCGTGTCTTACACAATGGGGATCGAAGCCAGACTGCCGATCTGGTAGAGAGCAGCGAGAAGACCTAGCTCACCACCTTTTGGGTGGTTGAAAAAATCTTGCCATGAATTGAAATTCTGAACAGAGTTGAAGAACATGCTGCAGCGCAAACTGTCAGTGGGCCATCATTGTAGCGGCATGTGTAGGATAGCGTACCCATCGTAACCTGTGGTGGCTGAGGCAACGCAGAGAACCACGGCGAAGAAGTAAAGCTTGCGCAGGCCGGGGTCTTTGACCCAGTTGACTTTCTCAAACTCGGGAGCCTCTTCCTGAGCTTGGATGACTGCAGCACCCTCGCCCGTAGGCTTCTTCTGCGCGAGACCTTTCAAATAACCCATCTTAGTGATGGCTCAAAGGCGTCGAAGAATGAATAGGGCGCGGTATGATAGGTTTCTTTTCTGCTGGCGAGGAAAGCAAAAGCCAGAGCAGTCTCCGTGTATTTGGACCAAAGGATGACTGGAGAGGAACAACGAGCGGAGGAAAGACGATCCACGACGCGGGGTCTCCAGGTAATATATGGATCCGTGGAGCATAGGCGATGAGTGAAAGTGAAGCAGGCCTACTGTAATAACAACTACAGTGCGAGCTCTGCAGACGGATTATCGGACCGGCAGAGTCCAGGTCTTCGAAATGGGCATCTTGGGGCGTCAGGCGGGAACCACTTGGATGGGATCCTTTGCAGGAGATCCTAGTCGGAAGTCGGCCTGCCCCAATCAGCTGTCATAGTCAAGCTATTCTGCACTCAGGAATCTCTCTTCGAGAACGGGCAGGCTGCAGCCAAGGTGCTAGTTAGCCCATGTCGACGGGGGGTGTGGCCGATGTGAGCGGCAGGGGATTGCCACTTTCGTCCGGCAAAATTCGATAAGAGGACGTTTCAAGGAAAAGCTTCTTTGCCAAGCGATATGCTCTGCAGGACAAGACTGCTAGTCAAGACTCGTTCCCGTACTAAGCTATTTCCCCAAGAACCTGGCGCCGTCCGAACGGGTGAATGCAAAACGGACACCATACTTCAAAGTTTTGCTATTGTATTTTGCCGGCGTGTTGGGTGGACACTTGCGTCCACTAGACAAGGACCAGACTAGATGGAAAAGGTGTGCGTGTTCCACTTGCTGAGCGTTCCCCCTGGGGTCCCGTGGAGAAGACCAGTTGAAGTGGAGTTGGCAAGGAGGTGTCATTCAAGTGGATGTTGCGACGGTCTCGCCCGTCGACTTCCTCGTTGTTCCCGAAAGAGAGGCGTGGCTTGCAATAGTTTTTGGCTGGACCAAACTTGGGGCGAGGGCAGTACACCTCTTTCGGTACTTTATCCGTTGACGTCGACAGCTGTATTGTCGGGCGAAGGGCTTCACAAGTTATGTGGCCGGCTCCGTGCCCCGGAGGTATCCCAGTAAGCGGCAACGATGCAAGACGGGTACAATAGGAGCCAGAAAATTAGTTGAGTTTGGGGTTAACTAATTGACCGCTGCGGGGAACATAAGACCGAGGACCAGAGCGGGCCGGTCACAAGACCGTTTATGAAATCGGTCGATGAAGGCCGAGTAGGAAAGAACCCCACCGGCATCTCTCCCCTGCGGCCTTTGTCGTGTTGCTGTTCTGTTCCGTTTCCTTCCCGTCCATGTTGCCGTTTCTGGGCCGACCCGAGGGAGGACGTTGACAAGAGAACTGCGTTGGAACATCAGGCAATTACTGCCTTGCTTATGTGTCCAGATCCTCTCAATAGGCGTGGCGATAAACAAATGCGGCTAGTATTCAGGAATTCCGCAGTGACCTCGTGTTAATTTCCAACGGCAGCAGATTTTTTTGTTCCCATTTGTAACAAGCTCGATGTTGGTAGACCAGGCTTGAAGCGAAAGCATGTCCGTACCATTGATGCTACTTTGCTTCCAAGTGGGACCCTGTTCACTTCCCTCGGTAAAGTGTTCCCCCGTAAAATTTCTTTACCTTTCGGTACAAGGGATTAAGGCAAGTAGGCTACCAGAGGAAGGAATCGCTTCGAGCCTCTCGTAAATATCGGAAGAGCACAGTGAAAGATCATAGTGATCCTTCGGATCGAACTACGATCTGTGCTGATTGGTAGCTGAGCCGCAACCATCACGAAAGACTCGATTGAGCGACGATGAGACGAACACCTGATATTATGGTCTCGTTACTCCCTCGGTCGACTATCATCCGCTTTCTCTAGGCTTACTGATGCTGGCCCACACCTCTACAACCTCCATGGTAAATAAGGCGGATTAGGCATGTGGATGCGTGGATTTGTGGAGTGTTGCCACAGGATATGCTCGCCAACCCTAAGACATGTCAGTCAGTCGATGAAAGACGCGGACCAGCCCGACTTCGCATACAGACTGTGTCTTATGCCAAGCAGAGAAAAACCAGCTGCTCTCAGGTAGTCCTGAGCGTTGCGCCAGCTTGATAGATGTCAAAGTCACCATGTCGTCAACAACTTGTTCACGTGGTTCTGATGCGCATGGATATGGACAACGGTGGAGACTCTCTAGCAACAGGCCAGCGCCATAAACAACCGTACGACACGCCTAGCCGCCCACTTGTCCTCAGACGTCAGTCTATCAGTCGAACGGAGTCACCTCCACAATAATTAACGTGCGGATGGGTTTTCGCGGGGGCTCCATAACAATGGTGACTGTAAAACTAGATGGAGTCGAAGTTTGTCGTTCATGGTGTGAAGTTAGAGGAAACTAATGCGCCGCCGCCGCACATGGCGTTTTTCTCCAGGATGTCGCGACTTTGCCCTGCGTCACCCATGACATTTTGTGTGTATTTTTCCATTTAGCCTAAAATCAGGCTAAATACCACCCGGTAGTGGACTTCCTGGTGTCGGAGATCACGCTGTAGCAAAGTATCGAATTACAGGGTCTTCTTTGAGGTTGAACCAACAGGAAAGGAATTGCGATTTTGGGCCATTCTTTAGCTCAATCGATATGGTGCTCCGTGTTACAAACACTGGCTTTGCCACGGGCCGATTCATGTGGTTGTGGATTCCCTTGGACCGCCAACCCAGACATCGACGTGAGCCGGGTGATTCAGAATGAACGGATTTGGGGTCGCCTTCCACAATCTCGGGTTACGGCACTGTTGTTTCTCGGTTGGCAGCCTCTCCTCGTGATGATCAATCCATTAGAATATGATACGTGCAGTAGCAAGCTGTCTGCAACGACGGCTATCAGGCCCGCCAGACCTCGTGACAGCAAAAGACAGGACCGATGTGTTCTTCGGAATGGAGATCCCACCTCTGCGAAACAAGAAAAGATCAAGACGTCGTTGAACTGCGGCTGCGTCTTCCGAGCAGGGGTACTTTATCCATAAACTGCCGGCATCTTGCCGCTAACAGGATTTTGCAAGTCGCCAAAATGTACTTGCTGTTGCCAGATCTTCAAATCCGTGATCTTGGGACCAATTGCTTATGTTGCTTCCCGCACCAGGCGCTTCTTGGTCGGCAACGATACTACGTAGAAAGTAACACTCCTACAGCAAGCCAATAAATGTACCTGCATGTACGTTTGGGAACGTGCCGCTGCCGTGCCGACGTCTCCCTGGCAGGGCGCCACGGCTGACTTGATTCTATGGCAATTCAGAGAATGCCTTGCCACCTTCACATCACCAGGACTGCCGTTATAACACGGGAATAAGCTGGTAATCGGCCCTTCGGCATGCTTCTCATTGAGCAAAGCATAGTCTTGCATCTGTGCCCAAAATATGACAGTTATCACATCTTTTAACAATTTTGCCAGAAGACTTGACGAATGACTGCGATCAAACGATTGCTTCAGATCGGGCTGACATGAGTTTGGAGTTCGGGTGGTCGACGCACGGTCCCGATTCTTTCCCCGCACGAACCCCCAGCTCCTCCAGCGTCTGTCCCACGCCATCACGAACCTACCTCTCCTTCCCCAATCGTCTCCGGCTGCGAAATTATTTTGTCCACCACCTCCATGTGTTGATTGTATGCTGCTACGTGTAACAGTGAATATGCATGCCCACAGCTATATTGACGACATGCCTACCGCTTTGGAAATACTCCAGGCAAGGCAGAATTTTACGGTCCAGGACACGTCAGAGGAGCATTTCTTCCGATGCTGGCGACATCAGGACTGCAAAGTCTGCCTCGCAGAGAATCAATGCAGCTGGTGCCCCATGGTTGGTTCTGCTTTTGGTCACCCGCCCTGCTAGCAAAAATGGCTAATCATAGATTGCCGACAGACTTCAGCCTGTGTCCCGAATCCTTACACGATCCCATTGCTGGCTCCAGCATGGAATGAGGATATTTGCCCGCATTGGGCCGAAAGATGGGAACTGAGGACTAGACCACTAGGATGCCAGGTTTCGACCATCACCAGTCTTACATCCATTATCTCAATTGTCTCCACCCTCATCGTGGTCCTACTCGTGTTTCTGCTTGTAATCGCGATCCGGTGGGGAAGACGTCGTAGCCAGAGAGAACCTGGATGGTGGAGGGTTTGGAGGTACGACTGGATGCAAGTTTTGTGGCCGACGCGTCACATTGCAGAGCAAGACCCTTTACTTGGACAGGATCACAACATACAATCGCGTCAGACAGAATGAGGGCGAACACCAACATGCGCGGTGCTCGCTGTTCCCTCGACGGCCCAGGAGAGTTGAATCGTAGGTAAACTGGATCCAAATCTGCACCAAGCGCTACTTTATCATCGATGCAACTACCATCAGACAGTTTCAACCTGAGCTGACGGGTGGGATAATGGCTACTTCGTCCCCTGCCTGGATCTCCGGACCATCTCCATCATCTGGCCCCGGTATATCTACGTATTCAAGATTGACTGTCACCAAACAAGACTCCAAAATCTTCTCCTTAAAGCCGCTGTACCTCTCTTCGAGGATGTCAAAGAGCTTCTTCAACGACAACGGGGCCGGAAATGCCTCATGCTCCTTGGAAGTGAAGGAACCAGCGCTGGCGAAAAACAACACATTAAAGTGATCTTTCGGTGGTCTTGGAACGGAACTCATGATGATGAGCTGTTGAAGGATATCTGAAATCTTCTTCATGTTAGCCTGGGCTCGTATGCTTGATGAGGCATAAAAGTCAAGGTAGGTAGATTGGTGTCAGAGATCTTGGTGATAATTGTTGAACATCAATGGAGTTCAGGTAATACATGCTAATTTGGATACATCATTCCAGAGGTGATAGAAAGAAAAAAAAAATTGAACTTACCAATCGGTTGTGAGCCCGTTTTGCGGGCTGCAGAGGAAAGAGAATGTTAGAAGTTGGAAAAAAGAGAAAGGAAAAGAAATAGGTAGCTGGAGTGGGGCCGATTCAGAAAAACTGTACCCCAAGCCACGTGACCCGAGCCGCACTCCATCGCGACACGGATCCATTGACAGCAGGCGGGGCATTGCGATATTTCGAGTGACTGATGACCAGCTTGAGTTCGCTGTCCTCTTTTAAAGCAAGAATTGAATGGTTCTTCAGTTGTTGCGGCAGCTCGCCGAGGTGCCCTGCGTCATGTCAAATTATGTCACCTGGCCGAGAATCGCACCCGGTGGGCAAGATTCCGAAATGTGCGCCGAATCTGTCCATGAAGAGTAACATAGAGCCGCGAATTCCATGCGCTGTTGCGCCGCATCACAGGTAGGCACACACGGTCGACCGAGCAGAATGCCTCGCGGCTGGTGGGAGAACCTTGCTGTATTCGCAATGCAGAATCCGTTTTTGACTCCTCTAAACACGAAAGCCGTGAGCCCGAGCTTGGGCAACGAAGCCCTTGCAATGTTCCTGTCCCATCCTCAGAACCAAGATCCGTTCCTCGTAATGTCCATACACATGCCGCCGCCAATCGATGCCAGTTTATCTCAGTCTGCGGGCCTCGCGCTCAGACTCGAGCAGGCAGAGGATGTCGTCCTCACGGACTAAACTGAACTGTCAGCATACGTTTCGTTTTTTTGGGTTTCGCAATTCCTCGCTCGGCGGATATTTGCGTCTTGTGATTTTCTCTTACCGGGTCCCTTGACGTTACGGATGATGGAACGGGTCTGGTCGTCCATGAACTCAACGCGGACCTGGGTGACACCACCACGAGAACCTGATATCTGTCAGAAAATCTGCCATTTTTTCCCTCTCTATCGGCGCATTGAAATTTTCGTTCTCGGGGGAAGCGCTTCGATTCGGGGGCGGGGCATACCGGTGCGGCCAAGGACACGGGTGACCTTGACGAGCTTGACGGGCTGCTTGCTAGACTCCATTTTGACTGCGGACAAAAATTACGTCAGTCGAGATCTCCGTCAAATTCGGTGTTGCGGCACGTACTTTGTGTGGTTGCGCAGGTTCGGTGGTGCTGAGCGGTCGGGTAGTGATGGATTGACTGTGTTGGCGATGAACTTTTTTGGTGAGGTCTCGCTCAGGGTTTTCCTTCGCCAAAGCCCTTTTTCGCAGCCCCACAATGGATATCAAGGCCAATGCGATGTGCACAGCTTTGATTGGCTTATCGGAGCAGGACTTTCCACTACCCGGTGCAGCCACTCACCGCTTTCTGTTTTTGTGCCGTACAGACTGAGTACCTAGTTCGAATAATTGATAACTGCTTTGCTAGTCTTCGAGGTTGGAAGGCTTGCTGAAGCAAGGCGCATCGGGAAATTCAGCCTTGGAAGGTGCGCATGCAAACGTGTGATTGCTTAACCAAACATGTGGAGGGGATACTTCACAATTTCAAGTCACTAAAGCTGCAATCAGGCAATTTCTGGGTCATCATGCTCATTGCTTCTCCAGGAGAGCTTCATTGACGCTCAGCTTGACTAAACATGGTTTAAAGCAGGGGTATCTCGTGCACGGCAACAAGCCTGTCATGGCAACTTCGCAACGCGTCCCTCCAAGTCCTTGACCCAGGCCTCCATGACCTTCATGTTCCCCGCCATAGATGTGCTTCCCTCCTTTATCGCCTCCTCAACCTTCTCCAAACCATCCTTCCACTGCTTGAGATCGGTTGCCATCTCCGTCTGTTGTCTCTCAATGCGCTCGAGCATCTCGCTCGCTGTCGCGGCATCGGAATGGATCGCCCTGAGAGATCTGAGACGATCCAGTAACGGTGGCAGCAGAGGAGCTAGGTTCTCAATGGTTGGCAAAGTCCCGTAGAGAGCGTTGATCTTGGCCAATTGCTCGGGCGCCTCAGCTTCTTCACTGGGCGTGGCACCGTTGCCTAGCGTTTCCTGTGCAGTTTTGGCTCCTTGGCGTGCCTTCTCTAATTCCTGCGCCTCCTGGATCAAAGTTCGTACTCGGCGACTAATTGTGTCCAAATTGGATGTTGAGGCTTGGGACAGAGTCGTAATTTGCTTTTGCAGGCCATCAAGGGTCGGCAGAATTGCTCGAGGCAATCCGTTGATATCAACCTCCGGCAAAGCAGATGAGCCAACTCCGATGGCCTTCTCCAATAAAACAAGACGCCGATCGAAGTCCGCTGCCTTGGCAAGAGCATGACTTTGTTCGTATGTAGGAGCGTAGGTAACGGTATAGGTTGCAGCGCTCCCTGACACTAGTGCATCCTGCGGCGCTTCCTTGAGATCATTTGGAAGTTGGGACGCCGGTTGGGCGGCGTGTGTGGTGCTGACTTGGGGCTCAATAGTTCTGGATATCTCGTCAAGAACCTTGCTGAGCGACCCGAGCTTTTCCTCCTGCTCTGCTGACCCGGTCTCGGCCGCTGCCTCTTTCCGTTTCCCGTATTCTTCTTTGGCCTCCTCGACTTCGCGTTGTAAACGTGCGATTTTCCTCTCTAGATTGGTTTCGTCGTCCTCGTCGCTGAGGTCGCCGATTTCCTCCGTGCCGTCTTGCAGGAGACGCTGGCGTCTGGTCGAGGCCTTATATGATTTGCGCTTGCCATCCACACGATCAGAAAAGTCGACACCGGTAGCATCGACGCCTGTGGGCAAGAAACGAGATCTTGCTTGGTCTATGCGGAGTCGAGATCGCGAGATACCGTTCACATCGTCGTCTAGGTCATCGCCGAATTCGTCGTCAGAGTGGGACTGCGCGGTCGTTGTCTACTTTACATTAGCAGTAGGTCACTTGCGAAGAGAGTATTGGCTTACAGGAACTGTAGAAGTATCATCTGTCAGTTCTGGCGTCTCGTAAACATCTGGTGCCGAGTCCTAGGTGGTGTCAGTACAGACCGCTCCCACTGCCCAAGCTATTTGGGGATGCGGGTGCTCTGACCAGATCTGGCAACGCTGCGTACTTGCGGTTCAACGCCATGGCAGAAGATCGAAAGGTTGACTGGGTTGCGAGTTTACAATCCAACTTCCGAGTTCGGATCACTTTGCCCGAGCTTGGGTCTGGTCAGAACGGCGATGAGATACTGTTCGCTGGCGCGGATGGGGCCAATGGGGAAGATAGCAGAAAGTCGTTGAAAGCAACAGATGAACCCTGTACGAAAAGGGGGAGCTCCTAGCCCCAGAGGCGCTGAGCCGCAGGGGATTTGTACTAAGACCCCCATAAGGCATGGAGGTGCGGCGTAAGTGGCAGGTGGGGTACTTTAGCCAGTGCTCCGGGGGCACGCGTCAAGGGCGCGACTACAACTTTCGTCTTTTCTTGGAGGGGGTTACTTGATCTCAAACGGCAACGCGACCCTGGGCCACCAGCCATCAATCCATGTCCCTTTGCGCTTCATGGCATCAGGCTCTCGTTGAAACATCGACGACTTCTTAATTGGCGCGCTTGTGGGTAATTAACTCATGTTTGGTGTCCCTTGACAGGCTTACCATCTGGGATCGTAGCTGGCAACCTGGGCCGGTTAGGACTCATGGTGAGCTTCAGAGGAAGCCTCCGTATCCCTTATAGGCAACAGTCTTCAGGTGTTGCAGCGACTTGAACGATAAAGACGCTTCATCACCTTCGATCAAGCCGCCCCTGCATCTTGGAGATGTCGGGCTATGGGAGGCAGCCGCTTACCAGGCGGTTAGGCATCGCTAGAGACTCTAGGACGCGGCCACTTGAGACAGTAGTCGGTAACAAACCTCGTGACATGCCCACGCCGGCTTCGGAAATGACGGCGGAACAAATCTCTGCACTGCCCGAAGAAGATACTGAATCAGAGTTCAGTGAGCCCGAAAGTCGTAAAACAGCTAAGGATAAATCCTCGTTGCCCGCAAAGGATGATCATCCCAGCCTGCGCCGTCAGAGTGCCCAGATGCACAATAACAATTCTGACTCGGAAGAAGAGCATGTTGCCCGGAGGTCCCGGGCCGATATTCAGCCCTCTCGGTACTTTGGCACCTCCAAGCAAGGAAGAGAGCAAGCAAAAGCTCACGGCGCCTCTCAAGGCAGCAAAAAACGTTTTGGAGGCTCACAAACAACGAATGCTGGGGCACCTGACAGCAAAAGGGGCTCTCCAGGTTTTAGTTCTCCGAGCCCTCCCTCTAAGAGAAGGAAAGCCGAGACAAGTCAGTTTGATGATGACGCTGATCTCCGAAGCATCAAACGACGACAAAAGTCTGCAAATAGCTTCTCCAAGAGAGAAGTCAACCGGGCTAAGCAACCAGAACTTGTAGCAAAGAAGAGGAAAGAAAAGACTGCTGCGAAACGAGCAAAGAAAGGTTTGTCTGTTCATCACATTGACCTGTATCACTGCTGATGTTTTACACAGCTCGCTCAGAGACCCCGGAAAAGATACAGCCTTCGTTCAAGTCATATGACGATGACCCTTTCGATCAATTCGATGACAAAACATCGCCGAGCAAGATGATTCAGCCAGCGTCGCCTTTGCTATCTTCACCTTTAAAGAGCACACCGAAGACATTCAAGGCACTTCCGTCTCTCAGCCCTGATAGCTCGCTGTGTCAAACCGAAGGAGAATTCCGGGAACCTCCTGCTTCACTTTATGAGGTGCTACAGGTTTCTAGTAATCCGCCAACGCACCCCCGCGATCTGGTCACCAGCTCCGATGGAGGCCCTAAAAAGTTGAGTGACCCATCTGCAGAGTTTTTAGACTCCGAAGAGGATAAAGATGTTGGTTCCACTCCAAAGCAGCCTGTAAAAGCGCGTTGTCCCATATGTAATGAAATGGTCGACAAGGAGCTTTTGACTTCTTTCTCGGACGGCGCTCGCCTAAACATACGCAAGCAGCTCCAGTTTTGTCGACTGCACAAGAGGAAGTCGGCCGAAGAGATTTGGAAGACAAGGTGCTTCCCTGAGATAGATTGGGATGAGCTCCCAACAAGAGTATCGGACCATTACGATGTTCTCGAGGACATCATCAACGGTGGTGCCTCTCACTATAGCGCACTTCTAAGTAACACGGTAAAGGAGGGCAAAAACCGGACCCTCTTGAAGGCAGAGGGCAGTCTGACGCCTGGCTATTACGGACCGCGCGGACTACGAGCATTATCCGAGGGAATCATCAGTCGCTTTTCATCAGTTCTAAGGAAACGAGCTGTAGAGGATCGGTTGATATCTTCACGTGGGTACTCTAATTATGTGGAGTCAGTTTTAGTACCCGAGTTGGCAGTGCTGTTAATCTGCGAAGACATGAAAATAGGACCTGAAGAGGCAAGAGACGTGCTTGAGGAAAGCAAATGGATCGGTGATTTACTTCACGAGGATGTTGGAGATACGGTTGACCATGTGACTGATGATGAGCTAGACTAGCATGCAGCTGTCATGGCTGAGGAGTTCCGGAGGGGGAAACATGGCAACTTTTGTAAGGGCATCATTCTGTTTCGGCATCGTGTTAGCGCAATGAAATATAGGTATCACTCATGAATACACAATCAGTATGGAACATGAAGAGCAGTATTAGTCAATAGAGCCATCCCAAAGCGGCCAATGCTCCGAACTGATGATGATGGCTAGTAGCATCAATTCGCCAGAGAGCCTACCAATTCATTACATGTATTGCACCAACGCCAGTCGTAGTAACCCGTGATCTTTAAATGTTTTTTTTTTTTTTACAGCCCCAGAGCCTCCCGTCTACCCTTGCTGTTCAAGTCAAGGTAGGGGGCCTCTCCCAACGACGCCACACGATCGCCAGCTCTGGCCTCGACATAGTCGTAGGTGGCACAGTGCCACATACTTCTGTTGTCCCAGATGGCCAGGTCGTTCTTGCGCCACTTGAAGCGGACCTGAGCGTCGTGGTTCTGAGTAACGAGGTTGAAGAGGTAGTTGAGGAGGACGTCAGACTCGTCCTTGGTAACGCCGTTGATGCGCTTGGTGAAGCCCTTGTTCACGTAGACAGACTTCCAACCAGTCACCGCTACGTATCGTTGTCAGCATTCTAGGCCCTCATTATCAAGACGGCGGACGATCAACTCACGGTTAGTACGGATCACGGGGTGGATAGACTTGAGCTCGGAGCCCTTGTTCAGTGGCGAGCCGCGGATGCCCTCTCGGAGGGGGTTGCCGAGCCTTCTTGCCTCATCGTGGAAGAAGGTGGCGTCGTGGGTGGCAGTCAGACCCTCCAGGAAGGTCTGCATGGCAGGAGAGAGTCTGTCGTAGATCTCATATCCAGAAGCCCACAGCTGCATGGCTCCAGTGGTCAGTGGCTAGATCTTCTGCATGCAAGGGTTCAAACAGGGTTGGTTATCCCACGTACAGTGTCACCACCGGTCGGGGGGAGAGTGTGGATCTTCAACATTGCGTAGTCCGAAGGTACTTGCTCGAAAGAGATATCGGTGTGCCAGCCGGCACTGGCGAATCGGCTGACATCACTCAATTGGTGAGTGAGGCCGCCTCCCTTCTTCTGCTTCTCGCTGCTGATGACGCTAATCTGGTCACCGAGCTCGCTACCCTCCTCAGTCAAGGGGTGGATGTGCAAGCCTGATGATTCGGGCTGTTTTGGTAGTTAGCATGTCTAATCTCACGAAATGGAGGGTGGACTTCTTGCGCCCGATGGCGACTTACACATCCGGCAAGCTCTGTGAGGCGTAGGCAGAAGTCCTTCATTTGAGTTGGGGTTACATCCTGGTCTCTCAGGAAGACGACACCCCTCTGGGAGACTACAGTGAATCGTCAGACACGGGCAGGATGGCAGAATCGGGAATATGGGAGCGCTTCTTACTTGTGACAGCCAAGTCCTTGATAACTTGATCATCAGCCTTGAGGAGATCAACCACCTGAAGGCCCTCGTACTCCCGGCCGATGACAGGGGTGATTTCTGCGCTCTTGTAGCTATCCAGCGAGCCGGAGTAGACCAGCGGCTTGCTCAGGCGAGGACGGGCCGCGGGGTTACCGCCTACGATGTTGGCTTCAGCCGTACCGTTGGAGACAGCAGAAGGCATTGTGGTTTCTTATTAGATGTGGACTGAATAGATGGGATGATTCTGTGTTTGAGGCTATTGCCGCTTAGAGTCGGTAGATGAGATGCCGTAAGATTGGTAGATCTACCCAAGCGAGATCTGATAAGTTGTGAAGCTGAGAATAGCTGGATATATATGTCGCACAAGGCCGGAACTGCCGTGACTTGTTCACCTAGTATCACAAGATGTATAATATCTCAAAGCGAAACCGGGGGACCAGTCATCGATGGGGAGAGGAAGAGAAGATCGTCAGACGTTTTCTCCAACAGGATGGCTCTGGTGTTACGGAGGCTCCCGACCAGTGGGCGATGGCGCAATCGCAAAGCTTCCTAATTCGGCGAAGTCTGTCCGCTGTGGCCAATCAGTCAAGCGGGGTTCCTCCTCGGAGTCGTCCAACGGAGGAACCTAATCGGAGAAAATCTCGGAGTTGGCCACGGCGCAGTAATCGCTGTCTTTACCGGGGCACCTTGCCATCGCGGGCCTAGGCGCATTACCCCCCCTTGACATGTTTGATTTCCCTGTGATCTTACCTCCAAGCTTCTGTCTCAAATGTCCACATGACTTTTTGAATTATAATATTTAGTTTGCAAGTGGTTTTTTAACAGTATCAGTCGCTGTCGTAGCCAAGACAAAGAGGGGTAGATCGAAGATCCGGCATAGGGCGCGGAGAAAAATCTGGAGTCTGGGGAATATTGGAGCCCGGCTAAGCCACCCGGACCCGGGACCTGTCAAAAAAGATTACGGCGGCCAGATGCAAAAGCCAAAAAAAAAGTTGTCAACACCATCTTCTCATGCCCCTGGTCCGACCACATGGTTCACCTCCACTAGTTTGTGGATATCTTCGAAGACGCAAGACCGAGCTTAGATGTCGCGAGCCATGATCTGCTAGCCTCAAACAGAGCTTTGAGAACGACTATTAAGTTGAGCGTTCAGGACGTCGTAACTCCTGGCCTTCTGGGATCCCCTTTCTGCATCGTCGTTGCTTGCTCTCCTTTTCAATAGCAGCCCGAACCTGTGGGAAGTGAACGGTCAGCCCAAGACTTTTCTTGCTGTTCCTCCGCGCGAGAGAACCAAACCCGGCCGACTCGACCTACACAACCTACACGGCCTCAGCGATAACGATGGCTGACGTCGAGGCTACGCACCCCAAGACGGTCAGCGACAGCGGCAAGGACGCCGTCTCGGTCTACCAGGACTCCGACAGCCCCGTTGTCGGTCGCGAGAACCTGTCCTATCTCATCCCGCCGCATGAGTCCTACGAGGGAAAGCACCGATGGGATCCAGCTGCGACATGGACTCCCGCTGAGGAGAGAGCCGTTGTCCGCAAGACTGACCTGAAGCTCCTCACCTGGCTTTGTGTCATGTTCTTTGGACTTCAATTGGATCGCGGTAACCTCTCCAACGCGCTCGCGGACGATTTCCTCAAGGACATGAAGCTCACCAGTGACGACTACAACAACGTGAGTTTGCCAAATTATGCCACATCTCGTTATGCCTTTTTCCTCTTTTTTTTATTCATTCTCTTTCTCTCTCTTTTACCCTCAGGATTTGCATGATGCTGATTCACCACTCATAGGGAAACACAATCCAATTGGTGTCTTTCTTGGCTGCTGAATTCCCCGTTCAGTTCCTCACGAAGCGCTTCGGTTTCAAGTTCGTCTTGCCGACCATGATGATGATGTGGGGTACCGTTTCTTGGGGTCAGGCCTGGATGACGACCCGCGCCGGTTTCTACGTTACGAGAGCCCTCATCGGAGCCTGCGAGGGTGGTTTCATCCCCGGTACCATTTTGTTCGCGACCTACTTCTACACGTCCAAGGAGCTCTCGGTGCGATTGGCCGTGTTCTGGTCCACGCTCAACGTTGCGCGAGTCATCTCGGCCCTTCTGGCTGCGGGCATCCTCCAGATGCGCGGCATTGGCGGCCACCCCGGTTGGTTCTGGCTCTTTTTGTTGGAAGGTCTCCTGACCTGCGTTTTGGCTGCCATCGTATGTTTGACGTTCCCCCGCTTCTGCTTGATGTGATGACGACTGACACTATCACTTTTCAGTCCTTCCTCTGGCTTCCCCAGTCCCCGACCAACACCACCACGATCATGTGGAGGAAACCCTGGTACACCGAGAGGGAAGAGGTCATTATGACCAACCGTATCCTTCGTGACGATCCTGCCAAGGGCCTCACTGCTCTCAAGGAACCTGCGACTTTCAAGGACATCAAGAACGCCTGGAGTGACCGGTCGATGTGGGGCCTTTACTTCATCGGCCTTGTTGCTTACATCCCAGCCACCCCTGTGCAAGCTTACCTCACCCTCACGCTCCGCCGTATCGGCTTCACGACCTTCAATTCCAACATGCTCACAGTGCCATCCGCCGCTCTGCAAATCATCACCATGTTGGCGCTGGCTTTCAGCAGCGACCACTTCAAGGAGCGTGCGTTCCACTGCATATTCGGCGAGTTGTGGATTATGCCCCTGCTCATTGGCCTCCTCACGCTTCCTGACGGCGGCCGCGACTGGGAGCGTTTCTCGCTAGTTACGCTCATCTCGGGCTACCCTTACTTCCACCCCATCGTTTCTTCATGGATTTCAGAGAACACTTTCGATGTCAAGAAGCGCGCCATCACGGCGGCGACCTATAACGTCATCGTCCAGATCGGATCCCTCACCGGTTCGCAGATCTACCGCTCCTACGATTCGCCGTACTACAAGCGCGGCAACGCGGTATTGGTGTCCATCTGCGCGCTCAGTCTCGTTGTATTTGTGGTCCAACGGCAGGTCCTCGTGCACCTTAACAAACGCAAGGAGCAGGCGTGGAACGCCATGTCGAGCGAGGAGCAGCAGGCGTACCAGAACGACACGGCGGCGCGCGAGAAGGAAGGAAACAAGCGTTTGGATTTCAGATTTGTCTACTAAGATTGACACGAGATACCTTGGAGCAAGCGAAATATGAGTGGCGTATGTATTGGGATACCAGTCTGCGGATCAAGACACCCAGTTTGAATAATTAAGAGCAGAGAGCTATATTTGAGGGAGAATAAGGGGCAGGGATGGAGGCCTGCCTGCATTGACAGCCACCCTTTTCCGTAATATTTTGTAGATTAGTGCAATATATCAACAGACGAATCCAGAGGAAATAAGAATGATGGCTGGATCCATAATCACATGTCACTAGCACGCAGTCCTCCATGCAGTATAATTTTCGAGGTTAAATTGGCGATAGTACTTAGTTGTCGGGCAGTGTTTCTACACACTATAGAATGGTAGTACATAGTAGGTAGCGCGCCCTGGTCAAATCTAACGGCCCTGATTAATCAGCTGCTCGTGGTCCCCAGTTTTGACGCATCTATCTGTTCGAGACCAGGTTACTGGAAAGGGCCGCAATTTGCGGGGAAATAGTGAAGCCAAGACTGCTAACGATCTGTAACGAATCCCCTTTGAGCCCGGCTGTAGGGGGCCTTGTCCACTATTACCACGGCCGGTTTAGCGCATCGAGCACACCATCCGAGGTCCCGCACACCGCATCTCAAACACACGTCTACCTCCGCCACGTCCCCAATTTTATTTTCCTTCCTCCAGGTTCACGTCCCCTCGCTGCTGTCAGCCAGAAAGTTGACAAGCCAGGGTTTCCGTCCAAATCAAGCCATCTCAGCTCAAATTCATCCCACAAAATCGACTGACGCACAGCTCGGCTGCCCCCGATTCGGTACCGCAATTGTCTTTTTTTCCTTTTCTTTTTCTGCCCTTGCAGCCGTGCTTTGTAATACCAAGCCAAAGACAAAACAATCCCCTTTTGCAATTACTGCGAGCCGAGGGACTGGCCGGCCACCGACAGGGAAGCTACTTCGGATACCACTGCAAGTGACACATCATCTCGCCCGCGGGTGGGGAGACCACAGAAACTCCAAACTTGGGCCGGCCAACTGCCATGACACCACACAAGTAGACCCCGACGCTCCTCTTCCGTCTTCGCGACATGTCAACCGGGCGCAAGATTGGCAAGAGAGCGTGCGACGCGTGCAAGATCCGCAAGATCAAGTGCACCGAGGTCCCGCCATGTGACGGCTGCGTCGCCATCGGCACCGCCTGCACTTTCAACAAGGTCCCCGCCACCCGGGGGCCCCGGAATTTGAGAGCAAAGACAATAAGACAGATTGCTCAGGCTCAACAAGAGGGTTCCGGGACCGGGTCCGCCGTCGCCGGCACCGCTGCAAGCGCCACTGCTGCGTCCTCTTCCTCTGGAGGCGATGGACTCGTCACCCCGGCCGCCGGTGCCGCGCCGACTGGCAACACGCCACCATCGCGGTCCCCATCATCAGATGAAGGTTCCTCAGACGGAGGTTCTTCTGCTGGCCAGCGACTCACTCGACAAGAGCTTCCACTTCAGCCGCAGAGAACTCCGATTCCCTCACTGGTCTTAAGATTATGTGTCTACCGCCTACGTCTCTTCCCCGTCTGGCCCATCATCGCCGTCGAGGAGATCATGGCCTCGCTTCACCGTGATGCTGACGATCTTGAATCTTACGTCCTGGCCAATGCCGTCGGAGCGGCAACCATTTCACAGCTTAAGCTGTCCACGACCGACAGCAATGACCCGGCCACGGCCGGCTCCATGGAGGCGGAGTGTCAGCGGTCGAGGATGGCGCTGCAGGAGCGCGAAGGGGGCCCGCCAATGAACCTCAATTGGCTGAGAACGTCGTTCTTCCTTCATGTCTACCATGAAAATCAACAACCTGGCGGGGCCAAGTCCCTGCTTTACCTACGGGAAGCCATTACCATTGCCCAGATCATGGGCTTGCACAAGGAGTCGTCGTATATGGCGCTTCCTTTGGCAGAGCAGCAAATGAGACGGAGAATCTTGTGGTTGCTATTCGTCACCGAGAGGTATACTTTTTTAACCCCCATTGACGGTACAATTGACGTTCTGACACATTCTTAGGGGCGTAGCAATGCTTCATAAGCTCCCGGTGGCGCTCAAGTCCAACATTCGGTTTCCGTCACTGGATGGGTCTGGCGTAGGCGAGGACGAAGGCCACATACTGCCCGCGTTCAAGAAGCTTGCCAACCTGTTCTGGATCTTTGACCAGAGCGGTGCCTTTGACATTCTCCAAAACTCGGATGACGAGGACGCCGTCTGGTCCATGGCAGATGGTCTGCAGACAGCCAGTAGAGCATGTCTTGACGTTGTCCAGAGAAAACTCCAGGAGATACCTCTGGATTCCGATGCTAGCAACGACATCCAACGTGCCGACATCGTCGTCACCCGTCAGTGGATGCAGGCCGTTCTTTGGAAAGTCACCATGAACCACGGTCGTGCTTGGTCATCGAACCAAAACGTCACCTCCCTCTCACACCCTATTCAGATCGCAAAGGAGTTCCTCCAGCTCATATCGCAGCTTCCCAGCACCGCAATCGAGGCCCACGGGCCTGGAATAGTGAGTTAACCTGAACTTTCACCCCGTCTCTCCTCTAACCTCGTGTTAGGAATTCAAAATCTACGAGATCGCCAGTGCAGTCACGGACGCTGTAGCGAACAACTTCTGGCTACCGCGGCCCTCAACAGACGGGCCAAGGGATATCCTCCTCCAGCTGCAGAGAGTTCTAGCGTCGTGCCGAGGTGGCAACAAGGCGCTGCTGGAGATGCTTTGTACCCGAATCGCCGAGGTCCAGGACGGGCCGGTGATGATAATGCGCAGAAACCCAACGCCCAGGGTACAAGAAGTAGATGACGACCAATGGCGCGAGGACAACCGCGGCGTCGGACCCAACGGCTCGTCATCCATGTTCACGGCAATCAACGGAATGCCCGACTCTGGCTCAGGATATGGCCAAGCTCAGACGAGTTTCACAGCCATGTTCGACAAAGACGCGCCGGTCCAAGCTATGGGCAACGAGGATCACAGGTCAATGTCACCTCAGCGACAAGACCGAACAAACACCTGGGACCAGTCGGCCCAGCTGGGCCCAGGAGCACACGATCTAATTGACCAGTTGCAAAACTTTGACGGTTCATTCAACACCGTCGAGTCTAATGGCACAATAGACATGCTCTTGGCCAACGGGGCGTTATGGGATAGCGTCGCGGGAGACGACTGGATGGCGTCGGTGCAGAACAACCCAGGCGTCTTTAATACACCCTCTCAACCCTCGGGCAACTTGCAAAGAACCTACGAGTAGCTCCCAAGTGGCTGGCTTCTGCTTAAACTATAGCACCCCGCTCCCCCTCCCCTTCGATAACGCTCGCAGGTTCAGGGAGGTAAAAAGGGAGTGAGTAACACCGGGATTCAACCATCGCAGTGAGACTCACTGCGCGCCTTAAACGGTACATCAACCAGTCCGGTATCGGACGAAGCAGTGAGTATTACAAGCATTAGCATCGCCCGCACAGTTCCTAACTTTTTTTTTTTTTTTTTTCTTTAGGCGGAATATCATGGTAATTTTGTCGTCGGCGTACATAATGTACTTGGGAAGGAATTCACGATGTAAATCATGTACGAACATTTTTTGTCTATATTTATAGTTTTATATACCCACTCCAGGCCGCGTTTAGGCCTCCAGCAGGACTGCTACGCCCTCGTACGGACCGAGGGTAACCTTTCCTTGGCTACCAAAGTCGTTCTTCGTCTTGCCGTTATTCGTGACCAGCACCTCCTTGACGCTGCCCTTCAAGCCGTCCCATTCCAGGGATTCCGAGGAGAAATTACAGGCGATAACAGCCACCTGGCCATCGTCGGCCCTTCGCGAGTAGGCCAGGACCTGCTCATGCGCCTCGTCGACCAGGTGGAAGTCGCCGTAGACGAAGACGTCGAGGTACTTCTTGCGAGTGTCGAGGACGGCTCGCCAGGTGTTGAACACCGAGTTGGGATCTGATACCTGGGACGCGGCGTTGATCTCGGTGTGGTTGGGGTGGACCTTCATCCAGGGCGTGGCATCGGCTGTGGTGAAGCCGGCGTTGGGGCTGGCGTCCCACTGCATGGGTGTTCTCGCGTTGTCGCGAGACTTCTTTTGGTACTCGACCTTGAAGGCCTTCAGGGTCTCCTCGTCGTCGACGTCCTTGTGCAGACTTGTGCGAATCGTCAGCCACGGTCCACCATTTTCACAACAAGCCGTCCGGCGCAGGAACGGGGCATACTCACTTCCAGTGGTTCAAGCAGTCAATATCCTTGTATTCCTCCATGGGCCACTCCTTGGGCACGTTGACCATGCCGATCTCCTGGCCCTGGTAAACGAAGGGGGTTCCGGCCTGGAAACCCTGGAGGATAGAGATCATCTTGGCGCTCTTCTCGCGGTGCTCAGGGGCGTCGCTGGCGAAGCGGCTGACGGAGCGGGGCTGGTCGTGGTTCTCGAGGTACAGGGCGTTCCAGCCGTTGTTGGTGTACATGAAGCGCTGCCACTTGTTGATGCCGGCCTTGAGCTCGGCGAGCTTCCAGTCCTTGGGGGAGAACTTGCCCTGGGGGCCGTGATCGATGTCCATGCTGTCGCAGTTCTCGTCAGCATCACGAAAAAAAAAAAAAAAAACCCACGTCAAGAAAAAGAAAGATCCGAGGTAGAACTTACAACTCAAAGTGGAAGATCATGCTCAGCTCCCCGCGGTCACCGTTGACGCTCTTGATGACCTCCTTGAGATCACGAACGCAGGGCATCTCGCCGACACTGAAGGCGTCGTACTCCTGGAGGATCGCGCCGACCTCCTTCAGGTACTCGTGCAATCTAGGCCCGGCGGAGTACAGCTCGGAACCGGGAAGGACGTCGAGGTCGGAATCCGGGAAGTCCTGCGGCTTGCTGACGAAGTTGATGACATCCAGGCGGAAGCCGTCGGCGCCCTTGTCGAGCCAGAAGCGCATGATGTCGTGCACGGCGGCGCGCACCTTGGGGTTCTCCCAGTTGAGGTCGGGCTGCTCCTTGGCGAAGAGCCGGAGGTAGTACTCCCCGGTCGTCTCGTCCCACTCCCAGGCACTGCCCTGGAAGTGCGACTTCCAGTTGTTGGGCGGCTGCCGGTTGCCCTGAGCGTCGTACTTGGGCTTGCGCCAGATGTACCAGTCGCGGTAGGGGCTGTCCTTGGAGGAGCGCGACTGCTTGAACCACTCGTGCTGGTCGCTCGTGTGGTTGACGACGAGGTCGAGCACGAGCTTCATGCCCCGCTCATGGAGCTTGTCTTTGAGCTCGTCGACGTCGGCCACGGTGCCGTATGGGGCGTGAATCTCGCGGTAGTTGCTAATGTCGTACCCCTGTGGCCTGTCAGCTTCGTGTTTCCTTTCTTATAGTCTACTTTCTAGACGCTTTTTCTTTCTCCTCCTCTCTACATAGCAACACTCTCGGAGACTGAGAACTGGGAACCAATTTTGCCTTACCATGTCAATCTGGGGACTCTCAAAGATGGGGGAAAGCCACACAATGTCGACGCCGAGAGCCTTGAAGTGGTCGACCCGCGAGATGATACCCTTCAGATCGCCGACGCCATTGCCGGTCGTGTCCTGGAACGACGCCGGATATACCTGGTAGACGGAGCTCTCTTTCCACCACTTGCGGTGCTTGGTAGCCTGGCCGGCACCGGCGCCGGTAGAGACGCTGTCGACTTGGTGAGGGACCATAATGAGCTTTGGTTTCCGGTGTCTGGAACCGCGGGGTTCAGGGTTTGGAAAGTACGCTGCGCTTCGTACTTTGTGTGATCGGGGATAGGTTGCGGGTGTACCAGACCGCAAAGGTATCGTTAAAGGTAGAAATAACAATAAATAAGCTTCACCCTTTGTATTCCTGTTTGTAGGAAAGGAAGACTCGGTCGACTAGGCGTGGGGGTTGAAGAGAGGAAGGGTGTAGGAGAGGAGTCTAAGAGCTCGATGAGAAATCTAGCTAGTCGGGAGACCAAATAAACCAAAGAATAAAAATGAATATGCGACGGACTGTTTAAACAAAGTCCCCCTAAGAACGGACCTTGAAGGCGAGAATTTCTGCGAATGGAAATGTAACCAGCAGCCAATGGGATTTGGGGGGTTTTCCAGGTTTGGGATCGAGGAGAAAAAAAAGGGATGTAGGAGGGAACAAGATACTTTCACTCTCTCTCTCTCTCTCACACACACACACACACACTCACTCACACAACAAAACACACATGCGCGGGCGGAGCAGGGAAAGTTGACACACAGACGGACGAGATCGGCGCTGCAGCAGACAGGGGAGTGGGAAACCTAGCTGCAAGGACAAGTTTCCAGCTCTTCGGCTCTTCCTTGGAAGAAGAGAAGGAGAAGGGGCGGGCGGGGGAAAGGGAAAAGAAGGGGGAAAAGGGAAAAAAAGATTGGATCGTCGTGGGGAGTGGTTTGATCGCGATTTCCCAGGCGAGGAATTGCAACCGAGGGTGAGGAGGAGGAGGAAGCGGTGGGACGGGGGCGTGTACTACACTACACTACATCACATTACACTACGATTATGGTGCGAACCTGTCGGCCTGCCTCCGATCAGGACCCCGAAAGTCTGCCCCTCCATCGAATTTTGGGCCAGTCGTCATGCGGGTAGAACCTCGCGAAGTGGTCACTGGCCACCCCGTAATGTAGAGCTTGGGAAAATGCCTGTGGCACAAGAAAGAGAGCGTGGCCATGGTGGGGGGAGGGGGGTGGATGTGGTTGTCACGTCTGGAACCTTGGGGGGAAAGACGGTTCCAGGGCATTCACTAGTAATGTTATTCATGTGTAACAGTACGTTTCTTCCTTGGTAGAATGATGGCCTTGGATCCTGGGTATCCTTTCACCTTGCGTGCAACGCACCAAAAGCACACTTTTTAAATGGGCTGGCGCATTGACAACATTACGTTGTGCAGTGTTGCAGGTTTGAACATCAGGGACGTTGTTGGGAGATGCGAAGATCCCCCCTCCAACTGTAACTAACTTTCAGGTTTATTATTACTTACCACACACCTCTCAGCAGCCCCCGCCGTTCCCACTCGCACCGGCCCACTACAGCTCCCCACCGCCCGCGCCCCGATAGAGGTCCGAGATTTTCCCCGGGAGGGGCGGTTCGAGGTCCGGACTGAGCTCCGAGAAAACGTGTGGTGAGTGTGGCGTGTCGGTGGACTTGTCAAGAGCCATACTGGCTACCCTCGAGATGTCAATCGTCCCCCTTTTTTTTGTCTCCCAATCCTCGTCAAGGGGTTTCCAGGCTTCTCGATCGTATCGACGAGTTGAAGCTCTCATTAGCTTTCGGTGGTCGGGCTGGCATGCGCCCACTCGACTTGCCCATTTCCATTTAGTTCACGGACTCTCAGATGTTACAAGTGTCTCTGCCCCGGGAAAGGGGAAAAAATAAGAAGTGTCTTATCCCGACCTGCCTGTTGGGCCGAGCAGTCCATATGGGTTGAACTTTATCTCGGTTTTGAGTTCCCAACAGTCGTCACTCGTATACATTGTTGCCCGGTTTTCTAATCTACGATTCGGTATTGAGAAGCCTCAATCACAACAGCTACTAATCTCAAGGTTGTCTAATGTATTTCAGCCTACCTGAATAGGGAGCGCCATGTCGAAGAGGGCAGTCACTTCTTGGCTGCGGTCCTTCGGTACCGTCGCGGGGGGGAGTGCGAAAAGGGTGAGCTCAGGGACACGGCACGTACTTCAACAATCTTACACCAAGCAATGGACCCGGTTGGCTTCGAACACCGCTCGACGACCGAGACCTATTCTCTTGACAGCTGGCGCCGGCGCCTTGTCGACCGTGCTGCTTCTCGGTTTATGCCCGACTCCGAGAGAAGGCAGGGAAACAACCGGGCAGCTCGAAGCCTCATCGTCGGCGCCGCCATCATGGCCACGTTACCGCTTATCCGAGATCAAACAACACGGTGCCGACTCAGAGAGGCCGTGGGTGACGTACGCCGGCTCCGTCTACGACGTTACGGACTGGGTAGCTGCACACCCCGGCGGAGAGGTCTTACTCCGCGCAGCAGGCGGCGCCGTCGAACCGTACTGGGACATCTTTTCCATCCACAAGCAACACCTCGAAGACGTTTTGGCGATACTGGAGGGCTACAAGGTCGGCGAGGTCGGCGAGGTCGACGAGGTTGACCGCCACCATCTCTCGGGCGGCGTGGTGGATGACCCTTTCCAAGACGACCCAATTCGCGATCCGAGGTTGCGCACACTCACCGAGCGGCCGCGAAACGCAGAGACACCAGTCGAAGGGTTGACGGACTTCATCACACCCACGGAACTGTTTTACGTCAGAAATCACATGTGGGTACCTGCGGTGGAGGAAGCGGCGGCGGCTGAGCACATCGTCATTTTTGAGACGCTGGACGGCGAGGAGAGGGCGTACACCCTTCAAGAGCTGCGTGAGCGGTTTCCCATTCACAAAGTCAGCGCGACGCTCCAGTGCGCCGGGAACAGGAGGAAAGACATGACGGAACGCGCAGGGAAGACGAATGGGCTGCAATGGACGGCCGGGGCGGTCTCGACGGCAGAGTGGGAGGGGGTTCTGCTGCGGGATGTCATCGCCGACGTGACGGGCAGCCACAACGCCGTCGCCGATGGTCGCTTGACGGGGGTCAAGCATGTCCATTTCGTTGGCTTGGAGGCTTACGCCGCGTCGATACCCATCTCGAAGGCGTTGGACCCGTCCGGTGACGTGCTACTCGCATTTGGCATGAACGGCGAACCTTTGACGCGGGACCACGGTTTCCCGGTGAGGGCCGTCGTGCCGGGCAACGTCGCCGCGCGGAGTGTGAAGTGGCTGAGGCGCGTTACCTTGTCAGACGAAGAGTCGTCTTCTCAGTGGCAGCAGAGAGACTACAAGACATTCTGCCCCAGCGCAGGCCCGGACCCAGATTGGAGCTCTGCACCTGCGATCCAGGAGATGCCGGTAACTTCGGCCATCAGGGCCGTCAAGATGGAGGAGCCGAGTCAGGGGTCGGGCGAAGGAAAAACAATAAGAGCAGAGGGGTATGCGTACTCGGGCGGAGGGCGGGAAATTGTGCGGGTGGACGTCAGCACCGACGGAGGCCGGACGTGGCGGCCGGCGAACCTCATTGACGATGCGGCCTCCGGGAAGAAGGCTTGGTGCTGGAAACGGTGGCGTTACGAGGGTCTGGTCACGGACGACCGCGATGAGGGAGCCCAAAGAGAAGACGAGAGGGTTATCGACTTTGTGGTGAAGGCGACGGATGAGGCGTATAATACCCAGCCCGAGAGCTATGAGAGCATCTATAATGTGAGGGGCAACCTAGCGACGGCGTGGCATCGTATCGAGATTGGTAGATCAGAGAGGGTGTCGGATTAGACCCAGGGCGGGAAATATGTACTCGTTTACTTTGTATTCATACTGCTCTTTTTTCTTCTTCTCCCTCTTCATCCTTTTTCTTTTTTGTTAGGAATTCCTGTAGCAATAGTTTATTAGCGCGAGGCTTCGAGACCGAGACATGGAGAAGTCGCCGTCTTCGGCCAATTTTCAAGCCAAAATACATAGATCGGCACGATCGACGATGATTGTTAATTTCGCGGGCCGTAGCAAAGCGAGGGTGCCTCTGCAAGATGGCAATGAATCTGCAAACAGAACACCGGCAAAACCGCCTCAGGGCAAGCTGACATTGTCATACTTGGTGATTTGTCTGATGCAATCAGCGCGCGTTTCCTGTGTTCTTTCTTTGCCGATGACGCATCGGCGACAATCCGAGCTTGCAAGGAGACGATTGGCTTGCAAGGGCTCTCTAAGCTCACCCTAGGCCGCATGTCGGGTCAGTGAGTAGGAACCCGCATGTCCCGCATGAAAGGGTCCCACGGTCCCCAGCTGCAGCGCACCGCGCCGCCGTACCACAGCGCAAACTCAGCGGCCGCGGCGTCCATTGGTCAATCCCACCAAGTCTCGCCGGCGTGACGTGGGTGGGGTTGGAGGGGAAAGAGCCATCAGCAGCTGTCCGAGAATTTCCCCGCACCGCCTTTCGTCGGCGAGGGGTGCGGGGCAGCGTTTGGAGCTTTCCATGGTGTGGAAAACAGAAGCCTGGGAGACGATTGTAAACAAAATCTCTGCATCCCCATTACACTTGACGAAGGCACGAAATCGACGACGGTGACGAGTTTGACCGACAGACATTCAATATACCCGCCTTTCAAACACAGAACGTCGAGGAAGACATATATACACAATGGCTTGGGAAGAACCTAGAAAGACCGGCATGCAGTACCGCCGCCTGGGCAACTCCGGTCTCCACGTTTCGGTGCTTGGCCTCGGAGGCTGGTTGACGTACGTGAACCGGACCTCTTGTTGATGCCATTGAGATTTATACTGACTGGAATATCCAGCTTCGGCGGCCACGTTGAGAATGGTACATATCTGAGACAAGCGGGAAGGCTTCTGAACGTCACTAACGGCTAGCAGAGAAGACGTTTGCGTGCATGAAGCAGGCCTACGACCTTGGCGTCAACTTCTTCGATACGGCCGAGAGGTATGCTCCGCGGAGAAGAGATCAAGGTCTTTATGCTAACCTAACAAAGCTACGCGGGTGGTAACTCGGAGATCATCATGGGCCAGGCCATCAAGAAATTCGACTGGAACCGCAACGATATCGTTGTTAGCACCAAGGTAGATTGAACCCTGGCGTCTCACCACATTCGAATGGCAACTAAGTCTGTATAGCTCAACTGGGGCGGCGCCAACGGCGAGGTGCTCATCAACAACCACGGTCTTTCACGCAAGCACATCATCGAGGGCCTGCGCGCGTCCTTGAAGCGCCTCGATCTCGAGTACGTCGACATCGTATACGCACACCGACCCGACCGCTTGACGCCGATGGAAGAGACCGTCCGCGCTTTCAACCATGTTATTGACAAGGGCTGGGCCATGTACTGGGGCACGTCCGAGTGGAGTGCAGACGAGATCGCTGAGGCATGTGGTATCGCCAAGGACCTCAAGATGATTCCTCCCGTGGTTGAGCAGCCTCAGTACAACATCCTCGAGCGCCGCAAGGTCGAGTATGAGTTCCAGCGTCTGTACCAGCGCTTCGGACTTGGCCTGACCACCTTCAGCCCCATCAAGATGGGCTTGCTGAGCGGCAAATACAACGACAGCTTGGATGCGCCGCCGGCCGGCAGCCGTTTTGCCGAAGGCAAGGGCGACAAGTTTGTCAACTGGGCCAACAAGGAGTGGTATGGCAACGACGAGTGGAAGTCCATGATTCAGAGCGTGGTCAAGCTCAAGGTGAGTCCCAAAACCGGCTACTCATGATTTGGGATGGCATACTGACGGTACGACTTTAGGGTATCGCAGAAAAGCTTGGCGCGACGCAGTCGCAACTGGCTCTTGCTTGGTGCTTGAAGAACCCGAACGTGACTTCAGTCATTACGGGCGCCTCGAGACCCGAGCAAATCGTCGAGAACGTCGGGGCCCTTAAGGTTCTCGAAAAGCTGACGCCGGAGATCATGGCGGAAGTTGATGCCATTGTTGGCGAGGTCAAACTTGACCCGGCCAGACAAGATTAGAGAGTGGCGTGTCTCCGGCGGGCGTTGTTTCTGTAGGTTAATACGGGTGGCGCAGTATCTGGCATAGCATATCTGGGAAGGAAGGAACAAAAGGTCAGGCACAAATATACAACGGCTTACTAGCCCGATCCATGCACAGTTATGCCGATAGCTCGTGATGTAGGATGAGGCTCGCTCTATTACTCGCTGGCTGCTATTTCACGGGCAGTGTGGTGGTGAACAAAGTCCAGAGGAACTGGCTTCTGGAAGCTGTGGATGACGTGCTCGAGTCAATAAGCTGTAGCGAGCCCCTTTCGACGTATTCAAGCAGCACGCCCCGTCATGAATTCCCCCCCCCCCCCCCCTTCTGGTTAAAAACCAGTACACGCAGCACATCGCTTCTGAGATGGCCGGAACAGTGTCCCGAAGGGACCGTTGCCCAGACGAAGACCAAGCCGAATACGGATTGAGCGCTTGGAGAACAAGCTGATGAGGACTGTACATGTGCAACCGTCTTGACTCGGTTTTGAGTGCACGTCTAATGGTTCATGTAGGGTCAGACAGTGCGTTCATGGGCTGATGGTACTCTCTACTGATGAAACCTCACAACGCGCGTTGGCAATAGTGTCCCACAAGCCACGATGCCATCCGGAACTCAACCATGACAGTGGTCTGGTTCTGGTCTAGATTCGAGAAGGCCGTCGATCCTCTGGTCTTGGTTGCATTTCGCGAATCGTCAGATGCCTTTGGAGGCATACTCCTCGGCATGACAGGCAACAACCCAACACAATCGGCATTTTTTACCTTTTGGAAGCCCATGAGGGAACCGCTACTGGCTAGAACCCCGCAAGTTTCCACGTGTCGCTAACAACAAGCTAGCATTGAGGTAGCCTTACAGTCGACGGTGGCTAAGATGCACATGTGGGATGGAGTAGAGGCATAATGTGATATCTGGACCAACGCGATTCATGGCGTTAGAGTGCTTGACGGCAGGAGCCTTGAGTTCCTGGATCGGCGAAAAAATCCGGGGTCGCGCTCGTCTCAGAGGTGGAAGGGAGAGTGTTACTGCGAACATGGCCCTCTGCACAGGCACGAGAGTTCGGGGTGCGGTTAGCTGGGGTAACATGGAAACGGTAGTGCCTGCATGGATTTGAGGGTGAGGATTTGGTGGTGCATAGCCTTCGTAGTTGGGTGCATTGATCGCTGTCTGGTGGTTGTCTGGTGGCAGGCTTCGTGGACGACAGGCAAGACATGTGGCGTCACAGAACGAAAGGCCAGGGTTCGCTGGATGAGAATGAGATGGAGCTTTTCCCCAAGAGTTGGGTTGGGGAGTTGAGAGGGAAGGGGGTGGGCAATTTGAGGCTGGTGGTTTGAGATAGCTGTTGCCACAGCTTGGTGCAGAGATCGAGCTGCCAAATAAGATGTCAGTATCAGGCCATTGCTGAAGGCAATGGCGCCGGATTGTGGTACCAGGGACGTCAAAGTTTGAGCTTGGTCTGCCTCAGTGCTGGGTGTCGTGAACGACGGCTGGGTCTGCAGCCTTAATTGATGAGCAGAGTTACTGCGCAGAGCCGAGGGGGACATGTGGCCAAGCAGGGAGGAAGGCAGTTGAGAAACGGGGAAACTTCACACAAAGATGCCGGGAAGGGGGGATGAGACGAGCGTCTGAGCTGAACTGAGCTGCAATATATGCCCTATGTGTGGCCCCACGACTGTTGGAGCTGCTGAGTAGCGGACATGTGTATTAGTACAATGAAGGTGGCTATAATGGTGTGTGTGTGTGTGTATGAGTATGACTGTGGTACGGGTAGGTAGCTTATTCCTGCAAGGTAACCAACATCGGTCCTCGGTCCGATGGCCAATTAGAATAATGAAGAGCGAGTTGTGGGAAAAGCCGAGACAGTGATCTCTTGCAACCAGGCATGATCCGCAGGCAAGGCGTCTTTTTTGCTTACTGGAATGGGTATGTGTGTCATGGATGGCTGATTAGCCAGGACATGCATAGAAGAGGGTAAATGTGCCCGTACATGATTAAAGAATGCCTGGTAAGATTGTGGGAATTGGGAAAGAAGCAAAGAAACGCCAAGACCAAGCAGGAACACTTCCAGCAACACCCAGCAACAGCTGCAACGACAGAAGAAACAGACCGTCCTGCCCCTTCCGTCTCGTATCGAGGCCGCGAGAGTGCTAAGACTTGGAAAGGCGCCGGGATGTTCTTGTTCTTGGGTAAATATCAGCATTTTACGCGCCTCGGACAGATACACCCACTCTGGGATCTCTTTCCAAATTCTGACGACGGTCCAGGATAGCATTGACGGCCTTTGCGTGCTTCTCATGTACATACCTGACCTGCCCGGCATAAAGCATGACTTGTACGCTGGCTGTAGCAACCGGTACAAGATATGGTCCAAGAATAATGTCAAACAAAAACACCTTTATTTGATCAAACCTCAGATGTAAGGTTGAACTACATGTAGCGAATAGAACTTCTTGGCTGGTAATTTTTCCATTCCGTATGTGGTTGGCTAGGTGGTAGGTTAGGTGTCCGCAGGCTTTTGGAGGTGCGTCTCGAAGAGAAGAAGGCCCAACAAGACCAGGTCTGCAGATGCACATTCTGTTTTAGGCTGGTCGCATACTATGAGCATCTCACATCCACTCAATCAAGCTCGAATACTAGCAGCTTGACTTCATGTGGCGTCAAGTTCGCTCGTGCTGCGAACGGACGATAAGACGATACCGAGTCTGTCGCAGGTGCGGCACAGAAATACGCAGTGTTGACAAGGTCTCGAAATACCAACCCACCTCATTACATAAGACTCATGTCCGCCCATCTGAGTGTGTCCCACCAAACTGTTGGGTATCCCTGTCGTGACTGTGGACCAAGTCCATGCTCTTGCCCCACCAAGGGGAAGGAAGGCAAGACACTAAATTGCGGCATGTAACTAACCTTCTTTGGGCAATAGCCTGCTTCTTCGAAACGCGGGCAACAGCGATTCTCTCTCCAACTCCCACTCTCTCACATCGCACTTGCACAGAAGAGTAGCCCCTCAAGGCACCGGACACCCTAGTAGCACATCATTATCGTCTGTTGTGCTGTGCATTTCGGGTTTTTAATTTTTATTTATTTTTTATCTTTTTCTTTTTTTTCTGGGCTGTTTCCCCCCCAATCTTCTCTTACGAGAGGGGAGCAGGGAGCAGGGAGCAGGGAGTCGGTGGTGGGGGGATTTGTGCAAATGCTCTCTCCTTCTCTACCAAGTCTTTTTTTGGTATTTCTCCTCGGTGTTGGTTGGACCTTTTTATCTAGCTGTCCTGGGGCCACATCGAGAGGCAGGGAAGCAAGGGTGATTGCCTGCACTTGGCCTCAGCTCAAATCTGTCCGCTGGAGCTAACCGTTTACCCACTAAACTGTACTTTTTTTCTGCGCTACGCCGCCGGCAGAGCGACACAAGCGATACCTGGTGCGGGTCCCGACCCCGGAAAAGAATAAATAAAATAACGATGTGAACTTTGGAGCTGCTACGGGAAACCAGACCGAAAAAAGACATCAGAATCAGAGATGTGGAGGATATTTCATTCCTACCTGATGCTACCTCATCTTAACTTAGTCATGTATCTACGGATGCTCAGGCAGTGGAATGGATCGATGGTTTAATGAGGGAGTTGTCTTATCGGTAGACCCAATGCGCACCCCCCCTCCCAAGCTGTATTCCGTTGCATTATCTTGTTCCATTGTGTTGAACTTGGATTGAAACGGGAGCAGCGCTAAGGGAGACAAGACAAGCCCGGCTGGAATCCAACAACATGTACCCGCATCCGTCTCCGATCCACCTCCGCCGTAATAGAGTAGTAGCGCTCCGTAGTGTATAATAGTAACATAGGCAGCAGTGGTAGTGGACAAAGTATGCCTTACAGACGGCGCCAAACTGCGACAAATGTACTGCGCACAACATTGTGGTCCAGTGGCAGACATTGTTGATGCCAACCAGCCAAGACCAGATGAAGCTATAGCAGAGACCAAATCGGCTGCACACTCATGGTGGTTATTTGCCACAGGCCGCATTTGTTTGGTCTTCCACGTCCCTCTGTTGACTTCCCTTACCGAACTGCAGGTGGTAATCCTTAGCATCGACCTTCCCTACCTTACCTACCTCCAAATCTCTGTGTACCTACCTCCTACGTAGTACCTCCCACCACCACCACCCACACTCACACTGGTCTCAATGCTCATGCAACACACGCCCGTAATACTTACTACAACACACACACCTTGTGCTAGACAGCTGTCTGTCCGCCCTTACCTTACCTAGCTGCCTGCTCTGCTCGTCTTTCGTACAGGACGGACGGAGCTTCCCCTCGGCCCTACAATTTTTTTTATTTCTTTTTTGGTCTACCCCCATATTTGCGCTTGCCCCATTCTTTTTATCTCTCCTCATACTGTATCCGTATGCGACAACCAAAATATCCATCACCATTTGCGACAGCGACTGAGGCTTCTGCTCTCCTGTTTCCAGTGCATTCCGTGCAACAAACCGGCCTTCAAGTATGACATAATCGACTCAACATTTGTCTGCCCGCGTCAATCCGTTTCCGCGCACGCTTCTGTCGCCCGCACCATCACCCCCCCGACGCCGGTCCCTGTCTGACTGAATCTCCATCAACCTGAGTTTCGACTCGCCCCTCCGTATCGCGAATATCACCACCGCCCACTCTAACCCACCCTGCTCGTTTGCGTCTATCCGCTTTGGCTACGAGACCGCACCGGTGTCCCCCATTAATTTGTTGTTGTTATTCGTTTGTTTTTGCTCGCCCGCCATCTTCGGGAATGACATGGCTTTGTGCCCTCATGCGACGGCCAGGCGACAATGACGAGGAACGAGGCCGGCTCCCGCTTCAGCTCGCTGACGAGCACCAGCACCGACAGCACCCGATCCTCTTCCACTATCAGGCCCTCCTCAAACCCGTCATCGTCGGTATCGCGTAAGACACCTATACGTCTGAAGACGGATGACAACGGAGCCATAGTTGAAAGGTGAGTGTCGCGTCCCATATTGTCATGTACCCTTCCGCCATCTAGTTCCCTAGTCATCCTACCCAGTCCATCAATCAATCAATCATCCATGCTTCTTTCAAGTCAGTCCACCAGGCCAGCAGCCCACACAAGCCCACATTCTACAGTCCCTAGTCCCCAGTCAGTCGTCGTCGCCGCGTCGGGGCCACGACCTGGGCTCGAGGGCTCCTCTCTTACCTCGCCCAGATACCCACACCCGCTCTACGCATTTATTGTGCGAAAGACAGAGGGAAGTGGTAGCTTCTGTGTTTACGAGTTTGTGTGGTGGTCCTCTCCCCCCCGGTCTTTGCCCGGTGCTTGCTGGAGTGTGCGTCCCACAACAGCTTTTTCCCCCCTCTCTGGCGCGCCGCGGCCGACGTCCCGAAACCTAGTCCTAGGCGAGACACTTGGTGTAGCTTGTGCTTATTTGTGCACTACACTACCTACCACTGCGGCTGGATGTGCTGCTGTTCTGTTCTGTTACTGCGCACTGCTACAAACAATAGCAGCTCCCATATCCGTACAGCTTCCCTCCTCTGTCCCCTCCCCCTCCTCCCCCTCCCACCTCTAACAGCGCCTACCTACTCCTCTCGGTACTCTCGACCCTGAATTACCTCTTGCACCCCTCCCCTCCTCGATTGCCCTCGCCTCTGCCCCGGCTCTCTTCCTTCCCCCAGGTAAAGCTTTGTCGTCGTCACTTCGTCGGTGGAGCTACTCTGCTGTTTTCGATCCTCTCTAGTCCAGCCCAGCCCAGCTCGGCCCAGATAATCTCAGTCACCTTCCCTTCTCCTCCCTCCATGTTCCTTTTTTGACTTGTCTGCCCTTGACGAATGCACCCATAACTGACTGGTCCCTGCGTTGAACCCCCCCGTTTAGATCATTCATCAGTGATTTGAGCCCAGCCCAAACCTCTCCCACTCTTGCTTCTGCGCCGCGTGGAGCCTTGTCACCAACACCAACATCCTCCAATGTATCCGCCTTTCGCGATCACCGTCTGAGCGACTTCGCCAATTACCGTCGAGACTTGGCCGTCCTTGAGACATCCGGTGGCCGTCTTCCATCCATCCAGCAGCAACCTCCAACGGCTAATCCCTCGTCAACCTCCCAAATCGCTCCCTGGATGTCGCCCTCCAACGGCGGTGCCACCGCATCAACCTCCCAGAGCCAGCTCAATACCACCTTCTACAATGATTCGAGCGATAACCTGTCCGTTGCCTCTCAATTGTCCCCCAGTTTCCGCGCGCCCACAAACCGAATCGCACCGCAGTCTTCGGGCAGCCAGGATTCGCCTGATGCCGCGTACTTCGGTGACGAACGACGGCCTTCGCTGGCTAGCATAACGACTTTGAGCAGTCAGGGTTCCAAAACCAGCATTCGAAGAGGTGGATTGCAGAAGTTACAGGGTTTCTTTGGGGAGGAGTTTCCAGGTCGCGACGGTTCGGAAAGCAGTTTGCATTCAAGTTCCGGAAAGGACCGCACGCGCTCTTACAGTCACAGCCGTCCGACAAGAGATCGCAATTACTCCAACGCCACCGACCACCCACGAGATCGAGAAGCCTCCCCTTCCTCATCGAGGCCCAGGACACCAGTGCCGGCTCCCGAGGTTGTGCCATTTCTTTATCAAGAAGCCGATGTAAGTCCTCAACCACTTACCACTGCCTTTTTGATCTTTTCTACTATTGTTTTTCTTTTCTTTCCTTGGCTGTCGTCCCTTTCCATCACAAGAATCCTTTCCGGGCATTCCACCATTCCATCCGCACATCCGTGGTCTTGGCGCCACTACCACGCATGCGGGTATTGCGCCGCGACAAACCACAGCCTTATCTTATCTATTATGCCCTTCTCGCAGTGTAGTGCATGCAGCCCATCTTCCGTCGAGTCAAGCCTGCTAAACTTGCTTCAAGGATATTGCCAGGTACGGCGAGGCCCCAGTTAGAGACATTTTGAGCGGCCCCGACCGCGAACGTTACATGAACAACGAAAATCCCAACAACCCGCAAAACCCACCAAAGACCTCCTCATCAAGTCGCTCCGGTCATTCAATCGTGCATCTGCCCGGCCACCATCATCGCCACAACAGAAGTATCGATGATGGCAGGGCGCTTCGGCCAACTGTAAGCAGGGAAGATTCTCAAGCGAGCTTGCAGGTGCAGAACTCCCGCGAACGGAACGGTTCGGCTGCCACCGTCATGTACAACTCCAACCGATCCCGTGCCCAAAGCCCGACACCGAGCGGCGGCTACTTCAGTTCCAGACACAACCCTTCCGTTGACGGCTCAACGTCGCCTAGTAGCCAGCAACAGCCACATCCGAAGAGAAATATTTTACAGCGATTGCGGAGGAATAAGGACAAGGACGATGCAACATCTAGACTGCGCGATTTGCCCGGGTCGACTAGGTCGTTGGCCGCGAAGCCATCGCGACCCGAATTTCCCCGGCCAGAACTGTCGCCGTCCACCTTCCCCCTCAATTACGCCGGCACTGAGCCTGGCCCAGATCAGGACCCTCGATTGGCGGCCTATAACCAGCGAAACCAGACTTTTAACAACAGATTTCCCTTCTCCAAGAGCAAAGGTCGTCAACAACGGCCGACGGACATGCAAGATGAGCAGATTGGCCCCACGGACAGGCAGGCAGGCGGTCTGGGGACCGTCTTCCATTTGGATACTAACCTGAGTGACATGGAAGGCATTCTTACGAAGCCCCCGCCTCTCACACCCATGGATCATAACTTCATTACTCACATCATCGATCCCGACAAAGTCGAACCTCCTCCGGTACCCACGAAGCCCGACGCTTTGCCAGGGCCCAATGGCTCCTGGAACGCCCCAGACAGCTGGGCTGTTCGTCGTAATACTGAAGATACCACCTATCAAGCACCAGATATCGACGACATTGGCAGTCCACCTCGCCCAGAGGAGAAGATGACACCGTACTGCATCCGTATCTTCAGATCCGACGGTACCTTTGCGACTTTGTCAATGGCTCTAGACGCCAGCGTCACCGATGTGATCTCGCAACTTATTAAGAAGACGTATGCAACGGATGGATTGGAGAATTATCATATCATCTTGAAGAAGCATGATTTGGTTCGTGTCCTGGGGGCTCCCGAACGACCACTTTTAATGCAGAAGAGATTACTACAGCAAATCGGATATGAGGAGCGGGACAGAATTGAGGATGTTGGTCGTGAAGACAACAGCTACCTTTGCCGCTTCATGTTCCTGTCATCACGAGAAAGCGACTTCCATTCCGTTACGAACGATCTCGGTCTTGGACGCATACAAAAGTTTAATCATGTCGATTTGTCCGGTCGCAACCTCATCACCATCCCAATCTCTCTCTACTCCAAGGCTTCGGAAATCATTTCACTGAACCTTTCTCGCAACCTGTCTCTTGATCTTCCCCGCGATTTTATTCAGTCCTGCCAGAACTTGAGAGACATCAAATTCAACAATAACGAAGCCCGGAGGTTACCCCCTAGTCTTGGAAAGGCCGCCAAGCTCACCTATCTCGACGTTTCGAACAACCGACTCGAGCAGCTGGACCACGCAGAGCTGCACGGGCTGCAGGGAATACTCAAGCTGAACATGGCCAACAATCGCCTCAAGGCACTCCCCCAGTACTTTGGCGCCTACAGGGCGCTGCGAAACCTCAACATCTCATCTAACTTCCTGGACAAGTTCCCGCTCTTTCTCTGCGACGTCGAGAGTATGGTGGAGCTAGACCTTAGTTTCAACTCAATCAGCAGCCTGCCCGACGAGATTGGCAAGCTTCGAAATTTGGAGAAATTCGTCATCACCAACAATAGGCTGTATAACTCTCTGCCAGACGCTTTCCGCCAACTATCTGGTCTGCGAGAATTGGATATCAAGTACAATGCTATCACCAGCATCGACATCATTTCCGAACTGCCCAAACTTGAGATACTTTCCGCAGATCATAACAGCATATCACAGTTCATCGGTTCTTTTGAGAGAATCAGAAGCCTGAAACTCAATTCAAACCCCATCACCAAGTTTGAAATAATCGAACCGGTACTGACATTGAAGATGCTCAATCTCTCTCACTGCCAACTCGCAAGCATCGATGAAACTTTCAATATGATGCTTAACTTGGAGCGGCTCGTGCTCGACAAGAATTACTTCGTCTCCTTGCCTGCACATATTGGGAACCTCAGCAGACTCGAGCATTTCAGCATAGCCAACAACAACGTTGCGGAGTTGCCTACCTCTATCGGATGTCTTACCGAACTCCGCGTCTTGGATGTACGAAGAAACAACATTCGAAAGTTACCCATGGAATTGTGGTGGGCGAACAAGCTCGAGACCTTGAACGCGTCTTCCAACATTTTGGAAAACTTCCCTAAGCCAGCCTCCAGACAACCCCGGCCAGCGGGTGAAGAGACTCAGACACCAGCGGCTGTTAGCAAGCCCAATCCTATGAACAGTCTCCCTCAGATCCCTGTGGATGATTCTCCAGACTCCAGGAGACCTAGCCAGAACTCGTCCACCACCTTGCTGAGCGTTGGCCCATCACCAGTACCAGGCAGTGCCGATAGGAAGAGCTCGGTCGTATCAGTGTACGGTAAAGGTGGTAGGAAGACTTCCGTGATGTCCAGATCAACCTCGGCAGGTAATATTGCGGCTACGACGCCGCCAGCCGTAAGGAAAGATTCTAGTTTGTCGTCAAGACTCTACACGACTTTTGCAGGTTCTTTGCGGAACCTTTACTTGGCCGAAAACAAGCTCGATGACGAGGTCTTTGACCAAATCACCATGCTCAACGAACTTCGTGTACTTAATCTTTCGTGGAACTATATTAACGATATGCCACAAAGATCGATCAAAAGCTGGCCGCAGATGGTGGAGCTGTACCTGTCTGGTAACGAGCTGACGACGTTACCGGCTGATGACCTCGAGGATGCCAGTCTTCTGCAGGTGTTGCACATCAACGGGAACAAGTTTACGAACCTGCCGGCCGATATATCCAGGGCCAAGAAGCTTGCGGTATTGGACTGCGGCAGCAACTCCCTCAAGTATAACATTTCCAACGTTCCGTACGACTGGAACTGGAACTTGAACCCCAACCTGAGATACCTCAACCTGTCAGGCAACAAACGTCTAGAGATCAAGCAAACCGTTGTAGGCCCTACCGCGGCTAACCGAGAGCAGCTCGCCGACTTTAGCAGACTTCTGAACCTCAGGGTTCTGGGTCTCATGGATGTCACTCTCACACAGCCTACCATTCCCGACCAGAGTGAGGATCGCCGTGTGCGAACGTCCGGTTCGCTTGCCGGTCACCTACCATACGGCATGGCCGACACCCTGGGCAGGAACGAGCACCTCTCAACCATTGATCTCGTGGTTCCTCGTTTCAACTCTTCGGAGACCGAGACATTGTTGGGCTTGTTTGACGGTCAGGCGCTCTCAAGTGGAGGGTCTAAAATTGCCAAGTACTTGCATGAGAACTTTGGTCACATTTTTAGCATGGAGCTGAAGGGCCTCAAGACGCGTCTTAACGAAACACCCGTCGATGCTCTCAGACGAGCCTTCTTGTCACTGAACAAGGACCTGGTCACCATTGCAATACAGCACACCGAGGAGCGTTCTCAAAAGACGCATAGGGGCTCTGCGCAACCCGTTGTACTCAGCAAAGAAGATCTCAACTCTGGCGGTGTTGCCACTGTTGTGTACCTGCAGAACACTGAGCTTTATGTCGCCAATGTTGGTGACGCACAGGCCATGCTTATCCAAACGGACGGCTCCCACAAGATTCTCACCAAGAAACATGATCCTGCGGAGCCGACTGAGCGCCAACGCATCCGTGAAGCCGGTGGGTGGGTGTCCCGTAACGGTAGACTCAATGACCTTCTGGAGGTATCTCGAGCTTTCGGCTACGTGGACCTCATGCCGGCAGTCCAGGCCGCACCGTACGTCAGCAACATTACCATCCGAGAGCAAGACGACATCATCTTGATCGCCACCCGGGAATTTTGGGAGTACTTGGATCCCGCTTTGGTCGTCGACTTCGCTAGGCAGGAGCGAGGGGATCTGATGCGGGCATCGCAGAAGCTTCGTGATCTGGCCATTGCCTACGGCGCCACGAACAAGATCATGGTAATGATGATGAGTGTTGCAGATCTCAAGAGAAGAGTGGAACGATCGAGACTTCATCGTGGACAGAGCATGTCGTTGTACCCGTCGGGTGTTCCCAACGATCTTCAACAGCTTCCGCGCAGAGGCAAGAGAAACAAGGGTGACGTGCTTGACTCAACCCTACAACGACTTGAAGCTGAGATCCCAGCACCAACTGGCAACGTGTCTATTGCATTCACCGATATCAAGAACTCAACCACGCTGTGGGAGATGTATCCAGCCGCAATGAGATCCGCCATCAAACTGCATAACGAGGTCATGCGTAGACAACTACGGAGAATCGGCGGATATGAGGTCAAGACTGAAGGAGATGCATTTATGGTGTCGTTCCCTACGGCCACTTCAGCACTTCTTTGGTGTTTCGCCGTTCAAATGTCGCTATTGGACGTCAACTGGCCTTCCGAAGTCCTCAACTCTGTTTCTTGTCAACCGTTATATGACAAGGACAACGCCTTGATCTTCAAGGGTCTTTCCGTTCGCATGGGCATCCACTATGGCGAAGCCGTCAGCGAGATGGACCCGGTCACTAGGCGTATGGACTACTTCGGACCCATGGTTAACAAGGCATCCCGTATATCCTCGGTAGCAGACGGTGGCCAGATCACCGTCTCTTCTGACTTCATCTCGGAGATACAGCGTTGTCTGGAGAACTACCAGGATACGGATAGGAACAATTCAGCTGGCTCGGAGGACACGTTCGATGATGACCAGGGCTTTGCCGCAACAATCCGCAAGGATTTGCGGTCTCTGAGCTCTCAGGGTTTCGAGGTTAAGGAGATGGGCGAGAAGAAGTTGAAGGGTCTTGAAAATCCCGAAGTGGTATACTCGCTCTACCCACACGCACTTGCGGGCCGTATCGAGCATCACCAGCAACACGAGACACGCACTGAGGTTGACAAGCCCGCAATCTTGCAAGCAGGCAGTGAGCTGGCATTCGACACGGAGTCGATCTGGGCTCTTTGGCGCGTCAGCTTAAGATTAGAGATGTTGTGCAGCTCTCTGGAAAATGTGTCCGGGCGTGGCTTACAACCACCAGAGACGGAGTTGTTGGAAAGGATGAAGCACCGTGGTGGTGAAGTGACGGAGAGATTCTTGCTCAACTTTATGGAACATCAAGTGAGCAGGATAGAGGTAAGCCAGGGAAAGCCCATCCTCGAGATGCTTTACTAACAATAGTACCAGACTTGCGTCACGTCGTTGTCGCTTCGTCATATAATGATGGGCAATGCCCCCCTCGAACAGTTGGAGGACTTGCGGTCTCCTATGAATGATATTCTCGACCAAGTCGCCAAACAGATGGCTGAGCTAGCAAGATACAAGGCCTTGTACGGTGAACTGAGCGACACAGACCACGGAAGTGACACGGAACAGGAGTAGTGCGGCGAGCGTTCCTTGATTCATGATTCTCATGCGGCGGCTTAACTTATATAATATACCTACGGCGTAAGACGGTATTCCGTCAACAACGATCTAACACCTGGATACCCGATTCTTTCGAAGGGGGGAGACGGCGCTCTGATATACTTATTCCATTACTGTATGATGCGATTACGACACCGAAACAGTTCTAGCGAGAAGCGGTTTGGCGCCTGCTTTCCGGGCTCGGAGCAAACACCTGTTGGTTTCATTGGTTCAGGGGAGTTTCAACTCGGAGAGAGCAGCCGTGTCTTGAGGGGCAAGACCGGACAACCATGGAAGAGGTGCATGTTGGGTGCAGGGAATTACTTCTGGTTCTTGTGCATGTGACTGTGTAGGCATGAAAAGGAGGCAAAGTCAAGAGTCACCTGGATGCTTTATTCAAGAACAAAAAAAGTGTGTGTATATGTGGTATCGGTTCGTATTGGGAGGAGACGGATTGGATGTTGGAGGGATTCCCGGATAGGCCTTGGGGGGGGCCGGGAGAAACAAGGCTTATTGTGGCTGCCTTGCGGTAGGATAGTGTTTGCTTTTTTTTTTTTTTTTGCTTAAAAAAAAGAGAGAGCCGGAGCTCAAAGCCACGGCGTTGGAATGATTGGTTTCCCTCTTCTTCTTCCATGACATGATGCTGATGACGATGATCTCATTGTTGGCGTAGATGTTGATGATGAATTGGTGAGCGAAGAAAGTCAGTGAGGCTAACTTCAACTTTGTGCCATTTGAATGGATTGATTATTGCCATGCTATTTAAATACAAACGCAGCAACTATAAATCTCTAAAGTGGATGGATAGTGTCACACAATCATTGAGATACGATGCGCGCGCCGGCGCCGGCCTCTTTTATCCGCTTCAAAATCCGGATCCGCGGCTCCATGCGCGGCCCAACCCACCAACCACCCGTCAACTTGCGGACCTGATCGCGTAACCTCTTCACTAACAAGCCCCGGCCCAGAACCTTTTCTCCCGCTTCCTCGTCCTCTCCAGCCCCCGAAGCCACCTTGGCGCCGGGCCGAAGCACCTCGATACCTGCGTACCCTTGCACGACGCCGACTGTGTCCCACTGACCCCCCTTCACGGACGCAGGGTCCTCGGCCAGGACGTAGTCGAAACGTGACCAGAAGCCAGGGTCGGCGAGGACAGACTTGTCCTCCGTCTTGTCGAAGGTGAGGACGGGAACGGCGGCGGCGGTCTTGGCGTCGCTGTTGAGGCTGTTCTCGAGCGCGCGCGAGTGGGGGTTCCGTGGCAGGCCGGCGCGGTTCTGGCCGAAGAGGGTGACGCCCGTCATGCAGCTCAACACGTCTGTGTGGACGGCGGTGACGGAGGAACTGGCGGGGCTGCGGCCGCGGGTGGGGCCGGGGCCGACGAGGGTGTGGAGTTGGCGTAGGGCGTCGCCGCCGGGGTAGTTCAGGGAGGAGAGGAGGAGCATGGCCGTCGAGGCGGCGAAGGCGGCGACAACGCTGAGGCAGAGGACTAGGGAGGCGAGGGCGAAGAGCGGGGATTTGGCGCGGCGGGAAAAGATGAAGTTTGCGCCTTGGGCTGCGGCCGCCGTCAATGGTGGGACGGCGTAGAAGATGAAGCGGGCTTCTTTGTGCGGTTGGATGGAGTAGATTGCTACGAATAGCAGAGAGGGGATGACGAGGCCGCGGGCCACGCGGGAAGTCGCGGGCTGCGTGAGGGCCAAGGGGATCAGAAGGACAATGGTCAGAGGGTTGACGAGCAGGCGCGGGAGGGCGGAAGTGAAGTAGAAGTGCCAGGGCGAGACGCCCCAGTTGGAGGAGGAGCCGAGGACGGCATTGTAGTAGAAGCCCCAGAGCTCGGGCCAGAGGGGCTTTTGCCAGAAGTAAGAGTCCAGGGGGACGGAGACGACGAGGGCGACGGTGAAGCTGACGAGGAAGGGGCGCACGAGACGCAGGATCGTTGTTTGGCCTGCGAGGAGGAGGTATAGGCCCGTTGTCGCGAGGAGGACGGCGACCTCAGAGCGGAAGATGGCGGCGGCGAAGACGAGGAGGGAAATGGAGACGCGCTGCCGCGGCGACCAGGCCTGGGGGTCAGGGTGGGGGAGGAGGTTTGCTGCGGCGAGGGTTGCTGGGAGTGTGTTAGTCTAGTTTCTGAGGGGGGTAAGGCAGTAAGAGTGATGGTAAAGAGACGTACTCAACGCGAAGGCAAACATATTGGGCAGCGTACGTGATGCGTAGAAGATAATGTGGAACTGGCTCGCGAGCAGCAGAACCCACCATCTCTGCACACCAACACCCAGCCCCTTACCGAGGCCGCGAGCGAAGACGATGAGGACAGCGGCGTTGGCGAGGCCCAGCAGTGCGCGGACGACCAGCTGGGCATGGGCGAACCCGACAACGCTAACGAGAGGCCCGCCCACACCGGCGAGGAGGACGGGGCCGACGAAAGTGCGGGGCACGGCGCCGGGGAAGTCGAAGTGGTCGTAGGAGGCCCGAAGACGGGCGGCAACATCGTGGGTTGGTGTGCCATAGACGAGGACGTCGTGTGTGGCTTGGATGTTGAAGGATTCCTCGACCTTTGTGTCCGGGGCCAGGAGCAGGTGTATGGTTATGAGAGAGGGTATAAGACCCAAAAGGAGGAAATCTGTTTGTTGGTGTTAGTCTATCTACTTTGATATGAGAAAGGTGAACTTTGATCGGTTACCTAGAAGCTTCATTGTAAGAATGGTCGGAGTTTATTGAGTGCTAAAGGAGTGAAAAGGAACGTGGGGAAAAGGGGAACCCAGTTTGGTTTATTTCATTGCCAACCGTCAAAAGAGGAAAAGAAGGAGAAGAAAGCGCCTTCGAGAAGGTTAGAAGCTCAGGTTATGAAACGACTTGCCCTGTGCTTTCATCTCAATGCTGTTCGTTCGTCCGTCGATATTCTCACGAACTTCCTTCTCATTAGAGCAAGTGAAATTGTAAGCTGTCGTCTCGCACCTACCCACCAGAGCACTGAGTGTCCGTGCTCGGCCCAGCACTTTTATGCTGGCTGCGACAAAACAGAGCTGTGGACAGCTCGCTAAATGGTTCGTACACCAACCACCTAAAGCCTATCCGTATCTGCGCGCTCCTGTGCCTCAGAACAGGGATCCTTTTTCGGAACGGATCAAATCAAACCCTCTCCACCGTCATCCTCCCTCGCACACAGACACCGCGGAAGCTCTGGACAGCGCAGCGCCAACGCTATCACCACCTGGCTCTAAATTCCAGGCTTCAACTGCCACAGTTGGCAAAACCCCCCCTCCAACGATCGCAAAAACAGAACAAAACAACCAGCTCTCACCGCCCGCGCCGGCTCATACCTAGATAACCAACTGTCAAGATGTATATCCTAGGAAACTTTCTCTACAGTAGGTCTACTTGGCCGCGGCCGCTTCCCTCAGGAGCTTGTACTAACGCATGTGTTCTTCCCCCTCCAGTTGCCGTCCTCCTCATCAACGCCATCGCCGTCCTCTCCGAAGATCGCTTCCTCGCACGCAGTACGAAATCGCCCCCTTCCCCTCGTCTCCCTTTCCAAACCCTTCAGTCTCTCTTCTCTTGGCAATTCAATGGAATGCGCCTAGCTGACTTGGACACCAACAAAACAGTCAACCTCTCACCATCCTCCTACGACCCTGCCTTCGGCCAGAGCACCGATGCCAGCGTCAAGGCGAAGATTATCAACCTGATTGCGAGCGTGCGCACGCTCATGAGAAGTATGTGCATAGATATATACCCCTCCCGGTTTCTCTAGCACGAGTCCCGCTTCTCCTAGGTCGCTGACAACTTACCTTCCCTCCCCCTTTAGTACCGTTAATAGCGATCAACACCCTCATCATCCTGTACGAGCTCATCCTCGGTTAAGACGAAGAGACGGCGCAAACTGCTTTTTTTTGTATCATACGACTCGAGCCTTCCACAGCATGGCATCATGGTAACGAACCGGCGTTGGGGGGAATGAATGAAAGCGGGTGGTTTTGGTCGTCAAAGGGGCGCCAGCCATTGCCCTAGGGGTAAAACATGAAAAAGACTACGGGCAATTTTGCAGATGTAATGTCAAAACTAGTTGGGCAAGGGTAAAATGCTTTCAATTATTCCAACCCAGAGACTGGCTCCTTGGAGCTGTTCAGCTCTCGATCTTTAGTGCTGTCGGCCATTGGCTACGTCTTGCGCTATCGTACAGTCCGACTTGACGCCGGGGAAAGCAACGCTCAAGATGCCATCGTCACAAATGTCCCTGCTCGCCTTCATTAGGTGAAGAAAGAGAAAACAGAAAGAAAGTAAAAACACTATTATCCAAGCACACCACACCATGCTCGGGTATCTGCTCGCGCCAAGAGTCATCACTCTCCTACCCTCCCGGAAGCTCTTCATGTAACTGGTCGCGACTTGCGCCAGGGCAAGCCATGTACTGTTCATCGTACAGAACTCCGCCCCTCGACTCCTAATTTTGATATATGTACTGGAAAACGAAACCGAACCCTTCAGATAAGTCATAAAAAGAATATTTCATGCGCCGCCTCATGAGAGCAAGTTGCCACTCTTCTTCCGTCCAAGGTTGAAACTGAATCGCTCCTTCAACTCCTTGGGTTTGTCCGGCTGGTTGGCCACTCCTTCGGTGCCATTGTGTCCGTTCTCTGATGGCTTATTCGGCTCTCCCTTATCTTTATCCTTGCTAAGGAATCCGAAGCTCTTGCGGCTCATCGATTTGCTTGCCCGGCTGGATCTGTTGAGGAAGCTGGTTGTGCCAGAGGGCTCTTTCTTCTTTGCCTCTTCTTCTGCCGTCTTCTGGCTCGCCTCAATGGCCTTGCGCAGCTCTTCCTGTTCTCTCTGGTGGGCCTCTCTCCTTCTAGCCATGGTTTCGCGTCTTTGCTTCTCTTCCTCCTTGACCCTGTCCTTTTCAGCCTGCTTTCGGGCTTTCTCCGCAGCTTCCTGCTCCTTCTTCTCACGCTTCTTGTCGTCTTTTGACTTTTCTGTCTTCACCGCTGTGTTGGATCTGGCAAGACTTGATGGAATGGTAGGCGCCGCAGGAGTGACAGGCGTAGCCGGTACTTGAGGGACAGTCTCCGGAGGCGGAATGTCCACTTTGCCTGGTGCAGTCTGTGCGTGGGCGAGACTGGGCATTGGATCACGCTCTTCCACGGGGCTGATAGGCTGCGTGAATTGCTTGGAGAGTGGTGTCGTGCCATTTGCCTGGCCATTCTCGTGTGCGACATTGGCAGCCTCGCTCGCGATCTTGACCTCCTCCAAGCCCTCAGCCTCCATCTCAGCCTGCACCTTCTCGAAGGTGGTTTCTTGGTAAAAGAGAACATAGGCACAAGCCATGCCAGGCTTGTCGCCAAAAAAGTTACGCACGAAGTGCTTGTCGACAGGCTCCACCATCTCGTCGTCGAAGAGAACCCAACCCCGATCCTTGGTTTTGATGACTGACACGTAGTGGCCGTGATAGGCATTGCCTCCAATGTGGACGACAACGGCGTACAGCTCGTACAATCGGTCAGGGTCCTCGGCGTCGTCGGTAGTGTTGAACATACGCAGATGGTAAGGGTACACGACCCGATGGAAGAGCTTCTGTAGCCGGCTATAATCCTCAGTGTATTTAAAACGCTTCAAATGCAGTGCCAAGACCTTGGGTAATCTCTTGATCTTCATTCGCTTTTCAGCCTCTTGAAGACCGCCGCAATGATCGCAGTGGAATTTGTTGCGCTCGCATAGCATTTCTTCAGCGGAGAACTTGCGCAAGCATGACGTTACTGATGAATGCTCTTCCAAGTCAATCGACAAGTCAAGGAACGTCTCGTCTCTTTGCGAAGCCGTCTCGCAAGTCAGACATTTCGTTTCCGATGTCAAGACACCCTCGAAAATGTCATGGACCCAGCCCGTTCCTGGAGAGCCCAACCCGTTGGCCGGTCGGTTGATAAGGCTGGTAGCTCCGAGAGCGTTCTCCACAGACTGAACCAGGCCGTCTTTGTTCTCGGCCACTCGCTCTTGGATTCGTCTCGCGTTGGTCTCAACGTTGGAAATGACGTCGTTCAACACAAGGCCGTAGAATTCGTGAGCGTCCTGGTGCATTGAGTTTCGGAACATTTCATTGTCTCGCTTGAAAATCTCGAGAAACCGCTGTGGGCTAAGAACGCCTGTTCTGGTGTTGCTCTCGATAAGAGCCTGAAATATGTCTTTAAGGCCGGTAAATGTGCACTCATCCATGCCATATGCCAACTGGTTTTCCTGCGCCAGTTCCAAAATCGGGCCTTTGATCATGGCCTGCTTTTTCTTGTATTCAGGCGAATCGGGCTTGTCTTCTGGTCGTGTGGGGGGCGCACCCGGAGGTGGCAATCCTGCCATTGTTGCCTGTCTGCGCTTCATCGACTCCGAGGCACTCAACCCTTTTTGCTTCGCGCCGGGGGTATTGGGTGGTTCTTTCGCAGCTGGCGGCCGGATGGTCACGTTAACCTTTGGCCGGGTCCCGTTCGGGGTATCGGTAGGCGACAGAGGCGGATAGTTAACAACATGGTCTCGAAAGGATTCGGAATAAAAGAGTGCCTGTACGATAGAGTTGCAGTAACTATTAACAGGTTAGCAGTGAGGCCGTGGGGAAGGCGACAACGCCGCATACCAAGTATTTCCAAACTTTACGGTTCGTCAGCAATCGTTGTCTCGGAAAAGCCGGTGCAGAGCCCCAGCCCCGGTGGGGTTTGAAGACTTACATTCTCGAGACCGAAGAACTTGTCAGTGCCGTCTTCCCTCAAAGGACCGGCGTTCTGCAGCATCTTCTCCAAGGGAGTCAGCTCGGGGGCTGGCTCTTCCTTGCCGGTCTTCTTGCTCGGCGCATCTTTGGTCGCTGGGGTTGTGGTTGTCTGGGAGGCGGGGTCTCTGTCAGTAAAGCAGCCACATACGCGGCAGAATAACGACCGAGATCCAAAAGGTAACAAACAAAAGGCAATATCCATTCGAGGGGGGGTTGGACATACATTTCCCGAGCCTTTCAGCTTGTTGAAGAAGCCGGCCATATTGGCGACTTCACGTGGGGGTATGATCAGGTGGCGGTAGTGTGATAAATTGTAGGTGGTATATGCGCGAGACAAGCTCACGGGGGCCGAGCAAACGGAATGAACCCCAGCATGCGACAGGCAATTGGACTTGAGATGAAGGCGTAAGTAGGAATAGAGCGCGTGAGAGAGGTGTAATGGTGAGTTTTGGAGGATTCGAGCGACGGGCGCGACTGTGGCACAGAGAAGTTACGGGGTCGTTTGGTCGGTAATTCGGCCGAAGATGCGGTTGGTCTGTGGAGGAGGGACGACAGAGGAGAGATGAATGTCAGGGGAGATTGATAGCGGACGGTGGTGGAAGCAGCATTTGCCGGAACAGACAATGGAGACCAAGCCGTGTTGGCAACGATGAAAGAGGGAGGAGAGATTGGTAATTGGGGGGATGGAGAAAACAGCAACAGCCGTAACAGCTGGCCACAAGAAGGAGACTGGGAGTGAGAGAGGGATTTGGACTTGGGGTCCTGGGGTTGAGGAAGCAAGAGCAAGGAGGATGGAGGCGAGTTTGTGGGTTGGGACAGGAAGGAACAGGATTGGATAGAGAAGGGCGCGCGACAAAGTACTCCGTGTACGGCTCAGCAAGTAGCGGCAGGAGGAGCAGCAGCAGCAGCAGTAGCCAGCAGCGACGGGGGTGGAATGGAGGCGCCAGAGAGACGGTGCTGCGGGACGGCGACAGCGACAACGACAGCGACAAGCAAAAAAGGACGGGCTAGTACTATGTGGTAGGTCACTAATCGGCGGTTGCTGGTGGTGGGGGAAAGGACGAGGAGGGGACCCACTAGGCAGTCCACAATCGACGGTGTCAGTGGAGGGAAGGTGGAGGACGTTGGAAGGAATCGAAGGGTTGCAACGCACAGAAGGGGGCTAGTTCGTCCGCGAGTGCAGGGCTAGACAGGCCAGACATGGGGTTTCCGACCAGGGTTGGCATGGAGGAGGCATGGAGGCAGGTGCGCGGTACCTCACTGGAGTCTATTACGGCGTTTGCAGGGCAATTAGGAGAAGGGGAGCAGGAAAAGGGCAGACCGGGAGGCTGGATGGAGACAGGCACCCAATCCACCATCCAACTCTGGAGTGATTCCGTACCCCAGGCAAAGGAAAAGGCATTAAAGTCTGGTGGCTGGCGACATTGGCAGATCAAGAAATTCACATCCGTTCGTAAAGAGAGGAAGAGAAGGAAAAAAAATATTGAAGAAAAAGGAGACAGAATCTGTACAATTAGCAATGCGCATGCCACCCAAGTCTATCAATATCTGTCCTACCAATTCTGTCTTCTAGTTATGCACATCTTATTTTCTCTCTCATTTATTTTCCATTCCTAACCAGCCTGGGCTTTTTGCCTGCCAGTACCACAGCCTTTGACGCTGGGGGTGCCTGGCAGCAGTTCGGGGACCAGTACGTTGCCAGTGGTTGGCTGGAGAGGCGAAGGCGAGAAGGGGGAAGGGACCGGGTACACTAACAGGTAACCGATAGCGACGACTGCGTGTTGGATTTTCCCCGTTTGTATCTCTACCAGCATCCCATCGAAGTAGGTGTGTCAGACGACGTTATATCTGGCTTGATCTTGCCCCCGGGGGACTTCTACCTGTCTGGCCGCCCATGTAAGACAAGAGACTACGGCTGGCCTGTCCGCCATGTTATCTCCTCGTGGCCTGACCGATGGTGACTACATTGGATTAGGGCAATCAATGTTCTGCAGGGCGCCAGCGACCCATCACCTATCACTGATGGCTGACCTACGCGGTCTAGGCAGACAGGAGAACATACTGGTTGCACTATGTAGGGGCGAGGCGGAAACAAGCTTAGCCTTTCACGCACAACCAGCTGCAGAACGACGCTTCCATGTCTGTTCCATCTGTAGGGCCAACCCTTCTGCGCAGGACTATGAAAATTTACTAGCAGTAGTCTTGGTCTTTGGTCTTAGTCCTACGTCCTACCACCCACCCCAAAAGCTGAATCCGCTTTTTTTTCTTCCCCTTTACTCGGCGGGAACGTAATCTCCTCGGATTGGACTTCCGTTTGACACCGACGACAGGAAATGTCCATTCTTCTCTGCTCTTTTTTTGGCCCTTGGGGCATTTAGGTGAGGGGTTGGAAGTCGGGATTAACCCGCACCTACCAAGACCAAGACTCAAGGAAGCATTGCTGATAGCTTCAAAAGTACCTACCGTGGGTGTGGTTCCTGCCCACCTTTTTCCATCCACACGCGCTGCTTACCAACATCAAGGCACGGAGCACATAACAGCCTGACATGCGAGTACCCTGCCATGCCACCACCCTCGTTCTCCTCCGCACTTTTTACCCACCTTGTGCAGTCACCAGTGACCAGGTGCAGAACAGGCCTGTCGGCTCGTCGTCTCCAGTCGCCTCCAGCCTCCAGGACGTAGAGTGCGGGAGGAGGTACGTACTCCGGCCTTCCCTTTTTTTTTCTTTTTCTTTTTCTTTTTTTTTCCTCATTGGTTCTGCTCGAACTTTCCTGCCTTTTGTTGGTAAGGCAAGAGAAGACTGAGAACCAGCCTACCACCCAGCATGTTAGAAGCAGCTTGTTCGAGCTGTGAGACGAGGACAATCCTTACTCCGCTGTGTCAACTGGGGTTGAATAAGAAGGAAAAGGGTTATACAAAAATAAAAACAAAGAGGAAGGGAGAGGTCCAGATCAGATACCTGTACTCCGTCCTCCGGTATCAGTACCCCATCACCCAAACAAAAAGAAATAGGGCGGCCTGTCTCCCCCATCGGTTAGCGTTCGCAGCTTCCGTCACTGACACGACGGACCGTTTAAACGCCGCTTAAAACAGTAGCAGTGCAGCCATGTTCTTTCTTGTCTTGTCTCGCTGCTAATTGGGACCCAACGCCGCCGATCTACTTAGCCGGGAGGCCTGTGTTTATTGTTCACCCCCCCCGTTCAGTCAACCTCGAGCCAACAAACGATGCCAGATCTGCGCCTCCAATTCTCCTTTTTTGGTAGTCTTGTACGTCTTTGTAGGTCAACATTTTATGACCACGACCCCTAAGGTCCAGACAACAGACGACCGCCCGTCAATCTTCGCCTTGACCCCCTTCCTCATCAGAGGATTTACTGTGCCCTGCGGCACAGAAGTGACCGAAGCAAATCTCACATGACGTGGGGGCCAGAAACGGCCGGAATGCCTACTGCAAAAGAAGCTGCCCAAAACAAACCCGCCCCCAGAAGAAGAGGAGAAATCCACGGCTGTCCCACCATAACTTGTCCCTGGATCGGTGACCATGATCTGGAACTCTGCTCAGCTCGCCATCCAAACGCCAAAACAGCCATTATCCAAGGGTAACCAAGTAAGATAGGGTTATCGCTGTTACTTGTTCATTCAGTCAGTCTTTTTTCTCTTCGTGTCTAAATATTTTTTCCCTCACTTCCGTGCTGTGTACACTTTTGCCGACCAAACCTACGTTAGCTTACTTCCTTGAAGCCAGCCCCAACGCCTCGCACACGCTTTACTGCTGAATCGGGTATGAGGGCTATCTCCTTGGTCATCTATTTGGTGGGAAAAAACATCCGTTGGCTTTACATCCGTAGCCGACACACCAAACACTCTAGCTGCCGGCATCCAATCCGCATTCTCTCTCCACCCCCGGACTCAAAAGAGAAAGGCAGTCACGCCTTGAGTCGTTGGTGTTCCAGGCTCTTGTGTTGATGACGATCGATGAGACGGACATCGTCCAGGACAGGCACTCTGCGACCATGTCTTGACACGGCTAGCCACCTTGGCCAGCTGGAGTCCCGGATTTCCCACCTTCTCCTCTGCCGGGTCCTTGTCTTCATCGTTCTCCATTTTCGTTCTTGTGGGTTGTCGCCGCAGACCGTGCGCCTCGCACCAGTGCCTTGCACGGCATGGCTTCTCCTCACTCAAACAAGGGCCCCTCTCTATCCCAGGGTTGTAAGTTGCAAACGCGACGCAACGTAACGCAACTACACCCGCCTTACCTGAAGATAGCAGATTCGTCGCAACAACGGTGGACATACTGCACACCAATAAGGGGGCTTACAGATGCCCCAAACCAAACCCCATCTCATGGGTGGTTACCAGCGCCGACTGGCCAACCTGTCAGGTCAGACCAGACCCCAGGCCCTAGCTCTCCGCCCTGTTGGATCCCTTGGTGCGGCCACTACCAACGACATTGTTGCATTGGCTTCCAGGTGATACGAAGAGAGCTGCTGCTGCTGCTGCTGAACACTACTGGTTAATGCCAGGTCTTTTCACAGCCTGAACAGTGGAGGGAGACTCCTCGTCTGTTGCTGCTCGCCTCCCCTTGTCCCAGCATATCCCTCCTAACTAGCCGGGGGAACGCTATTGTCGCCGGCCAGCATCCGTGCGGGGGATATCCGCTCGCTCGTGCTCTCACACCGCGTGCCCAACTCACTTCTGCCAATTAATGCCGTAGCCATTGGCCTCGTTGCTGCATCATGGTCGTATCCATGTCCGATCGAAACGGATTCACCATGGCTTATCCTTAGTATCTCTCCTCGGCAAACCGTCCGCTTCTCAACAAGTCCGCTGACATACAAGTATGATCCATGGCCAAGCAATTCTCCTGCCAATTGCCCCGCATCCTTATGACGGCTGACGGAAGACAAAGAAGGCAGATTTTACCACAAAAGTCGCCAACGGCCCTCGGGAAACTAGGACCGAGAGAAAAGGGAAGAAAAAGCCCTCCTCCGCCGAGTCGGGCTATTCTCGTTGTGCCTCGCTCGTGGCGCACCTTGGCTCATATCTTGGCCAAGCCCGGTCCGTTAGACTGATGTGCCCCAATCTAGCGACCGACAGTGGGCGCACCGCCTGAATCACCCGCACTCCTTCACCACCAACCCGCTCCAAGCACACCCTCTGGTAGGTCAGCGGCCTCCACGCGCCTCCCTTGCCGGCCCGATTCCTGCGAACTTCTGGAATAAACGAACGTCATGCCCTGCACCCCTCGGTGCCGTTTTCCCCACTACCGTTCAGAGACACTGTGCTATGACGAAATGGCTACACGGCTGTTTGTCTTTCTCCGTCTTACAAAACAATTCGCAACATTACGGGGTGCAGCCAAGCGAACCCAAACAGCCTTTTTGTTGCTGTTGCGAAAGAGCAGGCACCGGGGTCGTAATGTTGTGTGTCGTTCGGTAGTAAAAGTATTGGCCGGTTTCCGGCTCCCAACAACCGGGATGCTGTCCGCCTTAGTTCGGACGGCCTAGGAGTCCCTGAAGTGGTTAAGGGGAGTGGAGAGGTAGAGGCCGCTCCGGCGTCGCCGGCAGTCGGAACTGGTAAACTCTTGCCAGCATACTACCATGCAGCACGCAGTAGTTAGTTGCGTGCGCGCTGTCGAAGCTAACTCAACCTGGTGTTGGGTGCGACATATTTGATTTGATACTTCAGCAACTGTCGTGTTTGAATCGCTGAACTAACACAATAGAGATTGTATGCTTAGTTTCCTCTCTTGCCTAGCAACCTGGAACAAACTAACCTCGAAGCTGTACGTTGCCGGATTGACTTCTTGATACTTGTCCAGAACATCAAGTTTGTGACTGACTGATACCAATTAACGATTGATGGCATTGTCAACTCGCAACGCCTGGCGACTGAGCATGCTTAGTATCACATATCGTGGGCCACATTAGCGATTCGTGTTTGCGTATCTATTGGTGATTTAACAAGACCTGCGGGCCTTGAATTGGACTATTGGAGCTCTGGCTTTAGCAGCAACAGGCTGTTGCCTCTCTAACCGCTTTCAAGCACAAATGTAGAATCTTGGTGCATCATTTAAAATAGACAACAACAACTACATATAAAATAAAATAAGAAATCGTGAGGCTTAACTGTTGTTCATGATGTGGCATCTGGAGAAGAGTAACTAGGGCGAAGCCTTGTGGCTGAAAAAATAAAGACACTGATATAGAGAGTGACAGTAATAACAAAAGGAGAAACAAAAAAATAGCAATAAGTCAACTGGTAAAGATACTACAAGAAAACAATGAAGAGATAGAGTGACGGTTATGACAAAAGTAAGACAGAACTACCCATGTTCAGTCCAAGTCGGTAAAATAAGTCCTGTTGGGACATGTAATTGCCAGGAGACAATATCATGGAGCTGAGGCAAGGCCGATTTTGCTTTTCGACAAGCTTTCAGCGACATCGCTTTGTCGATCAAGACAAATTTAAGTATGCAAAGCAGGTCACTCACTCTGGTCTTTGGGGTTCACGAACAAGCCACTTAGATAAAGTCACATTGCTTGACCTGGGCCAACTAAACGGGAGTAAAACGATTTGGCGCGGTACAGTTACTTAAACCAAGGTGAAAAAGAAGCCTTCTAGATTCATTAGACGGCCAATTTCACACCCATCGCAAACCATGTATGCCACACACATCCGGCCGTCAACAGACATTAAAAAAAAAAAAACACTTTCCTCCGGCTTCACAAGTCTACTTCTTCTCAGCTGGTGCCGCGCCTCCGGTCGTCGGAAGACCCATGAAGATCTTGAAGTAATCCTAGAGAGCGTTAGTTTTTTTTTCCCCCTTTCTTCTTCCTCCCTTTTTTTCCTTCTTTGCGTTTGGGGGTTGTTCTCGGCACTCACGTAAATCATCCACTGGAGACCAGTCAGAGTACCGATCATGACGATACGGACAGGCAGACCGTTCCAGAGGCCAGAGAAGCCAATGTCCTTATAGATCCTGCCCATGGCGGCACCGAAGGCCTCGCCCTGCTGTCGGTTCGCGTTGAGCTTGCTGACCATGACGTCAGCCGGGTGGGAGACGATAGCGCAGAGAATACCAGCGAGATAGCCGCCGACAAAGGAGACTCCCGTTTGCGCTGCCTTGCTGTAGTCGCTCTTCTGGCCCGGCAGCCGGTCGTAGATCATCTCAACAATGGTCTCGAAGGAGGCAAATTTCATCATCGTGTAAGGGATCTGGCGGCCCCAGAGAGGGTAAAGACCTGAGATTGTTCGTTAGCACAATTTCAGAGATATTCAACTCGTTATTTTCTTTGTTTCTCTGAGTATTGGGGATGTTTTACCCTTGTACAGACCGCCCCAGCCCTCCTTGGCTGTGATCTTGCTAATGCCGTCAAGAGTGCCCTTGTACGGCGAGGGAATCCCGCCCTGCATACGGACTTTAACTGCCTCGAAGGGGCAGAGGGCAATGTCTGCTATGAACTCGGCGGAAGCTGAAGCAGTAAGGTACAAGAGTGTCCTGTACTTGACCGCATTCTCGGGTCCAGCCAAGTCCGAGTAAAACTACAGGTGTATTAGCGGTATTCTCAACATACTAAATCATTCACAACGAGTAGATAACTCGCCTTCTTGAAATACTCGTATCCGCCGTATTTGAATGCTCCCTGTGCCGAATACCCCCAGAAAGTCGGTCCCCAGCCGGTCATGATCCCGCGAAAGCCTTCAGTTCGGAGGATGTGGCCCCAGGCCTGGAAGTTGCCCTTGTACAACTTGGCATCCACCTGACGGCGTACTTTGACGAGATCGAGAGGAGTAACAGCAGTGTGTGTAAGACCCTGGTAACTTCAGTTATTTACAGATCTTTTTTAAGCTGCTGTTCATTGACGCTGTTGTTGGCGAGTATGACAGTGGTGGTGGAAATGGACGCGGTCATTCATCACTTACACACGCCAGAAGACCGCCGACAGTACAGGCGGCGTAGAACTTGGCAGAGTAGAGCTCAATTTTCCCAGTCTTAGCCTGTGCCTTCGCGCTGGCCTTCTCGAACTCGGCCGTCGCCTCGGCGCTCAGCTTCTGAGCCTTACCCTTGACGTCGTCAACGGTGGAGAAAGCGCCATATAGCTCGGGACGGGCCTGGTAACGGGTCGGTTTTGCCGTCGGCTGAGGGGCCAAGGGGGATGCGAAGCAGCCCTTCAAGGCGTCTTGTCTGGGGTAGAGGAACGACATGGTTGAGGTTCCGCCTGTGCCGCGATCAATTGAACTATTCAGTCTACACGAGGTCAGCAATCTGAGCTGGCGCAGAGGGTGACCTGGGTAAGCGGCGGAATCGGAACGCGCGCAGCGAAGGCAATTGATATGCGTGAGATTTGGGTAGATGGCACGGATACGTCATGAATAACGACCCCAGCAATTGCAGGAAGTCCAATGGTAAATATGGCACTAAGGGCCTGTACACGGATAGCACGGGTAGCTAAGACAACAATGTTGGAGCTCTACTTGAGCTTTCCGAAGCTTTTCAAAACTGCAATGCCTTTGAAGAGCTCGGCTGAGGGCGAAGCAAGCTCGTCTGCTGGGTGGAGTGAAGTTGATGCTCGTACAAAAGCGGACGACCATCGCAGTCACGCGACATGCGACCGCTTCCGGCTTGGAAAGAAAGTACATTGGAAACGGACTTACACCGATGAGGTTCTTTAGGTAGGAAATAGCACGATGAAAACAAAGAACTACGAAGTCGGGAGATTCTAAAGCTCCAACCGATACACACCAGGGACGAGTGGGATGAGGTAAGAGAGGAAAATGGAGGTAAGCAGGTTTATCTCATCATGGTAGTAGCCATAGGTGATAGATATCTATTAGGACAAGCAGAAGATGACGGGATTGGCCGATCTTACCGGCCAGCCGCTTGGAGAGAGTACATCACTTCCCTGGCATCTCAATACGAAGAGCTATCATTAGCAGCCAAGCTAGCTGTAGCAGCCACTGGCCTTTGTAAACAGCTACCCCACCCATTTACCAAAGACTGACGGCCGTTCTTCAGAGCTCGTTAGAAAAAGTGACATCACATCGGAAAAGCTCGGGGCCCCAATACTGGGAGCTTCTGGTGGCTTAATACCGGTAACTCCGGGTTGCTACACATATGCGGAGGAAACAGTAGTGAAGAGTGAACAGTCGTGTTTGAATAGATCTAGAAGTCACCAACTGCAATGACCCTTTCAATTCAATACTACAGCTGTCAAAGGAAAATTCAATTGCTAGTGCACCGGCCCATACCCTACACATTCCATTCTAGAAATTGATACTATTTTCCAATTTTGGCCGTTTTGTCAATATCAAAATGAAGATCGCATCGAGACTGCTCTTTCCCCTTCCCCAAGTTTGCCAGTTGCTCCATCCTGTTATGTCACTGTTGCCTAGGTCCCCAACGGCACCAACCCCACTGTGGACCCCACCTCGGTGAGCAAGTCCAACCCTGGGGCGGTCAGCGAAACCTTAACAAAGTTGCAGACGCAGACGCAAGGGGCAGAAAAAGCAAGTCGGAGAGTCGCCCCCACTCTCTGTAGCCGCCGCCGCCGCCGCCGCTCTGTGTGAGAATTAAGACACTACTACACTATACTACGCAACCTTGTCCCGCCAAACCTTTCAGCCCTGTCGACACCGCCCCTCCAGACCCCGCGATAGCTCGACAGTCGACCGCGAATCTTGCAAACACTCTTCATTTTCTCCGGGCCTCAACCATTTTAAGCAGTAATGGCCGCCCTGGCTTCCAACACCGCTGCAGCGTCGCAGCCCAGCGACTCTGCTTCCACTCCCTACGTCTCAAAATGGTCTTCCCGCTATCGCGGTGTACGTGGCTACTCTCATTGACATGCGAAGTCTTACCGTTACTAACTTGCATCCAAGGCGACTGTGGAGGACCTCGACCCTCCTGCTGCCCTCTCTCTGACCCCGAAAGACCCCATCTCGGTCGCCCTCCTCTCCGCCTTTGAGCGCGACTACACCCATCTGACCGTTGTCGACGCCCACCGCTCGCTGGTCGGCTACCTCGCTATCCCGCACCTGCAAGCCCTCCTCGACGCTGGGAAGGTCGTGCCCCAAGACCCTCTTGAAAAGGCCATGGTTCGCTTCCAGCGCAAGGGCCGCAAGTACCGTGTCATCACGATGCAAACTCCTCTCGAGGAGCTCGAGGCCTTCTTCGAGGGCGACGGCGTCGAGGGCCGCAAGAGCCATTTTGCCGTCATCACGGACGAGAAGAGACGGTTTGTGCTGGGTGTCGCGACGGTGCAGGATCTGGAGGAATTTGTCAAGAGGAGGCCGGCTTAAAGAGTGAGAGGTACGACTATGAACGAGAGAGGAAGGATGGATGATGAAGTGATTTATACCCAACAGGGTGGGTTACCAGGCCCTATACAAAGGTTATGATGGACATGGTAGACGGCGGGCTGCATCAACTGGGCGTTGGAGGTTCAATATGGACCGGGGGAAAGCATTGGTACCTTGGCTGGGAGGCGGACAGATGCTTCAACACAGTTCTGTCATCGACAATGACTTTTACTCCATTTTTCGCTTAGAAGTGCGCGGATGGTACACTGGCAATTTAAGTATTATGACGGGTGCAATTGTTATTTATGCTTTCAAGTCTACTCGTAGGATGTTCGTTTGCGGCTATGTGCTCGAAAGAAGTCCACCGGCCTCTCCTCTCTCCCCAGCACTCAATAACAAAGGAAATCACATTAATGTTCACAGACCCTGCTCCGTCTAAGGAAGCCAGTCATACACCAGCCGGATCTCAACTCTCTTGCCGTCCTTCTGCACAAGCACATTGCGCGCGTACCGTCGCTCGCCTTTAATGGTCTGAAAGCCCCAGATTTGAGACGCTGTCCATCCGTTGTCGATGCTCTCAACGTGGCTGTACATGTGGCTCTTGCCGTCGGGGCCCGTGGCCTCGGCCTCGCCCTCAAGCCAGTTCGTCTTAAGGAACTCATCCTCAATCTCCTCGGGCGACATCCACTTGCTTTGACCACGAACGCTGCCAAACATCCAGTCTGAGTGCTCGCGCCACTCCATGTCGAGGCAGCGCTTCTCAGACGTGCCCTTAAGGCCACCCGTAGCGATCTGATCAATGTCAATATGGGTGACAGGCTGCTCGCCGGTGCCGGGAGGAGAAGGCGGCGCCGAGTACTGCTTGACGATGAGGGTCACAGTAGCGAGACCGACGGCCTTGCGAATCATCCAACCGATACCCTGGAGGGCGAGAGCGGGCTCAGGGGAGTCGGACAGAGTCTTGTTCTGTTGGCAGATGGTGTTAGCTTGTCTTCCGCAGCAATACGATGAGGGGCTGAGTGAATGAGGACGTACCATGACCCATTTGCCAGTGAGGTCGGCAATTGTCACCGAAGCAGGAGCAGCCATTGTATCTGTATATTGCGTGCAGAGGTAGTTTGGATGCTGGTTGGGATGATGTCGTCGATGTCGACGTGGGGTACTTTAGAGCTACGGTGAGCTTTCCAAGTAGTAGGTAGACTGAGGTGGGGGTACTTCTGTAGTAGAAAGACGAAAAGGCCAAACGTCTTCAAGGAAGTCCCTGAGGTAAATATAAGGTCTGCCAAGGTGAATTGACCGGTTAGGCCAAGCAGGTACGGAACTAGTCAGGTGGCCTTTGTTTGCGGTATGGGGAAGAACAAGTGACGTGGATATTCTACAGTACGCAACGGACGGGAAGCGCCAAGCCGATGATGGGCTTTATACGAAGACAAGGTACGGCGTGTCCAGCTTCAGGCACGGGAGCGCCATGACTGGCAGAGGTGCCCGCCCTCCTTGAAGAGGAAGGAAGCGGGGCAAGGGGGCCGTTCCGGAGAGAATGGGGGACCTTGCTCGCACTGGCAGCCGAACCCCTCCACCTTTTCTTTCTTTCACATGAAGCTGTCGTTGGCAACTGATTAGCAAGTTTCCGAGCAGCAGATTGGCAGCAAAAACACTGTATTGGCCCGAGGCTCGCGTTTGCCGACCCTGCAGGCTTGCAATTTCTTTCCACCCTTTAGGCTTCAGGACCCCGGGGAAAGGGAACCTGTGTCGTGAGATAGAATGCCTGATAATGACACATCTCGGCTTAAACTTATACCTGTGCGTATTATCGAATTAGCCCAGCAACTAAGCAGCGAAACCAACCGCTCTCCTCCTCGTCCCCTTCCCCGAGCACATCTGGGATCTGCACAAACCCCATGATCGAAAGCGCAACCCTAGGAAATGTTTCCCACACCGAATTTGGTTGCTCAGCCCGGTGCAAGTCGCGGGGGAACGTTGCAAGCCGACGACCCCGACGACCTCACCAACCATAACGGCGCTCGGCTTGGCCATGGCTGCCAGGACCTGATTTCCTAACTAGGCAGCCAAGACATGCAAGAAGGTTGGGAACAGACATGAAGTTCCGAGGCTGTGGTGACCGTGCGAAGGGGGAACAACCCCAACGGTCGTCTCTTTTCGCTTCTGACGCTGCGGATGGACAGATGAGCTAAGGTAAGCCTCGCCTTAGCCCCCTTCACCCAAGCAAGGTTCTACACCTCTCAGTTCTCACTGCGTCTGCGTCTGCGTCTGCTCAAGCGCAGGCACACCTGCAACCAACGCCTTCCAATGGCAGATGATCTACGACGAACTCGCGCGACCCCGTCCCGTCTTCCTCTAACAACCGAGCGGGATGTCGCCGGTACCATCAGCAGAGTTTTCCATCAATCTCGCACGCTGTACGGTAGACAGACGCAGGAAGACGCAGGTGGGCGATGTGACAGGACGAGCAGACGAGCTGGATACTTTTTTCAGCAGCGCCTCGGCATCCCATCTTGGTGCTTCTAGTCTGTTGATCCTTCCACCACAAAACACCCTTCTCAGCCTGGTATGAAAAGATAGACGAATGATCCTTTCCTAAAATAAAAACAATAATAGTATCAATAATAATGATAATAATGGTAATAATAATAGTAATAACCATAATAACAAGTGCTTTAGTGTTTTTGCGTTGAAGAAGATTCAAAAGTCCTTCCGCTCGCCTACAAAATCCGGCCTCGTCCAACCTGAACCCCATCCAAGCCCATTTTCCACGGCCCTACGCATCTTCTCGTTCCACCACAGCAGTTGACAGCTCGTACAGCACCAGCCAGCCAGCCAGCCTCGTTCGTGTCGCGTAGTAGCCGGCGCGCCAGCGAGAAGTTTTGGGTTGACTTACCGGTGGCGGGTCAGTGAACCTTGAAGAGCATTGCAAAGCAATCACCTTTCTCATCTCTGTCTCTCTTTGAACAGGGTCGAAGATACGTGTCAAAGAACCAAAGAAAACCTCATCTCCGGTCGTCCTTGTGCGTGTCGCCTGACTCTTGCGTCCGAAGAGCCGAGGGACAAGCTTCCAAAGAGCACGAAAGCTGCTTAATTGCGGCGGGGCCAAGCTCCAAAACGTAGATGCCCAAGTAGGAGCACCCCAGTTTGAATGGGGGCCAGGAGAAGCTGCCCGCACCTCACCTAGCGAGGCCACATGTGAGCTGCAAATGTTTCAAGAGCTGCCCCAGCAGGCATTCCCCTGTATCTGCCCAACGAAGAACTCTAATCACCACGCGCTCATCTCACTTGTGAAAAGAGCAGACGAAATCAAATGTTCACGGTGATTCCATTTTTGCCTAACTTTATGGTAGATTACTACTCTCGGAATTTGTGCCAATGTACATGGCCGGAGCAACAGGAGAGGATGAAAAAATGTAAGAAAAAAAAAAGAGAATGAGAAAAAAAATGAAAAGGATATCTTGGTGGTACAATGCCCCGGCTCCCCGCCATCGGCTCCCAGATGCTTCTTGCAAATAAAGGAGCTCAAACAAACGACCCGACTGATATCATGACGCTCCGGCGCGCCGTGGCTCTAATTTGTCGAGCCCGGCCGCAAGGTTAACTCATCCGCACGCTTTTTATGCTTCTAGATCGTTCCGTCACGGCCACCAGTTCATCTTTTTATAGCTCTCAATCACCTCCTCGATCAGCTCCTTGGTCAGTTTTGGCTTTTCGTACTGGAAGCCGATCACCTGTTCCAGGCGGTTGCCGTCCATACTCAAATCCGTGTCCTTGAGCAACTCCTTCTCCATGAATGGTGTCAGGGGTCCCGGCCGTGCGATACCCGCCTTCTCGAGCAGCTCAGCCCAGGGGCCCATGAGTTCGTCGTTGACGTCGTCGACGACGCTGTCCATATTGAGACGCGCAAAGGTGCTGATTAGCTGTCCTTGGAAACCCGTCTCGATCTTGAAGACGTCGCCGATGATCTCGGCCATGACGCCCTGTGTGGTGACACCCTTATCGACGACATTGAAGGTTGGCACCTTGCCCATGGACTTATCGTCCCATTTGTTCTTACCAGAGTCGTACCACGTTGTGATGTCCCATAGCGCTCGCACAGCATCTGAAATATGTACCGTGTTCGTCCGGAGGCCCTTGTCCCACAGCCACTTCATTTCACTCTCGAGGTACTGGTAGACACGAGCCATGCACAGCGCCGTAGCGACCCATTGCGAAGCGTAGGGGCCGTAAACGTGTGCTAACCTGACGATAATGAGGTTCAAGCTACATGGAGAAACACCAGTCAGTCTTGAACAATAGGCGGAAGAGCGTTCCGAGGTGCGATGGTGCGACGTACCCGTCAATCTTTGCCAGCTCCTCCTCAGCCTGCAGTTTGTAGACTGCGATCTTGCTCCAGGGCTTCAGCTTATCGCCCTCCTTGCTCGGAGAAGAGTCGGGCTTGTAAACCATGCCAGTGCTGAGCTCGACAAAGGCCTTGACCTTGCGTTTGGCGGCCTCCTTGCCGACGGCGAGCGAGAGGCCAAGGGAGCGCAGCTTGTAAACCTCATCCTCTTGCGAATATCTCGTTTCACCACCGCAATTGAAGACGTAGTCCCACTGTTTACCGTCGGGGCGGTCGAATATCTTTGATAGGGCTTCTGCACAAGGCGAAAAAAGCAAAAATGTCAGTCAAAGGGCGGAACTGCAGCAGGTCACCTAGGGCGTGTGTGCGTGTGTGTGTGGCTGCTATTTTGTTCGTTCGGAAAGGAAAGGGGAGAGACAGAAAGAGAGAGAATAATCATGGGCAAGAAGAACTTTCGTGGGATTTCGCTCAGGTGACTTACGTTCTCTGCTTGCATCCGCCTGCATGAACTTGCTGCCGGCGCAGGCGTCTTGGAACTCCGGGGCAAGCCATGCTAGTTGGGGCAGGGCCTTGTCAACAACGCGAACGTCTGATGCGAGGTTGTTCTCGTGGATGTAGAGGGCCAGGAAGCGGCCGATGTAGCCCAGCCCCCCGATAATCAGGACTGAGGGTTTCTCGGCCATGGTGAGGAGGGGGTTGTTGGGGGAGGAGAAGAATCGTGGGTGCGAATTCGCGAGATTGTGTCGTCAGGAGGGAAGGATTGTGTCAAGCGCAAGTTGACCGGCTGGGCAGAGGGGTTCGAGGTAGTGTGGGTGGTGGTGGTGGTGCACTGGGCACAAAGTGGTAGGTAGACCTGACTGGCGGCGGCGGTGGCGGCGGGCGGTGGTGGTGGTGATGGACGGCGGGGTTGACGTCTGTCTAGGTGTAGTTAGGGGTGATGTGCCCTGGCCCCTGGGAAGAAATGCAGCACCAGGATTGCGCGAGTTTAGTGTAAACTGCAGTGCAGCGGGATGGACACGGGCGAAGCTCGGTAGGGGGTAATCCAGCCGGGACGGGTCGAGACGGGGCGGCAGACGGGGGGAGGGGAGGGCAAAGGTTGCCCTTTAAGTCAAGACCAAGGCAGTTCAACGGGATGGTGGATGCCGTAAAGAAAAGAGGGATCAAAAGGAAGAGAAGGAGGATCAGGAGGACAATTAGTGCATATGTGTTGTGTATGCTGCTGCTGTTGTTGTTTGCTTGGTTTGTGTGTGCGTTGTGTTCTAATGCAAAAAGGTTCAGGTTTGGATGGATACGTCTGATGATATTAGAACCCGACATAAGTCAAGGTAACGTGCGCACGCAGAAAAAAATGAGAAACAGATTGAAAAATAAAACCTGAGACGGCATATGGCCCTTCCCCCTGTTCTTCCCACCCGCAGATATCAAGGGAAAAAAAAAAAAAAAAACGCGAAAATTAGCGGAAATGCAGCCAGCAGGAAAAAGGGACGAAACAGAGCGGTCCTCCAGTGTAGGTCTCCTCCAATATGGTGCTGTCATTCAAAACGGGGGAAGAGGGGGCTAGATGGATACGGGGGCCGTGGGACAGCTGGAGAGCGGGACGAGAGGAACGAGGAGACAAAATAATCTCAGGAGAGGCCACTAGGAACGGGATTGTCAGCCATGCAATGCGCCAGATGATGGGGGGTGGAGCTTTCATGCAACTTCTCCTTAGACCATTGCCTCTTCTTTTCCCCTTTCCTTGCTGTTTAACGTCTCTTCCAATGCCAGGTACAAGTTTAGGCCCAGGTCCAGCTTCAGCTCCAGCTTTCGATCTTACCTTTGTTATCTTGGGCTCTGTACCTTAGGTAGCTTCAGGATAGCTCCAAGCTGGTCCAGTCTCAACTTGTTTAGATCGTTCCTTTCTGAGTTCCCACTTCCTCGGGTAGACTCCAATCCCATCCCAGATCCCAGGGGAGCATCTCTTCTTACGCATGCTCATAGAGGTAGTTCAACCAACAGACAACAAACAACAACGGCGGCAGCTGCTTGGTGTTGGCAAAATATCAACGATTGGAACTCGGGAAAACATCTCCAGGAAATGAAAAGACGCAGGGGGGTGGATGAGCGTCACACCTGCGCGCTTCCACCGCTCCGATACCGACGGCTCACCTGTTCTCACCTCTTCCCTCTTACCTCTTACCTCTCACCTCTTACACAGAGACGTGCCAGGGCTCCAGGGTTTATGGGACCTGCAGCAACAGGATGGAAGCCTGGTACTCGATTGAGACATCGCACCAAAACACACGTCGTGCCTCCTTTCTTTCAAATAAATTTACAGGGCTCGTGCTGCCTCAAAACACCCCACATCGTTGCAGCAGACGTGCCTCCCCTCGACCCACTACTTGGCCTCCACCCATGCACCTTTAGCAAGGCAGTTCCTTCCACCACCAACATCCACTCGTCAACCCATCACGGGGACAGCCACGCTGATCGACGAACTGTCGTGAATCTACGGATGAAAAGTGTGCGTCAGGCGCCCAGAGCGCCCACCTAGGCATCACCGATCTCCTTAGCTTCCCTGCCCTTGCCGATACACTCTGGCGGTGATTTACTTTCCATCGCGCCCAACTGGACACGGAAACACATCCACCAAAGACATTGATGCCCGTTTTCAACAAAACAAATACACTCTGTAGTATCCAATAATGTCTCTCCCCAGCTCCGGAATAGATCCCGCCCCGGCTCAAGTCTCTCTCAACACATACCTGATGTTCCCCTTCCTGCGTCGTCAACATGTTGGCCAAAGAGACAGGGAAATACCCATGGCCATACTGAGACTACGGATAATGCGCTCTGATCTCGCTGATCCCCGTCCCACGCGCACTCCAGTCCCAACTGGCATTCTGTTTTTCCAAGTCCTTGTGTAACTTGGCCCGGCCAGGGAGAAGGCAGCGAGTTCTCAAGGGCCGTGTCACTCCAAATCTTGTCTTACCGTCAGCCTCGATTTCGGGTGACATATCAGCCATATCGAGTTCAAGCTACAAGACGAACGATGCTGGCTAAATCGGCGGGACGAGGAGGGCCAGACTTAGTTTTCTTGCTCGTCGGCCACTTGTCCCAGGTTGTCGGCTAGCTCCAGCGGCGCGAGTTGTCCATCAAATGGATACCGGCCCCGTTCCGCTCAGGGGCCTCCCATGAGGCGCCTTCGTTGATGGGAGCGCTTTTTCTCTCTGGCGCCGCCAGACTCCAACTTTAAAAGGGGACCGTCATACCGTAGTACGCGCGCATCGGCACGCTCCTATGGCCCGGTTCGGCCTCGGGCTTTGGCTTGAGGGGGCCTCTGCTTCTCTCACTCCCTGCATCCTGCATGCGGGGTCCTTAGGAGGGTCTACCGCGTGTTCTAGAAGGCTTCCGGGATCTACTTTCTGCAACAGATTTTCTTCCCATATTTCCTTTTTCCAAATTGACCTCATCTGTTCCGTGTACAGGCGACCCCCGTATTAGTCTGTGCTCCCAGTCTGGGTAAAGAAATTCAGGAGAGATGAAAAAGCGCCAGGCAAGACATGATTGGATTCACCAAAAATAAACCAAACAGTAGAAACTAACCTGCACCAACGTCAGCACCGGCGCACACACCAACACGTTGGAGCAAGCCACATACCTGGCACTCTGAACCAGAGTCAACTATTGATCATGCAAAAAAATTTCCCATATCTTTTAGGGAGAAAAAACAAAGAGTCCAAGCCCCACTCACCCAAACGCTTCCTTCTTCCCAACTCAACGCATGACTTAACTTTGCCAACTGTCGCCGCCAAACGCGGCCCGAATGTTTCTTACATCCCCGTCTGCTATGGGACACACCCGATGGGCATCAGCGCCGTAACCGCCAGCTTCCTCTCAAAGTTTTGTCGGGCACCAGTTTAATACCCGGCCTGCTGCAGTGCGTAATCTCGAGGTCAGAGACAACTTTCCCTACGCCCCCGCAAAGCATGTTATGGATCACGGCATATTGCCTCCATGGGCCCTAGAACAGATCGGTTTTATAACGATCTCACCAGCCTTGACATGGCGTTTCTTTCCTCTGCCTTTCGTCCTCTGCCTGGCCAGCAACCTCTGACTGTTTTCATTCTGATACCTGGGGATACCTCTTGTCGGACTTGGCCCAGAGTACTCGGCTATCGTGAGGGCACGAGCGGCGGGATCCCATCGGAGACATGCCGGTTTAAGGTTATCAAATCTGTGTTAGTGCGTACATAGTATGCGTTGTATGTGCCCTTCTTGAGCGACGACTATGACGTGTCCCTTGCGCCAAAGTCAAGCATGAAAAATGAAAAACGAAAAAAAAAAAAAAAAAAAATAGCGAGAACGAAGCTGTATCCTCCCTGTCTGCCGGCAGCTTGAATCTCATCTGCTTCGTCACTTACTTTCCCACAAACCCTTACCCATCGAAACACGCTTTCAAGCATCGTTTCCGCAGGAATTTGTGTGCATGTGTACAGTGAATGCCCCTGGGAATAGTCGAGATGAAGAAAAGTAAAGAGAGCTTCTAGATATAGCCAAGACCCCTACGCGAGGTTTGCGCTGCAATAAGCTCGCTGAAATGACTCGGTCGTCCCCCCTCAATAGCAACTCCTTCCCACCCCTCAACTTCAGCCACACCCAAGGGCCGAAAAGGAAGAGGGGCGAATGGAAGGCTTCACTCGGACACTTCCCACCGGATACTTCCCACTGGGCGTTTGCTCCGACCTTGTATCTACACTCGGGTCTACATATCTTTTTCTTCACCCTCTCAGAAAGGAGTGAGTTTCAGCGTCTGCCCGGAGTGACCTCGAGACGTGTATACCTACGAGCCGAAGTCGTTATATACTTTGGTTAGCGGCAGCACATCTGTCCCGCAACTTTGAGGTTACAGCGTGTTTACGATAGCTCCTCGGAACAAATTCCGTAGTCTTGAATATACTAAAGTGGGTTTGTAGGTGGGCGGGGGGGGGGGGGGGGGGGGGGGTTTAATAGCAAGCTTTACTTTTTGAGTGTTTTTGGTTTTGGGTTCCTGGGCTAGCTGGCGGAGCTGGCGGACAGCGAGCACTTCACTTGTCCGGTTTTCGTTTTTCCATACCAGGTGCTGATGTGGGAAAGCGTTGGTGACCCAAGGCTATGTTGATGTTCGTCTTCCCTATGCGGGTCTGCCATATCGTTCTCTTCCCGCATCTCCGTCCTCCTGTCAATCTTCCTCGTCGGCATCCCTGCTCCAATCACCACCTCGCCTTTCTGCGTCACCTGCAATTGGGTTATCTTGTGTATCACATAGTTTGCGGCACATACTCACTATCGAGACGCTTCCTAGGTAACACCGAAGGATGCATATCATCATGTCCTAAGCGGACTGGATTCGGACATGGTAGCACGGCATGAGATCTAGATGAGCGATACACATATGTTTTCTTTCTTTTCTTTTTTAGCCATTTCGCCAATCTCTTACTGCCGTATTCGACCTGCGTCCTTCTTCCCAGCAAAAGGGCGCCACCACGCTTTCAGACGTAGAATGTCTCTGCCCCGAAATCCGAACCAAGGCGAAGCGGGCAGGATCTCATCTATCTGGCACTCTTGTGTTCCCGATGCCTCGAATCACACAAAGTGGTCTGATCCAAGACAAGGGGCCCGGAGCTGTACAACGCCGTCTTGAAGATCCCTCTTTCCTCCCTGTTCAATCCCCCGTGAAGTTCTAATCATGTTCATTGAGATATGCGCTCTTGGAGTCTGATCATCTCTGCATGCTGCCGATAATCTCCCGTTGTGCCGCGCGGTCCTTGGCACCCTCGCTGAGGCTGCCGATGCTCCTCAGGTCCCCGACAACGTCCTTGGCCTTGCCGAAGTACACCTCCTGCAGCAGGTTGCGCATCTTGAGCTCCATGTCCTCGACAAGCCGGCCAACGTTGGCAATGTGGCTCTCATCGCCATCAACTGGCAGCTCCTGCTCCACCTGACGCGTCATGTTGCCGCTCAAGTCCATGTCGCCCAGCGAGTTTGCCGATGTCGACAAAGACAGAATAACCGTTGATGTGAGCTTGTACTGCGTCGTCCTGCCGCGCTCGATGGCCTCGAATACGTGGATTGAATCCCAGACACCCTCGGCGCTTCCTCCGGGCGTCGCGGCTGTTATTCGTGTCAGCATCAGTCTTCACCCGTTACACCCTTGTGTTGTTGTAATATATGCCAAAAAGATAGACACGTACACTTCTTGAGAAGAACAACTCCAGCGAATCCATCATCCAAATTCCAAAAGTAAACACTGCTCACACCGCCCTCGTAGTAAAGGTCCCGGTAGACGTCAAACGCCTCGTTGGCCTTGATCTCCATCTTGCGGACGCGCTCGCTGGGGATCGCGCCCTCGCCCGCACCTTCGCTGCCGCCAGCGCCGACACCACCGACACCACTCTCATCCAGAGGCGGGTCGAACTGGTTGCTCCACGGCGAGCGGTAGCTGTCGCCATCGCGGTTGTAGTCGCACAGGAGGTAATCGCGGCCCGTCTGCTTGCAACGCTTGACTGTCAGGGGTTGATCGACGGACGAAAGGAGGTCCTCGGTCAGGTCAGGGGCGAGGGAGATGATGGCATTGAGGTGGTCGGTTGTGTGTTTCGGGTTCAGGCGGCGAAGGAGGTCGCTGGATTCAGAGTGGGCTCGGATTAGTTACAGCCAATTTGGGACAGGGACGGAGGGGCCAAGCTTACAGCGCCGAGTCGAAGGGGTCGACGGAGGCCATGATGGCGCTATTTGATCGTATGGGAATTGGTGAGGAGAGATCGGGGACGTTGGAAGCTTTGGCGATGACGAATTGTGTTGCAGCAGTTGGGTTGGATGTCCTTTGGGGCTGAAGTGTTAGCGGAAGGGACCCGGCGGGGTCGGCGGTCATCAATGGCTGCCCCTGGGGGAAGGGACCCCACCAGTTAAGGTGAGCTTCTGAGAGCACCTACCAATGATGTGGTACCAAGCTCAACATTAGTGGCACGTCATGACAATACGGGAGCCATTCAAAGCAAAGCAGGATAGGATGGACAGAACATTAACTATGGTGGGGATTGATTCTTGGTTTTTTTGGTTTTTTTTTTACTATATTCAAAGGGTCTTTCGTATTGATCCATCATCAAAATCTGGTGATGCTCGACTGAAGAAAAGATAAGGTAAACATATGACCAAACCATGTAAGCTCTAGGAAACTGCTCGTAGACTCTTTGTCTCCAGACTACCGCTCTTCTGGCCTTGGCCCCTTTTTCGTCCCCTTGGTCGACGGATCTCACCTCACTAGATCTATCGAATCTTCATCTTTGCCAACCTCCCTTATTGCGAGAGAAACCGTATTCGCCAACGCCTCGCGAAGATCACAACCGCGCGCTCCAAGTGACCGGTACCGCTTCAGCCGCCATCTCCTTCTCGCACTTTACGAGGCTTCCTTCTCGGTCCGCTCGCCCTACTCGTCCAACTCTCTTTTTCAAGACTAGTTGTACTATCCTGGTCATACTCAAACTCGTCACAGCAAAATAGCGTTGCGCGGACCATTACAGATGGCGAAGGCGCATTGCCTGCCGGAATAAATACAGCGAGAAGTGAAGCCTGAAACTCCACCATCGCGCCCCAAAAGAATAACTGCCCTGGAGGAGGGCCCAAAACGTTGTTGGCCGTTGCGGCGGCCGATTATTCAACTGATTTCAACCCCGCAAACGACGCAGAGCAGTGGTTCAGTCCACACCTTCTCACCCTCGGTGACGTTCTCGCGTAGGTCCCTGATTTCGATCTTGGGTGGGTTCATGTCCATCAGAATCTTGGCCTCAAAAAGTCCCTCGTACGGCTTTGCGTCCATTGCGGATGTCCTCTTCTTGGCGGATCTGCTCTTTCGTGACGCCGCTGAAGCCTCAAGCAGGGAAGGCGTAGCAGGAGTTGTAGGTTGTTGCGATGCACGCTCGTCGGGAACCGCTGGGGTTCCTTCAGTAGCAGATTGACCGTTCGGTTCTTCGGGAGCATCGCTAGGCTTTGCATCAATAGTCTGCTTCACCTCGGCACCGCTTTCTGTCGGGCTTAGAGGGCCGTTGACGCCATCGTCCAGCTTTTTCTCGTCCTTTTCCTCCTTTTCACTCTCTGCCACAGAAACGGAACCTTCGGTCGGGGGCTTTGCTGTGAGGTGGGGCTTATCCTTGCCGAGTCGTTCGTATGTTCGCGTCAGGGCATCCTCTCGGAGACAGTGTTCATGAAGCCACTTGCCGCACTCCTTGTTGGAGCATCCGATAAGAGTCTTGTCGGGATTCGCTGGTTGTCGGCATCTGCAGGTACGTTCAACTGACTGCGCAACGAGTTAGCTTCAGCACAGTTAGTAATGGTTACGATATTGTACGTACCGAGAGCTGTTGAGTTCGACAATCAAATGCCTGGCGCCAGTACAGGGCCTCTTGAATTTCGTCGTCGTTCTCCTCGATCCATTGCTTCACGTTGGCGGGCAATGTCACGCTGACAACATTGATGATATCCACTGCTACAAGTTAGCATTCAAACCAAGACCTTCGAATTGGGCGCAACATACTGTGGTTCGAAGCGATCAGCTCGTTGTGCCCGTGGTACGGCTGGCGACCACCGGAATACTTCTTTCCCTCCATAGTACCTTCCGGAAGTTCCTCTGGCCAGTACATCCAGTAGATGCGCGCATAAACGTGATGTTCGTCACTGGCGCGAATCTCCAAGATGCGTGCCACCCAATCGTCCTCAGACTTTGATCTTTTCAATGCCTTCTCGGCGTCACCATCTGCGCCACCGTCCACTGCGGCCTTCTGGCGCTGGACAGTCTGGTCGTTTGCGACGTAGATGAAACCTTCACTGAAGTACTTGGTGCCGTTGACTACACACAGCCATGTTAGCGCGTCACCACCAGGGGAAGTCAAGGGCAAGACTCACGGACGAAGCTGTTATAACGGGTCATCTCTAGCCACTTCTTCTGTGGCACGACGTTGTACTCTAGATCCAGCACGTCGTTGGCGCTCTTTCCGTTGAAGTCGCCCGACGGGGAGAAGGGAGAGAGTTGCTTGGAGCTCTTCTTCGTATCATCCTCGTCCTGGTCTTGTTTCCGCCTCTTCTTTGACTTTTTCTGTGCCTTGGTGTCGGGTTCGGCGTACGTGATGCTGAACGGGCACTCGGCCTTGTTTTCCTCAACCTCGGCGCGAGGGCGCTTGCGCGAGGAGGAGGACATGGTGGTATAGGTCCGGGATAGCAAACTAGACTGGGGGACAAGCAGCGCGTCAAGTCGATGAAAAATGCAAGGCGATCTCGATCGGTGTGATTAAGAACAATTGTAACGTTGATAGATGCTCGCTGAGTTGTCGCGACAGAAGTGAAGGAGGACGGGGTGGCTGGAAGAAGATGGGTCGCCTAACGACCGGGGTAGATCAGGCCGAGTGGCAAGCGCGCTGTCCCGGTCGAGCTTGCGAATACACTGTAACAAGCTTTATGATGAGTCTTGCAAGCCTGGAGATGATACAGGCCAGGTATCAACGACCAATGATGGCCACGATGCGCGAACTGGGGGAAATCGCAGGTCGACGAGCTGGCGATTCGGGTCAAGGAGCGGGCGCGTCAGTAGGTAATCTCATCCTGCCACCAAAAATTCAGGTCGGGTCACGTGACCAAGTGCATGGCAATTTTCCAGGCTCACTCACGTAAGCACAACGTGGTGGGTGGTCCATCCGCGCCTACCGCATCGCATATGTCTCCGCAACAAGCGCCGATAAAGTTAATACAACTCTTATTTGTCTTACATCTGATTCGCTGTAGGATTGATTAAGAGCTTCAACGGCGACAATGTCAAAAGCCATGAAACGTTATGGACTCGTCGTATTTACCCTAGTCTTATGCGCTTTTCCTAGCCAGAGCTCCCAATGCTGACGGATAACGATGAACATAACCGAAAACACTCTAAACGCCGTCGCTATGCAACTTGTGCTCCAATGCTCCACTATTAATACCGTCTGGTCCGGTCGCGCTCATCCTCTTCATCGTCATATGCACTGAGAATAGGACGGTCTTCACTTTCCGTCTCGCTGGCAAGCTCTCTCTGCTGGCTCTCAAACCCTTCAATCGTTTCAGCAAGCTTTTCCCCCTCACGCTTGCCCCTTTCCACGTTGACACTCCAGATGAGCGGTGCTGGGAGCCCCACTAAAGCTGCCAGGAACCAAAAGGCCGGTCGAATGTCACCAGATTCGTCAATAATGGCGCCGACAATGGCCGGCCCGAATACGCTCGAACCCTTATCAGTGATGGCGTAGAGGGCATAGAAAGCGGCCTCGGAGCCAGGAGGGATGAGCTCCCCATAAACGCTACGGCAAAAGCTCGACAGACCACCCAGGACGAGCCCATACACCGCAGCCAAGGGATACATTTCCCACGGTTGCTGCAGTCCAATGACGCCCCAGTTCTGCACAAATGGCAGATATCCGAGGAGACCGTAAATGGGGATAAGTTCGAAAAGTCCGATACAGACCAAAATTGTCTGGTGGGGCTTCAAATTCAACTTGCGCGAGACGAAGGCCCAGCTAAATGCTCCGATGACGCCGAACGTAGTGGAGATGACATTGATCATTCCCAACGCCCATGGCTTCATATGAAGCTGTGTCTTGGCAAACAGGATTGCCGTCGAGGACGTCGTGGCAATGGCATCGGAGAGCAAGAACCATCCGGCAAGAAATAGCATGATGTCCAGCAGACGACGAGCGAGTTGAACTGTCTTGAAAAGAGATTTCCAAGCATAGATGGTATAATTCAGCCAAGCGCGGACTCCCTTGCCCGACTCAGTGATGGGCATGGGTGGGCCTGGCCTTGGGCGGAGCCACATGGCGGCCGGGATGGTGAACGTCGCCCTGAAATGAGAATGTCAGCGTTGACTCGCGCAATTCATCAATAACGGCGTCGGCGACGAAAGTGCGCGGGGCAGTAATGAGAGCCGGACAGACGGCGATGTGAATATCCAAAAAGCCAGAAAAGGCAACAGGACCGAAGGTTTCAGAGAATAGTTGGGATACGTACCACCAGGCACCCACACAGAAGAGTACAACCCTTTGCGACCATGTGGAGTTTTTCATGGCAATTAATATGGCGATGGCAACGCATTGCAAAAACAGCCCAGCAATGTAGCCGGTGCCGATTCCCTTGGCGGAGATCTGGGTTGACAGCTGCAGCTCCACTGAGGTGAGCTCTTCATGGGTAGCTTTTCTGACCAGAGAGTGGCCCTGGTGTGGGTTTCCATCAAGCAGCGCCGTGGTGGAATCTTCCATATCACCGACGGCCGAGTCCTCGTCTAGGTGGGTTCCATTGAGGGGCTGCGACTCCAAATCCGTATGCCCCAGATCCGGAGTGTGCACCGTCTCGGATGCCAACACGTCCGGATGGTAACGGACCAAGAGCGGTAGGAACGAGTTCAGAAGCACAAAAGAGGCGCCAAACGATGCGTTGGAGATGATGGCCAACAGCGCGCCCAGGACATACGTGCTCTTGCTGACAAAGATGTAAGCCATGACAGAGAAGCTGCCGATCCATGCGAAAGCGAGCAAAAGCTTCTTTCTCGAATCACCGTGGTCGGCAGCACTACTAATGCTCACAACAAGAAACGCTTGGAGAAGAACACTGATGGAGAAGGTGTACATGGCGAAGCTTGCTGTGTTGATCTCCATGCCGAGGATGTAGACAATGCATTGTCCGTCGGTCTTGTTCTTGGAGTCGCTTGTGCCGCAGGGGGTCGTTCGGTCGGACAGAAGAACGCCATTTTCACGCGCGAGAGTCTCGAGGAGGATCGGGATAAAGGAGCCTGCGCAATAGCATGTCAGCGCAAACAGATTAGGGTTAGGAGAGGAGAGGGAAGGTCGACGCGGCCGTTCCAGAGATGTTTCCATGCCCCCCGGGAAATGATGCGGGACATGATGCACAGGGAGCGGTTCAAACATACCGATAGCTGGAAATAATTAGTCCATGGACGATGGTATGAGAGAAGGTGAGGGGAGGCACTCACCACAGATGACATAGGTCTCCGCAGCAAAGGCATAGGCGTACCAGCCAGAAAGCTCCTTCTGGCTCGTGGGGCGGGTGTCTTCGCCGTGGTACCGGCCTTGGCCGTGAAAGAAGCCGTCGCTACTGCTGCCGGGACTCATTCTGTCGTACTCCGAGTCGGTGTCGGAACGCTCGTCATCGGCCTCGAAGTCTGAGGTGAAGGAGCGAAAAGAACGTTTCGACAGGGTTGAGAGGCGCGACCATAAACGTGGTGCGGGCGGCGGTCGAGCGTGTTCCTCTTGCCTAGGCACCATGGTGGGCAGCACACCTACACGGGCAGGCAGGCGTAACTTTACTGGATGGGACAGGTGACTTGGCGGGCCTTGTCTCACTCCAGTCGCAGCACGCAACCTCCCTCCAGGGCTGAATTTCCGTCCGAATTTAGGCTGCAGAGGCGACCAGGAACCTGAACTGCCAAGCCGAACCTTTAGGCTGGTATGTACCCTTTCAAGTAGTGAGCAAGCAAGCAGGCAGGCAAGCAATTGCAGCCACAGGCTGGGCAGGGTACCTAGCACTGAGGCGTTTGATACAGTGCTAGGCACCTCTCAGAGCTTGATGGTTGATGGGCTGCTCGGCTGGGCTCTCTTGTGGGGGGGTGACCTCTGTCGCTATGGTCGGACCACTCGGGGTATTTCCAGTGGCTGCAGCACCTCCCTGACGGAGCCTCCGCGCTGAATGCTGCCGAGTCCAGGTTACAGGTGCTGAAGATATCCCAATAGAATGCGCAACAGGCCTGGTGCTATCGTGCTTCTCGCTTTCAGTGGGGTGTCTCACGGTGGGATCCTGCCGAAAAGGGCATGTGGACTGCTTTGAGGTAGACCAGAGATGGGAGGTGACTCGGGGGGGGGGGGGGGGGGGGGGGGTCGTACAAGCTGACAGGTGACTGTTATGCAACAGACCGAAGGTGTGTGTGACGTCGGCGATGTGAGTTTTGCCAGGACAGCAACATGGGGCCACCGCTCCTGCAACAATATCTTGATGTGCAAGACGAGGAGACAGAGAACAGAGAAAAAGAAGAAGAAGAGTAAGGAAGAAAGGACGAAAAAGTAGGTGAAGATGTCGTTGTCAGGTAAGCAGGGGACCGGTAGTGGGCCGGCGTGGTTGGTTATATGGCGGCCAAAGATCGGGCAGAACAAGGCAAAGCCGTTAAAGGCAATGGCAATCCCAAAAGTGTCAGTGTCAATCCATGGTCTTTCCCGGAGAACCTGTTGTTCTGTCTGCTCCATGTCATGTCTTTTCCCCGTTTGCCCTGCACCATAGCTTCTTAGCCTGAGCCAAAGGTGCCGCAGTCAGCCTGAGCCAAGACCACCACCGTCAACCGTCCATCCCGTCGTCGCCTTTGAACTCCTTTCTAATCCTTTCTCCGAACGCCTCCAAGCACACTCTTTTTTTCTTCTTCTTCTTCTTCCTCCTTCCCTCCCCCACCCTAGTTGCCGCATGAACCCTATTGCCCAATCTCCAAGCGCCGCGACCGCGGATATCGTTGCGCCCAACTGCATCATCGCCGATGGATGGTGCCCATTCCTCCTTCCTAGCGCCACTACCATGCTTCCAACATGCCGCGCTATGAGGCAATGAGATCCAGTTATCATGAGAGGATGCATGTTGAACACAAGCCATTGCGAGACGAACCAGGTTGTTCATTCGTCTGATATTCCATGCTCAGCGTGCATCGATGGCCATGCGTCGTCGCCGCTTGCCCATGTCTGTCCATCTTCCACTACACTGCTCTATCTTATCCACCATCGTTTGACAATGTAGATATGCATCGCCTTCAGCGCAAGGGGTTGCATCTCCCAGCATTGGCCAATGTTGGTGCTCCATCTCTGTTTCATCCCGTGGGCCCTCTTCTCATCGACACTGTTACGACTCGAGGACTGCAGCCACTGAGTATCGCAACAACTCCCGTTATTGATGAGGATCCAGAATGTGCATACCTTAGTGCCCCTGCACTCAGGACGGCTCATTCTGAATGTCCCTTAGGCCGGCTAGATACCACTACTCCCGGTCTTTACATCTCTTGGCGAGCAGCCGCTGCCGCCTTGGAAGGGGGCCGGTTGATTTTGTTAGCTGAGTTGTTCTATAGACACAATGATCCAGTCCAAAAAAGCCCTCTTTCGTTCTGCACACAATACTCCGTATGTTCTTAATGTCGACCGGCGATATTCACCTCAACGAGGACAAGCACCAATTTTTCCTGTTCCCTCACAACACTGCGGCAAAGTTGCGCGGCGATCTGAGCCAGACTGGGACCTGCGGGGGCGGGCAAATCTGCAAGTCCCTCTACGATCTGCAATGCCTACTGACCTCACTGTCTTAATACAATCTAAATCTCGTTGGACCCTGAGCGATAACCACCAGCATGTGAGACTAGTCGTCTTTGACACTAGGTAGCGCAAAACGTGGATAAACCAACAGGCCAGATGCTGCGCCGTCATCAACGGTGACTTTTTGAAAAAAAATTTCCGCCCACCGAAGAACGACATGTCCATGTCCCCGAAAGAAAAAAAAAAAAAAAAAAAAACGCCCAACGAGGGCAAGTTTCTTCCTCGTCAAATTCTTCATGTCTCAAGCGTTGTTTGCGCAGAGACATCTCATCTTTAGGGCCGCTTTTGAGACCTCACCGCCTCACATTAAGGTTACCGGCAAAAGGGTCTCTCTTCACCGGACCCAGAAATACCCTTGGTTCTCTCCGCAATCATGTAAACCGAGCCGACCAAGGCTCGCTGCTTCACTGCGCTAACTATGTTTTCGTTAATCATAATGTCAAACGAAGTTGATGCAAACAGCATTGGCCATATGCCAAGAGACACCATTCGATGTCTTGGAAAGTCTCGAAGTTCACCTGACCTATACCACATTGCAAGTTTCGCCTTTTGGAGCAAGACAATCAGCATGTCCATCTCTCTAACTTGGGCTTGGGGAATGATTGGTTTGTTGAGTCCAGTCCATATGGCCCGGACTCCGTCATCCGGGACCTCGACCGACCCCGCCGTATCCTAGCGCCTTCCTGTTTAGTCACTAGCTCCATATCCACCCAATCAGATCCTTTGTCTCATTAGCATCACAACTCATCAGTCACAGTTGATCGGAGTTTCTTCGGAGGTTACAGAGATTGCTGGCAAGCAACCCTGCAGATTGAGCTATCTTCAAGGATAAAGCAGTTCCAGTCATCAAGGCGAAGTGCCAGAGTGGTTAATGGGTGTGCCTCGAAAGCACATGGCTTCGGTCGCGCAAGTTCGAATCTTGTCTTCGTCGATATATCATACCTTTTGCTCCCTGGATGATCTGTTGTACATTTTCCACACTTCTTATCAACTGTGGTGTGTGAGTGAGGTTGTACATAGTAGATGGACCAGGTCATATTTGTCCAAGTTCTTTTTTAACAGCCGTGGTTGTATACCACGTCTGTTCTTGTTTAACATTTTCATCCACACTCAATTAGCCCGCCTCCGGTCAAGTGCGCCTCATCATCGAGAAGACCCATGCCTCAAACGCAAACAACTCGCATGAGAATTTCTCTCTGTTCTTTCTCCCGAAGGTATTTTTCCAACGAGCCTGGCCATTTTTACATCAACTTCTGTGATGGGATCGCTGCCAGCTCGTTTGTTGATGACTAGACTGTTGAGTGAGTGAGGCTGCAGATTGACTGGCTACTGTTACAATACACACACTTATTTAGAATTAACATTATTTTGATAGGAGCGATTGCTTTCCATTCATCTTCGCATTATTTACGATGGAAAAATCAGGGCAATTGATTGCGGTGGCATAGAAAGCAGTCATTAATGTCGCATTTTTGAGAAGCTTGATTGAGACTGGGAGTGTGCAAACCGACATTTCGTGTACTAGACACCTGCATCGTCACATCAGACGTGAATGAAACCAGTATTGTGAAGCTAATGCCAGGGCGACGATTAAGCCAATGGCAGGATATCATTGAAGAACCTTGAGAACAAGTGCGTCTAGGGGAGGGGAGGGAGACTCCTATGAAAAAAGGGGGATATCGCGAAGGGTATGTCAAAAAAGGAACTTCCAACCAGGGCCGCCCCGCGCCGACCGGGCCACCCTTACAACGAACACAATAAACCATCAAACAATCCGTGTCCTACGGTCGTCACGGAGTGACATCTCATCGCAAACATGACGCCATGAGTTCTACTTCTTGTGGAACGGGGCGAGGATCTTAGCCTTAAGCTTGTCCGCGACGCTGACGCCGGCGGTGCCGTCGGCGCGGGCCTGGGCTGCCGCCTTCTTCTCGTGATCGATCGACTTATGCGCATTTCCCGCTCCGCCGCGGCCGCCGTGGTAGTCCTGGCCTTCAGTGGAGGGGCGGTAAGCCTCCTCGGGGACGAGGTCCTTGTCGGAGCGCGGGGTGGGCACGTTGCCGGCGTCGCCAATGTTACCGGCACCTGCGTGGAAGAAGACACACCAAGTCAGTTCGTCAGATCTATCGGTTTTTTATTTCCACGAAGATGTTTTCGATAAGCACAGCGCAAAGGCTCCGCGGAGCCGTCGCAGACGGTGGGGTTTGCGACGAGCATTTCCGCCGATGCCGCAAGGGGTACTGATAAGCAGACACTCACCTCCTCTGCCAGCGCTGTATGCGCCGGTACCGTGAGAACCCTCGGGGCCGGTTCTCACAACCTCGCCATCGACGTACTTGGTGTTGTCCGGGTTGATGTTTCCGGCTCCTCCCCTTCCGTGGGATACTTCGGCGGTCATTGCGATTGGGTTTTGGGGGTTTGGGAAATGACGTAAGAACTGGTGAGGAATCTGGTGATCTCGTTGTCAATCACGGTGGTGAGTTCGCGTTGTTCAGGTGAAGGGATATATTCTCGCGAAAAGTGAAGCAGAAGTCTGGAGCGAGGCCCTCGTTTATTTTATTACAGAGGATCACAAGCTTTTACCAGGGAGCGAAAACCGATACGTCAGTAGTATTATATATAGATAAGCAGCGGTTCCTGGCAGCTCGTCGTCACATCTTTAAGATAGAGAATGTACATTAAGTTACCTATTATCAGTGACTCCAGTGTCCCCCCAAGCTAAGGTTATCTATGGCGGCGTTGGGAAACACCCAGTCGGGAACCTGGAGGGCAGCATGCAGCTGATTGCGGGATGTCTTAGCGTCTTGGCTCCCCTGTCCCTTGTCCTGGGTGGTGGGAGGCAGGTTTCTGTCAACCCATCTTTTCTTGTTTGTCTTCATCCATTTCTCATATCAGCCTTCAGCCGTGCATGGCGCACACACTCTACTGGATAGCTCATCCCTCCCGCCACGGGACTTGTACGCATGTGCAGTCACACACACACACACACACACACACACACACACACACACACATCGACTAACGGTTCTGGCCGACGGCGAGCGAATGACAGCCGACTCCCTGCCCCGATAAACCCCAGTTTACGTACCTGAATTTCGTGAGCACTCTAGAAAACATCCCGCATCGACTTGTCTTGCCCAGCCCAGTGGTCCCGCTAGCAACATTTCGCCCTCCATGTATCTTTCCTCCCGGCACGCACTACCTTATCTGGACGCCAGCACGTGTAGGCTCGTTTTTCCATAAGAGTCTCGTTTTCTCCCAGCTCGTCATCGGCATTTTGAATTTCCCATCCCTTGGCGAGGCAGTTTTAGGTGTTGAGTGGACGGATCGTCAGGTTCGACTTGCTTGCCAGTTAACATCCCTGGCTACGTCAAGAGACATGTCGTCATTCCAAGCCGATATTCACGTCGCCATGTCACTGCTGTCCCTTCAAGCGGTTCTTCCATGAAAGAACTCTGGCGGTGGCTGATTTTATTTCGCCCTTGTTTTTCTGTGTTGCGCTGTTGCTACTGTCCCAGACTCGCGTCTCGTGTCGTAATTCCTACTCTTGATCTGTCGACACTAGCGAAACTTGACCCCGTCAGTCTCTTCACAAGCCGGCGGCGACAGCCAAGGAGGTGCTTTGCCATTTCAATAGAAACATCTAAAAATAATAATGAGAACCAAAGTATTACCCCGAAGGAGAGATGGTGGGTGGACCATGTAGGCCAGCCGTAGCACACATGCTTCCATTGGTTATAGCATAAGAGAGGCTGTGCGAGAACCTCAGCTCCATGCTGATGTATGCCTCACCGTCATTTCAAGCACGTCCTTGATGCTGCTTCGCGGTCAATACCGCCTCGAGAATGCTTTCTCCAACCCTCAGCATGGACTTCGTCGGCACGAGCAGTGCAGCATGAATATTTTTGCCCTCACCAAAGGTCCAATTGAGAAATACAAAGATGCGATGAAGGCAATCTTGGGAATACACATGGAAGGGGGAGTACTTCGGAGATGACGCGCAGGAATCAGGGTCAGAAAGGGATGGTCAGAACTATCTCTACGGTGACAAAAGCGTTAGTTCTGATAGTGATAGCGTAAAAACCCCGTACTCGGCGGTAACTGAAGGTGATCTCTAGGAAACAGGACAATATGATACTGCAGGATTTATTGAGTCCCGGGTGGACGAGCTTGGTATCATTTCCTGTCCCATGGAGCTTCAGCTGCTCGAGTAGCAATTTAATATAGCGCATTTATCACATGCTGTGCTCTTTCTCATAAGTACTGCCTTTTCTGGCACCTGTATCATTTCGTGATAGGTTCGTCTATTTATCGTGCTCATGCTTGAGAGTACGCACATTGTCTTGATGAGATTGTTCGCACAGGCTGATGGGGCCTCAACCACCTCGCGCTTATCTGTCACAGCCACGAGAAGAACACAATTGGAAGCAAAGGAAAACCATATTCCATCAGCCATAGTACTGATGTGGAGGGTACAAAAATCCAAAAATGAACTGCATCCGCGGGTAATCGAAACCCGGTCCCAAGCTAGGCCAGATGATGGAAGGCTTGGATGATAACCACTACACTACGAATGCCAGCTGTGGATTTGAATTGACGAAGACGAAAAATACACATCCTAAGTAGCGAGTGAAGTGGGCCCAGCAAACAAACTGACAAACCTGCCGCTTGTCCACCCTCATTTGGTTGGCTCAATGCAGTTCTGTCCTTAATAGATAGGCTTCATTAACATCGCCTAGCCTCACAATATCGAAGCATCTATGAAATTCAATACAGCTACCCAGCATATTTCGGGAAAGCCACGTTCAATAATACTGATAAATGCTGTATTTTTCAATTTGTGAAGTCTTTCTTTTCTTTTGTAGTTGCAGATGACCTGCACCGGGCCTTTTTTCAATTTTGTTGGCGCTGACCCTGATCGCTGACCAACAGAGCTCAAACACAATTGAGCTCAAACACAATTGAGCTGGAAGAGCAAACCAACATAATAACCACGCCCAGACTGTCTAAAAAGAGGAACCTGTCTTGTGATTCTCCGCGTGTTTGCTGGTCGGGCTGTGTACACTGCTCGTGTCATGGAAGTCAAACAAAAGAAGGAGCTGTGAAATGCTGTTTTGCCCTGCAGCCAAGGTGTCGCATCAGCCCAGAATACATACTTGATGACTTCGGTGTCAAGGACAGCAACAAGACACATGCACAGCCCACGCTAAATTGTCAACCCCGCCCACCCAACACCCGGGTCAGTACAGTTGGTTGCCCGAGCTTCAGGGCCGCTCCCAACCTTTTCTAAGCATTTACATTTACAGGCCTCTGCTGCTCTTTCCCCACCATCTCATTCAGCTCGCGAGGGTCGTGATTGAGTCTGCCTCGGCCATTGGTGCAACCAGTGATTCACCCAAGCACAGCACTAACGCCGTTTTGGGCGCGATGTCATGTTTTCTGCAATGCCCTCCATCGACCATTCGCCAGCCGGGGCAGATTCAGCCTCGGAGCTGCTGTAGAGTGCCTTGTCATTGTCATGAGGCTTGCTCGGAAGAGCCGCCGGCGTGTTTTCTCGTCCATTTCTTAGTTCCTCAATCGGGGTGATTCGCTTGTTTGGCGTAGATAGTTTTGCATTTCCTTGGCTCAGTGGCTGCTTTATATCTATGTGTTGTCCGTCTCACAACCACTCCCCTGGAAAATGTTTGAGACACCGTGATGGATTGACCTAGTCGACTCATCTTTGATATACCTATTCGCTTTCTACCTCTTAAAGGCAAGATATTAGGCATCTCACTACTCCATGTCTACTTCCACAGCGACCATCGTCGGAATGGAAGCGGCCACTTCGATGCATACCCGCCTGGAGGGTTATGACGGCTTCTACAGCGACTCATTCTTGACCTTACAAGACTTCGAGGTGAGGAAGAAACCAGTAAACAGCTCCATCAAGGTCAAAGTCGACGCTGTTCCCGAACCTCCTGCCCGTTCTGCCCCTCCTGTTCCTCCTGCTGGAGTCTCCGCCCCGGAAACGAACGTCACCGATGCAAGTAACGATACAACGGACGATGTCGATTGGGAAAAGTACAACCCACCGGCTGCGCTTACGTCTGCACCGAACGTCACCAGCGAAATACTTCTTGAAGTCTTGCAGACCTCTATTGACAACATAAAGGCTAGGATCGCTGAGGACAACAAGCGTCGACAGCTCGAAGAGGAATTAAGAATACGGGAAGCTGAAGAACTTGCTTCTAAAGAAGCCGAAGGCAAGGCAAAAGAGCCGTATCTGCCCATCATCGTACTTCCGGAAGAAGCCGAGGCTTCCGCTTGCCAAAGCAAAGAGAATGATGACGATATCAAGTTGTTTCCGGCGTTTAAGAATAACGGCGAGGGCAGTTCATCACCAGGACTGATTGTATTGCCCATTCGACCCAAGAAGAGGAGCCGGTTCGCTCTGACGAGAATCTTGCAAAAGATGAGTGAAAAGGAGGGAGTCAAGCCTTCGTCCTCGAGGAATCTGTTTCGATTTGGCGGAGATTCTAGCAAAACAAGCATCGAAACGCCGTCTGACGAAAACAAGACATCTCAGAGCAAGCAGAACCATAGTCCTGACGTGTAAGCCCCTCTTTTCCCGACCTCTGGCCCTGTCCTAACTACGAGAAACCTTATAGCGAGTGTGTGTCATGTCTGGACGACTTTGCGCCAAAAGAGACTGTCAAAGTTGTCTGCCACAGCTACTGCCATGACTGCTTTGAGCGTCTCATCGCGACAGCCTGCCAGAACGAACAGCAGTGGCCGCCCAAGTGCTGTCTAAATGACATTCCTTTCCGCACCATTCTGCGTTATGTGTCCAAGGACCTGGGCAAGACTTACAAGGAGCGCTCTGATGAGTGGAAGATTCCCATTGGTGACCGCCTGTATTGTAGCCAGCCAGACTGTAGTCTCTGGATTAAACCGGACCAAGTGAACCCGGGCCTCCGCGTCGCTCGCTGCACCAATGGCCATTGGAGCTGCACCATCTGCCGCGGCCCTCAGCACGATAATTCGAATTGCCCCCAGGACCGAGACATGGCTCTTACCAACGCACTTGCGGAAGAAGAGGGCTGGCAGCACTGCTCTCAGTGCCAGGCGCTCGTCGAGCACCGAGAAGCGTGCCAGCACATGACATGCAGGTGCGGACACCAATTTTGCTATGTTTGCGGGCGGAAGTGGAGATCGTGCAGCTGTACCATGGACCAGCTTACCGCCATCAAGGCTGGGGCTGCTACCAGACGGGAACAGAGGAGGCAGAGAGAGCTCGATGCCGAGGCTGATCTGCGCGACGCTCTGCGCCAGATTGAGGAATTCGAACGCGAGGAGGCGCTGAAGGCGGAACTTCTAAGACAGGAGATGGAGAGGCAAGAGGAGGAGCGTCGGCAGCGCGAACTTGAGGAGAGAGTGCGATTGGAAAGTTTGCGGCGGCACGAAGTTGAGATCAAGTACCAGGAGCTACGAGAGCTGCTTGACCAGCTACATGATTTGCAGGAGGTGATGGTTAGGTACCAGCATGATAAGGAGGTGGAGATCTCGGCACACGAAGCTTCTACCTCAACGGCCGAGCTTCTGGCCAAGCAGGAGGCGGAGCTGGTTGCCTTGGAGGAAAAGGTTACACAGAAAATGGCTGCCAAGGAACAGACTCTCGCCAGCGAATATGGTCGTCGGGTTCTGGAGGAAAAGAACACGGAAGACACGTACCTACGACAGCTGGAGAGCTTCTTTGCTGACAAGCCCTCGAGCGAGGAGCGCATCAACGAACTGATGCGTAACTTTCGTAAAAGGATGGATAAGGGGTGGCGGGCATGGAGCAAGTGGCGGGATGACGAACTCGCCAGATACAGCCTCAAGGTAGAGGAGGAGCGGACGATTCGCGAGGAGGTCATGTATAGTATCAAGCAGCGGCATGAGGAGAATGTGGAGGAGAGCAAGAAGGAGACTACCAGAAGACAAGCAGCGGAGCTGCAGTGGGTGACGCTTGTGGTCGCTGAGAGGGCGCGGCTGCTGGCCGAGATGGAGACCACAGAGCTGGACGATGGAGCAGAAAGCTTCTTCAGTCTCAGCGACGAAGGTGACACGACGGAGGAGACCTCTGCAGGGGCTGCAGCAGCCTCGAGTAGCTCACAAGAGGTCACGCGAGAGAGTTGACAGTTCCAAGGCGACCAAGTCTTGCTAGCTTTGGTCGTCATGATCATAGTCATGAAGCTACAGCAGTACGTATAAATTGTAATTACCAAAACCACATTTAAGACTCAGTGTACAAACTCTTCGACGCCCTCAACTCCGTTGCTTCCCTGTCTTGTAGGCATCACAGACGAATTTGCTCAGCTGCGGGCATCCTCTTATCTTACACTATCTTACATCATCATCATTGCGCCTGATTTGGTTACGAGAAACTCTTCCAGCGTTGTAGCCTTTCCAAAACCGGATCCGCATCCATTGCCGGTGTTTTCGGCGGGCATAGGAGCCTCTGTCACGAGAGAAACCGTGTTCTGTTCAAATCAGTCATTCAGGGGAAGCCCTGTACAGGATGGAGAGCGAAACTCACCATTCCGAGAACCCCAGCGTCTAGCCGCTCAAACACCCTCCGCATTCGGTTAGGATTCTTGGTGAAAACGTAGCCAGCAAGCCCGACTGGTGTGTCGTTTGCCCTCCTCAAAACCTCGTCTTCGGTATCAAATACATACAACCCAAGAACAGGCGCAAACACCTCCTCGCGGCACATGAGCATCGAGTCCTCCATGCCCCCGAGCACCGTTGGCGACATAAAGTACCCGTCACCAAGCTCTCTCCTACCGGTTCCGAGCAACTTCACCGCCCCCTTATCCATGGCGTCCTTGCACAACGCCTCTGCCTTGTACAGCCCACGGATCGTTGTCAGTGGCCCCAGCGTCGATTCTCGTGCCATACCGTGGCCTATCTTCAACTTCTTCGCTTCTGCCACCAGGAACTTTGAAAACGACTCATATGCCCTCCGTTGCACGTAGCACCGGTTCGGTGCAATACAGGCCTGCCCCGCGTGGCGCCATTTCAAAGCTGCGAGTTCCTTGGCGGTGGTCTCCAGATCTGCGTCCTCAAAGACTATGAAGGGACAGTTGCCACCAAGGTCCAGTGACAAGCGCTTCAGATTGCGTGTGCAGGCCGCCGCGACTCGCTTCCCTACGCGCTTGCTCCCCGTGAAGCTAACTGCCTTCACCATGGGGTGCATGCACAGCGCCTCGGCGACGAGGGGAGTGTTGTTTAGACTTGTTGTTATTACGTTAAAGGCGCCGGCAGGAAAACCAGCGCGGTTGGCAAGGCATGCAAGGGCGAGTGCTGTAAGGGGCGTCTCGGATGACGGCTTGACGATGACGGTGCATCCTGCTGCGAGTGCTGCGGCAGCTTTGCGGAGGGTTATGGCGAGGGGAAAGCTCCAGGGAACAAGAGCAAGAACAACCCCAATAGGTTGCTTAAGAACGGCGGAGCTTCTCCCCTGGATAGTGTTCGGCGTCGGCGGATTACTGGTCATGGCCGGCAGAGGGGAATCAGAGGGGAATGGGCCAGGGCTTACTACTTGCTGGAAGCGCTCGGCCTCACCAGCGAACCATCGTACCAGATTAGCACCGTAATTTACCTCCGCCAGTGCCTCTGGAAGAGGCTTTCCCGTCTCGTGAACAAAGATGGTGGCTAGGTCAAGACGAGCGGCGAGAATGAGCTGATGCCACGCTGTCAGGAGGCGAGATCGTTCAGAAGACATAGTATCTGACGAGAAGACCTGGAAAGCGGTGAAAGCAGACTTGACGGTGGGGTTGACGTCGTCTCTATCACAGTCAGGGCACGTTGCCCATACGCGGCCGGTACCTGGGTCGAGAACGGCGAACCGTTTCTTACTGCGGGAGCTAATCCATTTGTTGTGAACATGGCAGTCACGGTTAAGAAGCCCGGCATCTGTGAGGTTGAACGGAAGAGGCGGGCTGTGGAAGATGCTCTCTCTGGTATCGCTGTTGCTCTTGGTTGCAGAGGAGGAGGAGGATGTGGTGGTCGTCGTGATTGAACTTGTCACTGAGGAATCGGCGGCACTAACCATGGTAGGTGAGAAGGAGACTCTCCGTTGATGGGAATAGTCTTCCCGACCAAGTTGCGCAATGGAATGCCTCCGCATCGAAACCCTTTTGCGCAAGAAGGAGTGGAGAAACCTGGGATGTAGTGAAATAGATGCGAGAACGAAGGAACTGGAAACTCAAGAGGTAAGGCGGCAATACGCTGACCTCACGAGCTGCCGCGGGCCACATCGAGAAACTCTCCTTTCTTCCCATGCCGTAGCATCAATGGCAGACTAATAGGCGGCATACTTCGGGGGATATCCGAGGTCGAATGAAATCTGTGAGCTGGCAGCTGGCATGCTTTAGCTCACCTGCAAAAGCGTCATCTGAAGCCAGTAGCGTTGGTGTTGCAGAAAGTCTGTATTCGCTCGGGCCCCTGATGTGTAAGAGGCCCAAGCTTCAAGCTGCTTCCTCCTCTTTCCTGCAGTTTGATGCCGAAACGGGCCGCCCCAGGCTTGCACTCTAGGCACTCTGTGACATGTCCCGACTAATTCAGGCTATTGATCGTCTAGGAGGCCGATGCGGCACAGAAAAACCTTGATTTCATCCGAGCACCGCGAACAGTATGTTCCTAACGGTTATATATTCGGTTCAAGAAGCGGAACCCGTTCGTGGTGATGGAACAGAGGGTGAGATGGGATGATGTAGGTGCTCCGTGGCATCCCCGTCCGAGTCCGAGGGGAAGAGTGATAATAAGAAACGTCAGAATAGCAAGATGACAGCGCTATGTGAACCTAAAGCGAGTTTGCATTTCCATTATAACCTGCCAGATATGTACCATCGCGGTAGTCTTCTCTAACATTTGTAAAAGTGTTGGAACAAATGTCTCTACCACATCTAATAGTAGGACGTGCTTGCGCTCCTATACTCTGGCCTGGACTCAGGGAACCCTCCCGGGGGACCAGCATAACCCTTAGCTTCGTCGTCTGAGCTCAAAGCATCTCCATAGTCATCATTCCTCTCAGGTGGCGCACGCATGGCTTCCAGGATACTTCGATCCAGCGCTGGCGGCTGGTAGGGCTTGAGTGTGTGGATCTCGCGGCCCGAAGGCATTTGAGCCACCAAAGGCCCAACTGGAGGTACAATCTGAACATTCATCTATTAAAAGAGCCTGTGTTAGAGATTTGGCCGTTGGGTGAACTGCATGATTACTTACGGTGTCGTTAAGTTTGTGCCACTTGACTTCCAGGAACTCGATCACCCTTGTCTCCTCGACTTTGCCGCCATCAGCGCCCCATGCCGTTTCCTTTTCCACCTTACGCTCCTCGCGCTTCTCAGTCCATTCCTTCTTGAAGCGGCTGAATCCGGAGCCTTTGGCAGAATACTTGGATTCGATACCCAGTTCCTGTAAGCCAGCCTGCAGCCAGGCAATGGCTGTACCCACCTGGCCACCAATCTCGGCATCGATGCCGAAGAAGCGGCACGCTTTGGCACGGCAGGTTCTGCGGAGGTCTTCAAGATAGCGAAGAAGCCCCTCATTAATTTTGCTGGACCCACGGCCTGCGGCCTGGCAAAGGGACGACGCCTGCGCCGCGTGTTCGGCGGCTGCAAGACACAAGCGGGCGAACAAGTGAGCTCGAACCTTGGGGATTTCAGGAGCCTTGTACATCCACTCGCGATCGTTCTTGTTACGGTCTTGAGCAACTATGGCCGGGTATGGATCATCTTTAAGGACGGCAAGAAGGGTTGCCTCAGCAAGGGCGAGCGATGACATGGCGCGGAGTGTTGAGGGGGAAACATCGCTGCAGGGTGGTGGCGTTTGGATTCTCTCAGCCCGAAGAGCTAGCCAATCGTATATTGACGCGGCATCCAGGAGATATTTGGTTGCGGTCTGGATGGCACCTGTTCGTTGCTGAGCATCCAAGGTTGCCTGTGTTGTAACGAAAAGCGGGTGAAGAGCAGCTCGGGCAATCAGGGTATATGAGTTAGCCAAGGTGGAGAGAGTAAAGGCAATCTCATGGTCAATGGATTGGACTTTCACCCTTGAGCGCTCACGGCCGGGCACTGCATTGTCTGAAAGTGTTGGGCGCCACTCGATTGAAGGCGGGGATGTGGCATTGAGAATGATGCTATCACCAAACTGCGAGTTTGGGCTGAGACCACCGTCAATGGCTAGTACATATGGGATATAGCCATTGAGAGCTCCAATGACGGTGGAGACATGAGATGACTGCGACGTAGGCGGAAGTCGTTTGTGCTTTTTGAGAGCATCTTTGACGACCCCGCGATATGTGCTGGCGCTGAGGGGAAGTGAGGGGTGGGTATCGCTGCTAAAGCTGGAGGAGAATGAGAAGGCCGAGGTTGTGGGGAGGATAAAGGGAAACGGCATATCTGTGGAGAGATAGGATCACCGGTTTAATAAAGGTAAGAAGAAACGATAGCTGTATATATGGATAGATATCCAATTCTAATAGTAACTGAGCCACTAACATGGAAGTTGTCAGTGATGCTGCACCACCCTGTGACGTTAGTTGTCCCGGATTAGCCAATTTGAGGCTAGTCGATTCAACCCCAACTCGGTCACGTGGTTCGAAACAGTATTCTCTTGGCTGATACTCGTAGATGAAAGCTGTAGTTTCTTCCAATGGAGCTAGTTTTGCCTACTTGGTTGGAGCCAAGCTAAAACTCCTGAAGTTTCTTATCCGGAGTTTGCAATGTTTGGACCAATCGAAGTTAGAACTTTGAATATTGTCTTCACTGCAACTGATGGTCTAGTGGGATGACCTAGGTTAACCTATTAAGTCTTAGGAGCATCTCAGTCCAACTCCAACGGGTTGCTTTTATCACGGGGGCCTGGGATCAAAAGGTGTCGGTAATGTTTATCATTAGTGGCATGGGTAATGGAAGCATTGCATATTTACTTTTGTAAAAGAGTTAAGAACTAATAGTCACGGATGAAATCATTGCGAGGAGCAATAGTAAGCACTTAGGCTAGAGGTTCTTTGTGCTAGCGAGTAGCGGGCATGTTCCTGGTGACCCGTGCCTTCTTTTAGCGGCTCGGGATGTGGGGACCTTTCAGCTCAGCACACCAATTCCTCGTTAACGCGACGTGGACCCTTGAATTTAACAACGAACAGTTACCAGGAGCTCGACAGTCAACCCAAAGCCTCCTGGCGACTTCACAATCCCTCACGGCAACTGATGTCGCACCACACGAATCGACCGGACATTGACTGAGTTAAAACTATGGCCAGTCCATCGCCCCACAAGCCCCGGCGCAGGGGAGGAAAAAAGGGCAACGGAAATGGCGGAGGAAGCAACATCAGTACTGGCGACGAAAGCCACACTTCCCGCAAAGAAGCTCTTGTCAGGGTGCCTGTCTTTCCTTTAGCCTCATTCTTGTGGCCTGCGCGAGGCTCTGTGTCAGAATGGGAGGTTCTTCCCTTGATACTCATGGTAGCAGGCCTGTTCAGATGGGCAGCTGGCCTTTGGGGATACTCTGGTATATGCGTCTCCTCATCCGATCCCGATCTATTGTCGGCGGCAACTGCTAACCCATATGCTGCTTACAGGTTTCCAGAAACCGCCGATGTTTGGAGATTATGAAGCGCAAAGACATTGGATGGAGGTCACGACGCAGATTCCTGTCTCCCAATGGTATTTCCATGACCTTCAATGGTGGGGTCTTGACTACCCGCCTCTGACGGCATACCACAGCTGGCTCTGCGGCAAGATCGGAGCCTTGATCGATCCCACCTGGTTCGAGTTGTATACATCTCGCGGATCTGATGACCCTACGCTCAAAATATTCATGCGCGCCACCGTCATCGTCTCCGAATATCTCATCTATATCCCTGCCGTCGTTGTTTTCGTTCGACGCTTCTCTAGACACAGCGGTGTTCCCAGTTGGACAGCTTGGATGGCCCTTGTCGCGATTCTGTTGCAGCCCTCTACCATCCTTATCGACCATGTTCACTTCCAGTACAATACTGTCATGCTTGGCTTTGTGCTGGCAAGCATTTCAAGTATGGTCGCTGGCCGTTACCTCTGGTCGGCAGTTTTCTTTGTTGCGGCTCTGGGCTTCAAACAGATGGCACTCTACTACGCCTTTTCCGTCTTCTCTTTCCTTCTTGGAAGCTGTTTGTTCCCTTTGAGGCCTGGCCGTTTCTTCGGTATTGCTTTGGCAACCGTCGCGGCTTTTGCTCTCCTGATTCTGCCACTGGTTCTGGGCACACTCTATGACGCCCATCGAGGCATCGACGCGCGACCTGACTATGAAGGACCGCCTCCACCTCTGCCTCTATTTCCTTGGGTCACCGACCTTCTCGACACAAATGCTGTTTACTACCCAGTTGTCGAACAGCTCATCCAGATGGTCCACCGTATCTTCCCTTTCGCGCGGGGCCTCTTCGAAGACAAGGTTGCAAACTTCTGGTGCGCCCTCAACGTTGTTATCAAGCTCCGCGATTACCCCCCCGAGCTTCTACAGCGCGGTGCTCTTGTAGCCACGATTGCCTCCATTATCCCGCCAAACTTGATTCTGTTCTTCCGTCCGCGCAAGTCGCTCTTGCCCCTTGCCTTTGCAACGACCGCATGGGGCTTCTTCCTCTTCAGCTACCAAGTTCATGAGAAGAGCGTGTTACTTCCTCTCATGCCCATGACTCTGCTCCTCGCTGGCAAGCAGGGAATGTCGCGGGATATCCGGGCCTGGGTTGGATTTGCTAACATCCTGGGTGCATGGACGATGTTTCCCCTTCTCAAGCGAGTGGATCTCAGCGTACCGTACGCTATCCTCACTCTGCTCTGGGCTTACCTTCTCGGATTGCCGCCAACATCGTTGAGTGCCTATTTCCAAGAGGATCACCCAGCTTGGAGACAATGGTTAACTGTCATCCTTCATGGTGGGTTCTATGTTGCCATGGCCGTTTGGCACGTAGTTGAGAGATCAGTTTTGCCGCCTAAGGACAAGCCCGATCTATGGGTGGTCGCGAATGTCGGTCTTGGCGCGGTGGGTTTCGGCATTTGCTATCTCTGGTGTTTGGTGCAATTGGTTGCGCAAAGCGATATTCTACGCTCTGGTCGCAATACAAAAGGCAAGGCAAAGAGCCAGTAGATAAGGGAAAATTAGCTAGCGATGGCTGTGTATATAAGAGGGACTCTGGTAGCAAGAGTCTGTGTAACAATACAGTATAAAGAAATAACATTTGGACTTGACGTTGGTAGAAGAGGCATGCGCGAGTAGTAGTTGATGAAGACACTTTTTTAAGCCGATACAATGCTAGTCCGCCACCTGGCGATGCGAATGTCTAGGAAGAGCTAATAGAAAACAGGGAATCTCATGAATTTCAACACCATCTAACATCCATCCCTCATCGTGTTTCAAGCTCCAAGATGCAGCTGTCCGTTTTCCTTTCTTTTTTTTAATTACGAAACCTGTACAAACGCCCTCTTCTTGACGGATCGGCTCTCATCACCGTCATCCCAGTTCTCATCGACGTAGTCCTTAACGCTCTTCTCCTGGATCTGCATCCCGACAACCTTGAGCGCGGCAATATTAAAGCCCATCTCGTCTTTCTGGCGTTTCAGCGCGGCGCGCAGGTTAGCGCGGATGCCATCAAGCATGCCGCGCATGGTACGACTGGCTACGATCTGGCGGTGGTGCGTCTTGAGCATGAAGAAGAGGATGCGGCAGGTCAGAGGGATATTCATTGAGCGCTTGGCGAAGATATTAAGAAACGTGAAGAGCATCGGGACCGTGGAGAAGGGGAGGACGAGCAGTGCGTCGTGCAAGGCCGATGCCTTGATACGGCTCAGAACGCTCATGACATGCGCCTCAGCAGTGATGTTACCGAGAGCGATGAAGATAGGGTTGCGCTGCGGGGGAGGGGCATGGGGGTTCGACTTTTTGGCCTCCTCCCACTCCTTGAGCAAGTTCAAATCGGCGATGCCAATCTCTAGGGCCTCAGCGATGCGCTCACCAGCCATGAGGGTCTCGACGGTTTGCTTGGAGGCAGCGCCGACCTCACCATCCTGGTCTTCGGCATCCGGGTCCCGCTCGAGGGAGGTAGTGAGGGTCTTTTCATAGAGCTCCTCAATCTCCTTCTCGCGTTCTTCCTCAAGGAAGATTTGCTCGTCCGTCTCATCCCACACACGGATGGACTTGTCGTGGCCGGCGGTGACAAGGAAGTTGCCGCTATGACCAACAGCCATGGCCCAAACCTCACCATGATGACCATCGAGACGTTGGATCTGCTCGAACTTGTCGCCATCCCAGTACTTGATGCTGCGGTCTTTGCTGCTGCTGAAGAAATGGTGTCCGTTGCCGTCGGAGTTGTGCGGAACAAAGGCCACTTGCAAGATACTGTCCTGGTGACCGAAGAGGGCTTTGTGGCAGTCACCAAAGTCGAGACCCCATATCCTAATGTTCTTATCGGCAGAACTAGTGACGATAAGCTTGCTGTCATACGATATGTCCATGCTCAGGACGGGAAGCTTGTGGCCGTAAAGGTTCAAGTAAAGCTTTAAGCTGTCGGTAAAGAAGACCTTGACGGTGTTGTCAAGCAGTGATACGGCAATGTACTTGGCGTCAGGAGAGTAACGCACGCAGAGGATATCGTCGGACACCTTGAGTGTCCTTGATTGAACGAGCTTCAACTTTGGTGTGGTGCGAGTTGTTCCCAGGACCTCCTCTTGAACAATACGAAAATCCCAGAACTTAGCAGACTTGTCAGCACTGCCAGAAACCACAGATTTACCATCTGGGTGAACTTGTAATGACCAAATAGCTCCTTCGTGTGCAGAGACACTGTCAAGAAGGCTTGCAGAAGCGACATCGAAGAGCTCAAGCTCTCCAGTCTTGGTGCCGACCACAACGACTTTGTCACCCGGCAAGAAGGCGCAACACAGAGCGTAGCCACATTCAAATGTCCGAATGCATGCCTGTGTCCTGATGTTCCAAATTTTGAGGCTGCCGTTGGCAGCAGTAGCAAGCATCTTATCGTCGGAGCTGAGAGACACAGCGCGGATGTCTGTTCTGTGTCCGGGGAGGTCCACCGCCAGCGACCTTGTGTAGTCAGGCTGCTCCTCTTTCTTCGACTTGGAGCCCTCTTTTGTTGGAATACTGTAGTACTCGAGCTGGTTGTTGGTTGTTCCAATCAGGAGGTTGATCTCCTTACTGCCACTGGTGGCAGCCCAGTCTACAGACCGCACTTTGCCGCCCGTGCGGACTATAACGTACTGAACGAAGAAGTCACTGGCTTCGGCACTTGACATATCGTCTGCCTGCTCTTCGCCCTCGGCCACAGCGTCCTCTTCCGCTTTTCCGTCCTTAGTCGCCTTCTCACGTCTCCTCCTCCTCTTCCTTGCCAAAGACTTCTTTACCTCGGTTTCGGACCTTATGCGCCACACTTCAACAGCCTTCTCTGTGCCGTGGACTGCAAAGTAATCGCGACGAGGGTGGAAGACAACCTCAATAGCTTTGTCCTTTTGTTGGCGAAACAAAGTTCCTCTATCGTGGAGGAATTTTGTTGATTGCGGCGCGTCGACCTGTCCCTTCAGGGACGCAAGTCCTACGGTGTCCAAGAACCATACCTTCAATTCTCCGTCGTTTCCGGCCGTAATGCATCCGCTGTAATCAGGAGAAAGGCCCAGAGCCCAGCACTCTCCGTTGGTTTGTGCAATGTGCGTTTCAATGCAGTGTCTCGATGAAAGGTCCCAGAGCTTGATCAAGGAGTCTTTGCCGGTCGTAAGAAGATAACCCTCGGCCGACGGGTCGCTGTCCACCGCCATAGCCTGCGTATTCTCTTCATCCTCGACCTGTGCTTCCGGTTCAACAAACTGGAGTCCAGTGATCTGGTCCTTGTGCCCCCTCAACTTGAACTGGCCAACCTCAGCCACGAGATCCCAAATGATCACATCGGTGTCCTTGGAGCCAGAAGCCAGTCGTACACCAGACTTGTCGAATGCGAGTGTTGTGATTGCAGACTTGTGGCCGTTGAAGTTAACAATCACAGTGGCGATCTTGCTATCCCAAAGACGAATGCTTCCATCTTCGTATCCAACGGCGAAAACATCCTTGTCGACCTTGCTTTGTGAGATGGCAGTGACGGGCACAGTGTTCCTCTCGTCCCTCCAACGATTCACGAGCTCGCCCTTCTTAATGTCCCAACAGAGAACTTCCTCATTTGCGGCTACAATTGCCTGGCCGGCACCACTGCCGGCTCGACCTTGGGCGTTCCAGACGAGGTTCGATGTGTTGGATGCGACAATGCCAAAGGACTTGCTGTGCTCATACTTTCTGTAGTAACAAAGAAGTCAGCTGTTTGTTTGAAAGAGGAGATTTTGGTTGACTTACAAGTATGACTTGACCATTTTTGCGGATTTTTGGCGCCAACAGCCTCGTCAATGCTTTGCGACGGTTGAAGACCATCTTCAAAATCAATCTCCCACCTCGAAGCGGGAAACTTTTTAGATCCTTATCGATAAGCGTAGTGGGAGGCTCGCTCTGATTGGCCAAACAGTTTCACCGAGGACCTACTCCATCCTGGCTTCCATATGTGATGTGGATGTTTCACGTGACTAGGTACGTATTCATCGATGAGCATCTCAGCCACCGAGCTCCGACAGCGACCTCCACGTCAGGCCCCACCACGAGGCATCATCAGCATCTAACGACGCAGCAACATCATAGGAGACTTACGGGCAATTGGCCGCCAACAAGATGCTTCTCCTAGACTATCAGAACGTTCTTATCCAGTCGGTCCTTACCGAGAGGTTCTCTGGGTACGTAGAGTTGTTCTACTAGATTTGCCGCAACAAGAGCTAACTTCCGAGACAGTGCCCCTCCCGTCCATATCGACCAGACCGTCTCCGATTTCGACGGTGTCATCTATCACATCTCTACCCCCGAGACGAAGACCAAAATCCAGCTTTCTATCCAAATAAGATGCTACAAGGACCTCGTGAAGTACGGCGCAGAGCAGGTGCTCCAGAGAGAATATGGACAATACGTGGTGCCGCCTGAGGCTGGTTACGACTTCTCGGTTCAGATTGACCTTGAGAACCTTCCGGCGGAAAAGGGTTAGCGTCATTGGGAACTGAGTAATTGCATTGGCTAACGAAATGTTTAGAGGAGCGAGATGCGCTTATCATGAAGATGGCATTGCTGAAGCGCAACGCCATGGCAGCGCCATTCGAAGCTGCCTACGAGGAGCACTACAAGTTGAAGGAGGAAGCATCCAAGTATACCTCTGAGGAGGCACCTCAGGGAGTACGGGAAGGCGGCGAGGTCATGGCCATTCACTACCGTGAGGAGGAGGCTATTTACGTCAAGGCCAGCCATGACCGTGTCACCGTTATCTTCAGTACCATATTCCGCGAGGAAACCGACCGCGTCTTCGGCAAGATCTTCATCCAAGAATTCGTTGATGCCCGACGGAGAGCTATCCAGAACGCGCCCCAGGTACTCTTCCGGAACGACCCTCCCCTAGAGTTGCAGGGAGTTCCCGGAGTTCGGGACACCGGAACCGGCGAGATTGGATACGTTACGTTTGGTGAGTGGCAGCAATGATGCTAGACCTGTCCTCCTCGAAGCTGATTTATGTAGTTCTGTTCCCCCGTCATCTTACGCCCCAGAGAATGCCCGACGTCATTTCCCACATCCAGACGTTCCGAGACTACTTCCACTATCACATTAAGGCGTCAAAGGCCTATATTCACTCGCGTATGCGCAAGAGGACAGCAGACTTTCTCCAAGGTAAGCCATTGTTCAATTGTGACGAGGTGATACAGCAGCTGACATTGTGTAGTCCTTCGTCGTGCACGACCGGACAGCGAGGAGAAGGAACGCAAGACGGCGAGCGGCCGCACTTTCAAGGTGCAGGGAGCATGAAGTACCTGCAATACTTGTCGTGACACCTTTTCCCGTTGCGTTGTAGGAGACACTGGCTGGAGAGATTCAAAAGGTCTTAATTTCAAAGAACCGCAATATCAATGCAAGCGATGCGGGATGATGCTACTCCAAAGACTGCAGATAATTGTTGGACGTATTCAAGTGACATGCAGCCCGAGGAAAGAGATACAAAATTCGTGAACATGGTTTCGAGGAGTGTGACTTGAAGAAACGTGAAGAGCCTTGGCGGCTGGTATCTCAAACACTTCTCATAGGGTGGCCAACCGGGACGAAGAATGCAAGGGATGACTGAGAATAGGGAGGGCCTCGAGACGGAGCGCGGAGAAACATGTAGCAATTTTGCTGCAGAATGGAACCTTGCGTATGCCAGGTTTGACGACTTCAGGGCGCGGCTCTTTGAGGTGCCGGATCGACGTTCCCACCAGGACACTAGGTGCTAATACCGGTGCTAGGTTCCCACACGTCAGGCACACACGTGCATGTAGAGAGACGAAACGTTGATGTGCATTGGAGTTGCTCTGAATCAGGAATGGGCTTACTGAGTGTGCCGCCCCGAATACGACCCCGTCTGATGTGCAATTTGACAGTGCTGCGGGAAAACCTTGCACAGATTTTTGGATGGAATGACGGGTGGCGTCTTCTTGCATTATACTGAAGTGCATGACGGTTCATCGCTCGTTCCTAAACCTGTCATCGCAATGCCCGAAGTTGTAGAGACGAATTTGGGTTGTTTCGTTTGTGTGGCGAATTACCATTGTATCTGTCTAATCTTAACTGCAGTGCATTGCATCGGGTAGTTATGTAGGAAGAGAGCCCATTGAGTGGAGGGAGCGTGCAGGGGGATCTGCCTTGAACGAGCGTGACGATTTGGATTGCACCTGGCTTCCTTTTGAGCGCGTCGTTTCGAGAGTAGCCAAAACTTGATCCTGCTTGTAGATGTACCTCTTCCTGCATCGCTCATATCCTCTCTTTGTTTCGCGTGAAACCACCAAACTGTTAGAGGAGATGAAGCTGGATGCTTAACAGCTGTTCGAAGGAACCATAGTGGTAGAAAACATGTTTTCATTCATCCCCAGCCAGACTTGGTCCTCCGGCCAACGTCAATAGATTCCTACGTCCTAATCTTGTTTGCGACTAGGCCTCCGAACAGGTCATTGTTCCTGGCTAGAGTCGCGGCAACCCACGTATCCGCATCGTCACTCAAACGCATTTTGATTCTGAGAAGTTGACCACGCTCTTGATTTTAATTTTCGTTGCTAGGTACGCGACGATACGCGATGCCTTATTCACGACAATGAATCCGAACTAGGCAGCCAGTGTACCGTGAATAACTTGCTGTGCACCGAGGATAGTGCTGAAGACTGGGATTACCCCCCACTGGGGATGGCTGTGAGACCAAATGAGTTTGAAGATGGGGCGTTGTAGGCCCCTTATCACGTTGGACGACTGAGCAGACTGGAGCACGTAGGAGGCTTAATCCATGCTGGAGTCCTCAGATACCCTTGCTTGCCTCTGAAGGCCATTAAAGCACGGCAGTCACGGTAGAAGCACAGACGACACCAGTGCTCTGCCCGAGACTCCGGATCATCATACTACTGGATGTGTCGTAGCCCAAAAAAAGTTGCCCCTTAAACTAGCACATGGTTTTCCATGCAAGGCAAATCGGACATCAGCGAACTAGACGGCGATGGGCTAGTTGGTTTGCGACCGGCGTACAGATTCAAATAAAAGCAAAGAAAGGATTGTGGGCAGCCGTTGGGACGGTTGCACTGAAATCGTCGAGCCAATGAATCTCGCACAGCTGAGGTAAGGACCTGACGCTACTGTGAATTAACCTGAGATAGACCAGTCAGGACACGCTATTCCCCCAGTGAACAGTTGCAGCGGTGGTGCACACTGACAGTGGGCCTGACAACTGCTGAGCATGGTCGCCCAATCACAACGCCCCGTCTCCTGAATGGCTTTCCATGGCGTCCCCACCACCCGTCATCTGCTCTGCATTAGGAACGAGGGACGAACGTACACTAAAATGCTGCGGGACTGGCCTGGACCATGGCGCCGTCAATCACCCGCCAGATTGGGAACTGAGAGTATGGAAGGAGAGAACGCCTGTTCCAATGTCTCCGAATCGTTAAACATAGATTTATGTTCTTGCCTCTGTTTCCCCATCCTTCTAATAGGAAGTATAGTGACATGATTTTCAGGGTGTAGTACGGATACGAAAGAAGGTGACGGCTCACAAGTCAACACATTTTTACTCTAGTCGGACTGCCTTCTTGTCACTCTTTAGGTCCCCAGTGCCACGATACCCAGACGCACAACGCCAGCCCCCGGTTTATCCAACAACCACCCCTGCCGGCTGCAGCGCTTGAGGTGAAAGGTGAAAGTGGTTCCAGCGCCGTGCCCAGACTTTAGAGACGGGGGTTGCGGATTCAGAGCAGAGCAGACTGTGACTGAGGGACTTTCTCTTGCTCTGTTTGCTCCTCTTTCTCCCTTCGACGTCGACGACGCACATCTTGACCCCCTTTCCCGAGGTTCCCTTCGTGGAACGTCTCTGTCGCTCATTCCAATCATTGAAACCACGAGTAGGTCAGATTCATGCCGTTTTGATTGCTGACCACCCCTAACCGGTCGTGGCCATCGACTACCAGGACATCATCTGACATTTCCTCTTATCGCAGTCGCCCGTACAAACGGCTATCGTTATTCCTTTTTCTCTTCCTTCGATTCTATTAAGCACCTTATTCACCCGTTTCGCTAGTGGTTCGATCTTTATGCTCAGTTACCTACCCTCTCCTGAAGTTTCGACGGCGCAACTACATCAACAATTGGCAAGACACCGACCGAGGATTTGCAGCAGCACCGTGAGACACGGATCCGCCACTTGTTGGTTTGGAGAACGAAACGAACCAAAGTCAGCTCACAAAGACCCAACGACATTAAGTCCCCTTGAGACCCGTGGAAACCCGACGCCTTGGATTTCAAAACCCGAAATTTGTGGATAACGCCGGTCGTCCGTCTCAGCAACAGTCGTTTGCCGATGCCAACCAGAGCTGTCACTGTTGGAGACCATTAGCTCCTGTGGCGTCACCAGCCTCTGACGATCGCCGTTCTCTTTCTCCTGATCCTTACCAAACTTGCACGGGCAAGTGCTATCACGGTAGACTGAACACAACAGTTGCACAAGGAGTAATCCAACCAACGGTGCTAAATTGTTTTTGAAGCTCGGGACAACCTGTAAAGGATACTTACCACGTACTCAGACCCTTACCTCCATACACTCACTATCACCACTAGTTATTCTTCTCTTTTTTTTTCACCCGTTCTTTTAATCTTCTCACTATTCATTATTATTTCTTATTTCCGACCTCTTATTAGGGTGGGAAAAAAAAGAAAAAAACATCACTCTCCAGACTCAGGATCATTTCAGGTCTGCAGGTTTGCTTTCATCTGCTTACCGGCTTAAGATACTATTAGCATCTATCTGAGCACCTCCAGCAGCCGTGCAGTTTTACCCACACTGCCAAAAAATCTGTCAGTGCATTGATAGAAGGTAGGTACACCCCAACCTCATCACCAATTTCCCTAGCGCAGGTGCAAGTGGGTCCCGCCTTCCATTCTAGCTCCATTTCGCCTGGCGCTCAGCCTCTTTCTCCTCTCCACCTACAAACAACAACGAAAGGCAAGAGCAAAGGGGAAAAGGAGCTCGTCACCACCTTGTCGCCGTTCACGAATGGCTGCAATTCAATTCTAACAGCACTTCTGCACGTCAAACAGGTGACAGAGTATTCACTCTTTTATTTTTCCCGCTCTATTCATCCGACACCATACACTCGTTTATTCTCATTATTCACCACACCCCATTTTTTCGACTCGACCACCTTCTTCCGCTTAATCTCGCTCCCAATTTTTCGACGCGCGCCGCCCCGAACGAATAGACCGACCGACTCAAGAGGATCATTCTTGCGATGGCCAGCGCCCAAAAATAGACTTCATCTTCAAATGCGACGCGAAAGAAGGACCAATTCTACATTTTCGATATCTCTCAACCCTAAAATTTCGATATCAAGCAGTCACACCCACCACCGATCGCCTCACCTGTCGACGAGATAGCAATAACGATGCGTTTACCATTCGACAGGCGGCCGTCGGCACGCCGCCGCCACCGGTCGGATCTCTTTGCGATGACAGCTCTTGCTCCATGCTTAGCGACTGCGATTCAATTCACCCCAGTCCCGGAGGCCAACCTTGACATTTCCCAACTAGGCAGAATCGGCGTGGCAGGTGATTTCAGTGGTATTTCTCTTTACCAGTTCGAGGAACAAAATGAGAAGCCTTACAGCACAAATGGAAGCGAGTCACTGCTCGCTCAGCTGCCAAATGGCGCTTTTGCATCAGTCATTACAACCGATGCCTCGATTCATGACATGTGCACATTCACGCTCAAAAACGGAGAGACTCAGGGAGTGGTAATCGGCGGTAATTTCACGAGCTTGGATGGCATTCAGTCGCAGGGTATTGCCATGTTCAATCCCAACACTACTGAAGTCACCCCCTTGTCCGGGTTGTCAGGCCAGGTTAACGCCCTCCTCTGCGACCAGGAAACCAACACCGTCTATGTGGGAGGTAACTTTCGCGCGGCTAACTCAACCAACGCTATTGCTTGGGTCGGCACTGATGGATGGACAAATCTCCCCTTTGCCGGCTTCAACGGTCCCGTCTCCTCCATCACCAAGGCCTCCAATGGTCATGTAGTCTTTGGTGGTAGCTTCACTGGCTTGGGGAATACCAGCACCCCGAGCACACCGGATGGGCAGGTCATTAACATCTCCAATGCCAACATCACTTCAGCCTCGAGTTCTACCACAACCGGTTTCAGCGACCCTCGCAACATTATTTGCAAGACAAGTGGTATCGATGGAGCGGGCAACACTTGGCTATTAAGTGACAACTCAGCCGGTTTCTGGCAAGCCACTTTTGGTTTTGGCTTCCAGCCAACGAAACTCAGACTCTGGAACACCCGCCAAGATGGCCGTGGAACCAAAACATTTCGCTTCACAGCCTTCCCTCTTGGCGGCATTTTGAACATGACTTACCTGGATCCCGCGACTGGCCGAAACGCTTCTTGCACGAGCGAATGTCCTCTTAGCCATGACGAGAAAGTAACTTTTCAAGACTTCCATTTTGTCAACGTGGTGGGTATGAACTCTTTCAGGATCGACATCTCCGCATTTTACGGATCTGGAGGTGGCTTCAACGGCATCCAGCTCTTTGAGGACGACATTAATTCATATGCTGTCAACGACTTCAACGCCCCATCTTGTGCCGACAGCGACACCAAGTCTTCTTCCTCTGCCACTGGGCCATGGACTGTTTCGCCATCCCAGCAGAGCAGCTCGCAGTATTTGACTGCTAAGCTTTCCGGCACCATCTCAGAGAAGTCTGCCTCTGTTACATTTCTCCCTGACCTGAAGGAGTCGGGCAATTATTCTGTCAACCTGTACACTCCTGGCTGCATCCAAGACGGCACCTGCTCAACTCGAGGACAAGTCAACATCACGGGCGTTATGTCATCCTCGGGGAACGCCAAGTTTACAACTTCTCTTTACCAGACCAACAACTTTGACAAGTACGACCAGATCTATTTCGGATACATCGAAGCAAGCTCAGCGGATGGCTTTCGGCCTAGCGTTACTCTAACCCCTTTGGCCGGTCAGTCGATTGACGAGTTGACTGTTGTAGCTCAGAGGGTCGGTTTCACTCTGATCAACTCAACTGGAGGACTCAATGGCCTGTTCGACTTCGACCCTAAAGCCGTCACTGTAAGCACAGACTTCAAGAGTTCCAAGATCAATCAACTTGGCTCCTCGTTCGCCTCAGGATCTGCCGTTACGAGTCTTTCAACTACCGGCGACTTGGTCATTGTTGGCGGCAACTTTACATCAAAAGACGCGCGCAATGTCATCGGCATTAACACAGCAAACGAGCAAACCATGGCGCTTGACGGCGGCCTCAACGGCGAAGTCGTGTCCATGAAACTAAATGGCACCCAGCTCTTTGTTGGCGGCGAATTCTCTAACACTCTTGACAACGCGGTCTCCGGCCTCAACAACGTCGGCATCTATGACACTTCAGCTAACACCTGGACTGCCCTCGGTGCCGGCGTCAACGGCAAAGTCTATCACGTCGTTCCGATGCTCGTCAATGTCACCAATGAAGCGGAGCCTGAGCCGGTGGTCACATTTACTGGTGACTTCAGTGAGATCAATGCGTTCGGTGATAACAAGGCTATTGCAGTGTCTGGCTTTGCCGTTTGGGTTCCGTCACAGAAGAATTGGTTGCAGAATCTGAGTGGGCCTGTTCCAGCCTTCAGCGGCATCCTGACAACTGGGATTCTCAATCTTCCTAGCGGAGGTTCTATCTATGCAGGATCGATGACTTCTGCTACTATTAGCGCCAATGGCGCTGTTTCCTTCTCCGAGAAATTTGGACAGTTCCCCGTTAAGATTCAATCTCCCTCCTCGAGCTCTGGTACTCTGAGCCGACGCGATTCTGTCTCGAGCGGCAACATTACTGGTGTTGTTACTGGTACCTTTTACAACGAGAAGGGGCGCAATGTTACAATCCTTGGTGGCCACTTCACAGCCGAGGGTGCCAACGGCTCTATGGTCAACAACTTGGTTCTCATTGATGGATCTAACTCAAACACCATCACCGGCCTTGGTTCTCAGATCCAGGACAATTCGACTTTTATTGCTCTAGCCGTCACTGGCGACCTCCTCTTCGCTGGTGGAGACGTGCGTGGTCGAGTTAATGATGTTGACGTGCGAGGTATCATCTCTGTCAACCTTCAAACATCCTCCTTTAACAGCACGCAACCGCCCGGTATCAGCGGAGGAAACGCAACAATCACTGATATTAAAATACGACCTGATTCTGGCGATGTGTACGTTGCTGGCTCGTTTGATTCTGCTGGAGCCTTGGGCTGCCCAGGTGTCTGCTACTACGACCTCTCCCTGGCAGGATGGAACCGACCCGGCGTCAATCTTGAAGGTACTGGCCACACCCTCATTTGGACAAGCAAGTCGCAGCTTGTCGCCGGTGGCAACTTCACCCTCAACGGCACCTCCCCCACCATGCTCGCCATGTACAGTCCTGACCGTCAGGCGTGGTCTGCATACCCTGGAGAAGACGCACTCCCTGGCCCTGTGGAAGTGTTGACAGCGGGATCGCGGGATCGCAATCAATTGTGGGTTTCTGGTACTGCATCTAATGGCTCAATTTACCTGATGAAGTATGACGGCTCTGTCTGGCGCTCAGCTGGCATTACCCTGCTCCCTGGCACTGTTCTCAACAGCCTCCAAGTCTTCTCTCTGACAGAGTCCCACGGTAACACCGACATTCTGGATTCCAACCAAATCTTGATGCTCACAGGATCCATCCACATTCCCGGCTTTGGTACAGCATCGGCCGCCACATTCAACGGCACAACATTCCAGCCCTTCGCTCTCACTATTCATGACGGAAATACCGCAGGATCGATTGCAGGTATCTTCACCGAGAATGAGGACTTCTTTACGGACAATTGTAAGCTTGCCCTTTGATTTTGCGCTATGGATTATTACTGATTTCGTAACAAGCTGGCCATTTGGCCCTGGGTTTTGTTGTCCTCATCGGCCTCGGTATTTCGCTCGCCCTCATCTTCATCATGGTAATTGCTGGTATGGCGCTCGATCGTCTGCGTAAGAAGCGTGAAGGATACACGCCTGCGCCGACATCCATGTTTGATAGGGGCGGGGGTATACAGAAGATTCCACCGCACGAACTCTTTGAATCGCTCGGAAAAGGTCGTCCTGGCGCACCGCATGTATAGCATCTGTGAGGAGCGTTCCGGTTTCGGTCTTTCACCAGGGTTTTGCTTTCCGGCGTTTGGATTGGCATGGCGTGGGAACAGGATATCGTCGCGATTCGACTTTCACTAAGACGGAGTCGTCTTCACAACCAGCACAACTCTCTAACAACATCAAACAATCCGCAGGGGGTTCCGTCTTGTGCGTGATTTGAAGGAGAGCCGTATGGACCGCCTCACCTCGATTTCTCGTTGCATTCGATTCTTCACGACCTTGACGACCTTTGTTTTAATGTCTATATGTTTATTATACCACCATGCGCGCCTAAGCCGCTTTCTTTTCTCGGACACACTCAACAATGTTCTTTTTAGAACATGTACAATACAGTGGATGCAGTTCTGACAACAGGACTTGCATACGCACATACAAAACAATCACTCGGATGCGGCAATCGTCTCTTTTTTTCTTTTTTTTTTTCCTTTTCTCTTCCTTTTTGATATCTAGTAGTCTCTATTGAGGCAGGAAAAGGAGTTTCCGGGGACGGAAGGTGGAAGACGGGAACGGGCTTTTCAGAGTGCTGCCATAGAAAAAGTTGATGGTCTGGAAAGAAGTTTCCGTAGGTCTCGGCCTAGGCATTTTGACTCGGCCGTGAAGACAAAAGTAGCATCAGGTGTTTCGCTAATCAGTTGCGAATATAGTTTAATATCCTGAATCCAAGGACAAGTTTAGCCTGGAATGGTGCTCTGCTGCCCTCTCTCTTCTTCCTGCTACCCCAGATCCCTAACTCATGTTCGTGTCCACGACTCATTCTCGCTTTCGTTCCACCATCTATTTGTGTGCAACGCAATCGGGTGGCTGGCCTTTTCCCCCTGATATGTCTCAGACTACCAAAGTGGCGCCTCGTGTCTCTCACTTTGGATTCTTGTACGACGTTGAGATCGTCAGCATCGCCATCGTTGGCTATGAAGCTGTTTGCGTTTCCATTCACGATAGGACCCTTGGATCGGGATCACCACCCCCTCCCCTCCTCTTAAGTCTATAGTTATTTTCACTTCAAAATGCATGCTTATTCCGTTCCATCTACGTCGTCCACGCCTCCGCCACCTTCCTCACACACCCCCTCCTACCCACCGCCTTGTTTGCAGCAGCAGCATCGTCAAAGGTTGCAGGTGCGTAATATGTGTAATTCTCTTCTGTACAGCACGGCTCCAACCTAGCCAAGCCAGGTCCCGCGTGGAATGTGTCGATAGGGGGGGAGAAAAGCGGACGATCTAATCTAGAGCTAGCAGCAAGGTAAATCGGCCCTTTCCCCCCCGGCGCGCTTGAACAGAAGCGACCCAAAAGACGTTATCCTCACGCGATATGGCTCTATTGTGAGACCCTTCAGAAATCGCCTCACAAGATCTCGACTCGACAATTTCTACGCCTCAGCACGATTTATACAATCTTGACCCGGCTTCGGCGGTAGGGTCAGAATCGAGAACCCCCCCCCCCCCCCCCCATCACCGACCGCCGCAGCTGCTGTTTGCTAGTGCTGCTCATAGCGTCGTTACAAAGAAAAGCCCTGAGACTCAGCAGCTTGTTGTGTCGTTGGACTTGGATGTCACTGGCACTGGCACTGGGCTTAGGGTTTGCTGTTTGAGGCAGGATGTCACCGAACTAACCCTGCTTGTAAATGGCATTGGCGGCGTTGGGTGTCAGAGGGGTCTCACGGGTAAGACACTGCTAGCGATGGCTGGTCGTAACCACATAGACTATAGGACTTGTGAAGCTGTGTCCCGTTGAGCAGAGGGGCAGGCTGTAATACGATGCTCGATGTGGCATGTACATCTCGCTTACAAGTGAGCTGCATCTTCTTCACACAGCCCTGTGGTCCATCATCCTTCATTAGAAACAGGGCACCGGTGGTATCATGTCGCCCGAGCCGCAGGGTCTTCATTTGCGTGGTGTACGAAACCTTCGCGTACAAACAGGTGAAGGTTCTGTGCAGATTTCCTGATTAGGTCTTTCTCCGTCGTCGAGGCTATATTGATCTCATCTCGGCGAAGGGTTCCGGAGGGGCTCCGGAATCTCGACTGGGTTCAGGACAGCCTGCATCAAGTTGAGGCAGCACTCTCCGTGCAGTTAGGCCCATCAGGCGCAAACCGGCAGTGATAGTGGCTGGCTTCATTGGCTAAGGAGAACCCCCTTCACGTGTGGCAAAAAAAGTAAAAAAAAAAGTGACATGATGCACATGGCCAATCCGTATGAAAATGTCGCTCATGGAAAGTAGGCTGGTGGGCTTGTTAGAACATGAGGGTGGACATAGGGTGTGGGTGATGGGTACATTAGAGTGTAAGTATGAAACCTTGATGGTCTGCCCCGGTCCGTTTGCGCAAGGCCGGTTACGGAGCCGTTGTCTGATTTGAGCGGTGAAGGGAAGGGACTGGGTTATTCGGTTTTTGCTGGTATACAACAAGGCTCGGCGATTGGGCACGTGTGGGTTGTCTCAATCGCTGCCTGCGCCTGAATGCCCGCGAATGGCTCACAGATGGGGGAGTAGGAAAGATGGAAGGACGGCAGTTTGTGGTGGCAAGTGAGGGGTAGAAAACTGGCTCTCGAAGGGTTTATTAGCGAGTAATAGGGCATATCTGCCTTGGTTGCGCCGTAGAGACGCAGTAGCTGGGTGCTGTGCAGAGGTGGGTGCAACCGGATGCAAGACAGGCAGTCTGGGTGTGGTGCAGCAGCACACTGCGCACATGTTAGGCATGCGGTAAGTCGTTGCGACGCGTTGCCAATAGAAACCGGGAGACACAGCGTGTTGGACTTGAGCCAGGCTTTTCTCAGGGACAGGGATTTTCTGCAATGATGCCGGGGATGCGTGATATCTCAATGCGAATAAGTGGTTACGGAGGGGGGACCCGAAAAACTTAAGGTGGGAGGAGCAGGGCACTTTGGACAAGGTAACAGGCCAGGGCGGGCGACAGAACGATTCAAGTGCAGCGGGCCACGGCTGGCTGGCAGCGGTACAGGCACTAGGTGACAACCAGTACCCAGGTGCACCAGGTCAGGTCAAGGTCAGGTCAGACAGTGTTGTTTGCATGCCGACGCAATCCACTCGAACCGGGGTACGGAGCGTTTGACTCGGGATTTCCAGAGGATGGAGGGAGGCCGAGAGGCGCGGTGGATTGGACAATGGGAGAGAGAGGAGGGGGCGGCACAAGATGGAATCGGGTTGGTTAAGAGACCGGGGCGTGTCCGCAGTCGGTAGCTGATGTCGAGCAATTATCATGATTTGTAGGAGGGCGTAAACGTAAAGCGCAGAGTGCAGAGGGTGTGGTGAAGGAGAAGGCAGTGCAGCACGGCTGGCGTCTGTTCCGTGTGTGCGTGCGTGTTTGTGTGTGGTGTAAGCTGTCTGGCCTCACGATGATGGTATTTCCCGGCACCTGAATATGGACATCTAACAGAATGCCATGTTTTGGTTTGGTTTGGTCGGAGGGTGTGCCTTTCTTCGTAGTCGTTCTTCCGACGTACATGATAAGTAGACAGGCGCTAGTGCCTATAAAGTAGGGACGAATTACTGGTCCTAGAAGGTGGTCAGCGCATTTGCACGCCCCTCCATTCTGGACAGGGCAAATGGTTGTCGATGTGGTTGTGAGAAGCATGCCTCACCCTTATTTGTAACAAACCATACGTCCCACAGTTTGACCCTACCATTTGGTATTCATCTCAAGAGACGAGGCGACAGAGACACATGGTTGGAGTAAACAGACACGGCCACCCCTGCTGCAGTCGTATGGGGAAGATGCCGGATGGCAGTCGTGTTGATGTAGAAAACCAGATGCCATCATGTTCGGCGGGCCTTGCGGCAGATCTTGTGTTTCGAGATGGGTGGGGCCCAGGAAATAGTGGAGGTGGAAAAGCGAAAAATAGAAACCGTAAAAAATGTTCCTGCCCATCCCTCCCTTCCAGTTTGATGAGATGGAATGCGCGCGCAGGGAACATGAAACTTCGGTAAAGGGAACGGAGGATGCCTACGCCGTAAATTCTCTTCGTCCCGCGGCTTTTTTCAGTGGGCCACCAACTGCCATCTTGCCCCTAAGCTACAGCGCTAATTGCCTTGAACATTGCCTGCAACTTTAGGGAAGTTTTTGCCCCCTACCGCCTATGAGAGGGGCGGGGGACAGACATGCAGCTACAAGTAGTCGCAGGGCATGACCAAATTTCAATGTCCGCTGCTGAGTGCCTCACGTAGTTCTACCATGTACCCGTACTTGCTTAACCCAATGTGGCCGCTGGATTCCTCTATGGTCTTAGCTTACCCGGTAACGTACACTAGACAGAGGCCGGTGGTGTGTCTGTAACTGCAGCGTATCTAACGCAAGTATCGGATACATATTCCCCTCAGAAGCTCCCAGAGGTTAGGTGCTGCGCTGGCGACCATTCAGACACGCCGGACCCCAAGGCGGCCGTGGCACAATGACGTTTGCGGTTGCCGATTGCTACAGGGAATACCGCTGAGTCCTTATCCCCGCCTATGACCCACATGTGCAGCCACTGACGTCATCAAATCCAGGATGTTAATTCTAACGACGAACCACAATGGCATCCACCTCCAATGGTTTGCCCTCCACTCCCTCCTCATTTGTGTTTTTTGTGTTCCTTGCGTGCATTACCGGGTGTGCCTGCCGATTGGGGAGAAGAGGAGCCCCGTTGCGTTGTTTACCAACACTGTACTAGTAGACTCACGCAGGTAGTTGAATTGATTACTACTATTATTGTCACTACACTAGCATCATTTTTTCCCTCCTCTTCATTACCAATTACCTCACTCTACCAAGAAACCGGCGGTGTGTTTTGGAAAGTGACGATGCCTTGCATCGTCGGCGGAGGAGCGGGTGATGTCCTCATGCAGTCACCGAGATGGGGAATTCCTCTTATCTTGTATGTATCCGTCCGGATACCTTAGTATCTAGACCAGGGTGGGAAATCCCAACCAAGGTCCTTCCGCTGTGGCCTTGTAGCGACAGACTGGGTAGGGAGGAGTAGCTTGCTCTTACGATTACTTCCTCTGTCTAATCTATTGCGCACCATACCTACCTACTTTTTAACTGGACAATAACTAGCTACATCATGGATACTTCGGGGGGTAGTAGCAGGACCAGCACCCAGTTGGGCGCGAATAGGAAGCGCGGGCGTGGGTGGGAAGATATCCCACTCCATCCCAAATTCTTTCCTCTGCTCACCCCCTCCGCCTTGTTGAAGCCATTCAGGGTTCGACGTCTTGTCCCTGTGGCGAGAAAGATACACCCAGCAGGGACAAAGCATGCGCAAACCACCGCGAGACATGAATGGCATCACATCTATTTCCCAATCATGCAAAGCGCCTCTCTTGAGTCGATTCGGCGGAGTTGCGCGTCAACGCCTGCTTGTGCCCTTTCCCCGTCAGAGATTTAGTCCGGGGTGGGCGTTCGCTTCCACAATTCCCTACGAACAGCAGAAAGACCCTGAAGATCTCATCTCTCGAGGCGTCTGCCTCGCCCCAACCTAACGCTGGGGCTGCGTGCAGCTAGCCATGCTAGCGCCGCCGCCTGTTGGCTGTTTGCGACCATCCGTATCATTCCCCGGCCGCCAAATGGTCCGCCACGGGCGCCGCTGCGGTGCGGTGCGATTCCGTACCGCTGCAGTTGCACACCGCACCTGGCTTTGACGTGGGACTTACATGCTGCACCTAGCGAATAGTGAAGCATAGAGCACTCTTGTTCTTACTCCGTCCTCCACACACAGGCACTAAATCGCCTACCCACCCACACTACCAGTGCCTCAATAACCGCTTCCAATGAAGACACAGCCTGGGGCCGTCGTGTACAACTTGAAGAAAAGCAAAGCTCGCACTACCCCGTCAATGACGTTGCCGGTAGCAGGGGCGCTTACAAGCTTTTGCGCGTTGAATTCACATTCCACCTTGTATGTTTACGGATATCCAGGCTGGTGGCTATTAGTTCCTGAGCGCTCTCTAAGCAGTTCTAGGACGAGTCTAGCACTCTTGCCAGTTGGCGGCTGTTTTGATACTGCCACCAAGCAGTAGCCTGTTCAACGGCGTCACTTCTGAAGGGGGCCCTGGAGTTCAACTATTAAGACGACCACGATGCCATATACAGTACAATATAACTTGCTCCATTCTTTAACCCTCGCCCCTTCCAAGTTTTTGGAAATCAAAGCGCCATCGAGGCGGCGTCTTCACACCACTATGGCGCTCTCACTCGCCTTGGAAGGAATGGCAGGATTAGCCCTGACATGTATTCTGTGCCCTTTCCAATGGCTGACTAGGGAAGGTTCGCCTCGCCTCCCCGCCTCGCTTGTTGCCCGTGACCAGCGGCTGACCAGCCATGGTGGACAGTCAAGGTTGGGATGGCATTAGCCATGACCATGGATTGCCCAAAGAGAGAGTCTGAAGAGAGTTGATGCCGTTACTAAATTCTGTTCCCCGTCGAATCGGGTGTGTCGCAAGGGTGCTCGTTAGTCAGACCCTGGATCGTTGCTGCCTTTCGCGACCTCTGAATCCAGTATATTGCGGCTTGCTTGTGATGGGTGTAACCTTACCATGCTCCTCAAGGATCGATACAGTGCAATAAGACGTTTCCTGGTGGAGCACCTGTGTTAGGGCCGTCGCCGTTGCCAGGAGCCCTCGCAGACCGACCGTCCAAAACCGAACCAAACGTCGACTGTATGGGGCCATTATGGGCAAATGCGTGCGTGTGTCTGCTCCATAACGAGCTTGGCCCATGACGGGGGCAAGCATCACTGCCATTTCACTTTGCCTGAGGCATCACTGGCTGTGTACCCGAGCACAGCCCACAGTTCAGACTTCGACAGCATTAGGATCCATATGCCCCAAAGCCCGCCCCATCAAAGCAGATTCGTCCAATCATTTCCCTCCAACCCACTACCAAAGCTTGATAGAAGCTTGACTTCTCGCTGCACCTCGAGCAGGAAATGATCAGAGGCCCTGCTCTATCCAGCGCACAGCTGCCCACTACCTCGACGCGTGCCACTGTGGAGGGCCGGCAGGTTGCTGAAACACATATCTCCACTTTTCCCTTCATCTTTTGGTTGCGCCAAAGTTGGATCCTGTCGTCTTCCGTCCCGCCCAGGGCTGGGGGCAACGCAATCGGATGCTCAGAACGACCACTCTACTGTTACGGGTACGGATACACGCGATCGAGCTCTCCACCCCTGACAGACCACGCTCTCCGATACTTACTCCGTACGAAAGAAAACTTGCCCATGACATTCCCACTTTTTTTTTTCTCAAATCAGCCATCAACATGTCACCTCTACACTAAACCAACTACTAAGCCTACCTTAGACCTAGACAAAAAGGCGAGGCTTAGTTGACACGGCTGAACATTCCAGTAGGGTTTTTTGACTTGCCATATTATCCACCGGTCCTTCTGCCTCATCTTGCTTGCCTTGGCTGAGCATGCACACAAGTCAGTACCAGATCCGCCGTCTCCATTTATAACGGTTCCAATATCGTCATCCCCAGCAAAACCCACCTCAGCAAAATCCAATCCTGCGGAGCCTCCCTTCCTTGCCTGTCCCCGCATTTCCAAACACCCTTGTCCCTCGTTCGGAATCACAAGTCTCTAGTGCAATGTCTTCAAATCTCAAAGCAATCTTTCGTCCCATCTTGACGGGGCAACTTGCTCAGTCCTATCCTCTCCCCTCTCAAGCCTCCCAGGTGCCCCACCAGCTGTCAGTCTCCCGAACCCGCATCATGACCTACACTACACGCTGCGCGATCTCCCTTTCCCCTTCTCTTCTTGGTTCTGCCGCCCCTACCTTACTTACCTCAACGCACCCTCCCCATGGCTCGTTCTACATTAGCTTCAACGGATGGATGTACAATATAGGAATTAGTGTCGGCCTTGCGGCAAAATGGTAGATTGTCCTTCTAGTGCCACATTGGCTGGTCGGTTTTGCACCACCCGCTTACAGCACTAGTTGCTAGCTTCTTTCGTTTCGTCCAAAGGCTCCGTCATCATCACCATCACCGTCCAGCGAATTTAGCCTAGTGTCATCTTAGTCCGATCTACCTACTCGCACTCCATGAGCTACGTAAGCCTGTACCCATTCGCTAAGCGGTGTGCCCTCTCCATCAGCTCGCAACTAACAAGCTATCCTACGTTAACTTGGCGCTCTATTTCTTTCCGTTAGCCTCATTCCTGGGCCTACCCCCCGAAACACTAAATTATGGGAAGGAAGACTGGCGAGTCAGCCCTCTTCTTGTTCCGCCCTGCTGTAGTCGCCGCACTCGATTCAGTGTTGCCGCAACGGCGCCAGGAAGGGAAGAGAGAGGAAAAAAAAAACACCCCGCCGATTGTGTCTCCGGACCGGCAGGCTTTTGATGCGGGCAGCGCAACGTCGTGTATGCCCCAGAACCTCCACCTGAATGACTCTGGCCTCCGCTCTGCTTTCCCTCCGTCCCCACGTCCAAACTGCAGAACAGACCGGCTTGAGACTCTGGAACTGTGGAGGGGGACGATCTCGTCTGTCTGTGTGTCTAGGAACAGATGCGAGTGCCTAGCTTAGCATGCGTGCGTCCCCGCGTACCGAACGCAACAGCGCTGATCGCTGACCACGCGGTAACTCCTCCCCCTATCCATCTCTTCACATGAACACACAAGAGGTAACGCTGCACCATCACCCAACCGACCCCCTTCCTCTCCTACAAGAGATCGACACGGCGTCTTTCCCCTTTCCCTGCCGGCCGCCCCGTTAATATGAACCACTCGTTCATGGCGTTCCCAGGTTCCGTAACAGAAAAGGAGTTTAAACTTATCCCTTCCATTGGGTTGGCATGCTCCAAGTAGTATTGTATATGCCTTTGTTTCCCTATCTTTTTAAGTGTTGGGCTGCACACCACATCACGGTATCAGCCGGCCATGCCGATATGAGAGGTCAGGGAGCAAGGCGTGACTGACGAACCGCCATGCCTGTCCGGCCTCACATCAGAACACCAACCATGTCCGTTGACCAGAACATATCATTGCCCCGAATGGATCAAAACGACGGGCAGCGCATGGGTGGGTGGCAAGGTCGGTGGAAGCCGAACGTCCAGAAAATCACAATTGCGGAGAGATGGACGTACGTACTTGTGTGCGCGCTCTCCCCCTCACTTTCATACTTGATCGAGCATGATGATGAGTGAGGCATATGATCGATCCCTCCCCCCCCTGCTTCTGACTAAGAGGCTGGGAAATACATTTTCATCAAGTTTCCCATCTCGATGTCTACGAAATATAGGCCTTTCCTCTATGACATGCGGTTGTACCTGGACCCTTTCCCACACCCCCTTTTTCTAGTCCCATCTATCTGATGCTCGTGTAAGCTGCAACTAATCGATCGGACCTCCAATACCCATCGTTCCTGCCTAGACAGGCACGCATGGGGGGTAATTCCTTTAAGCGCAAAGACTTCCTGCTACGCTCAAACTTGTGGATCACGGAGACAAAGGCCGGGTGGTCTGATGTTTTTATCTTGATTGTCGATCTCCCAGCTGTCACCCAACACCTACCTTCTATCCTACCCAACTCTATAGGACTTATTTTTCGTCATTTTCAAGGGGTTTGGGTGGACCCGGATAAGAAGAGAGGGCAAATGGATGGAAGGATGACTGAACACCGCAGGTGTCGTTGCCAAGAAGTTTTAGTGTTGAAATGCTTTCTAACTTTGTTCACACTACTATTATATTATACTATTCGCGACAATATATACGCTTCGTTCATGTCCAATAATAACCACCCAACCTGGTCCCAGCCCCCCCTCCACCCACGTGCCCGCCTCGCTGCTGTGTCCAACTAAGCCTTATTCTCACAAATCCCGTGAGCCCGTTGTATAGTTGAAGCAGTAGCAGAGCACATTTACCAACGGAAAAACCCAAACAATGCAGACTAAGATGCTCGAGGCATGTAGCGTGATGGGTATAATCATCGTGTGTGAAAACTAGTAGTACAGGTCGCCCTCCAAACCTCTTGTTTTCTTTCAAGAGGTGTATGGATGGGTCGAGGTTTGTGTGAGGCACACGGCCTCTTGTTCGTCATCTAAGCTGCACCCCTTGGTAAGCAACAAAATGCCCGGGCATCAAAACATAAAGGAAAAGAACATGACAACTGCGCAATAAGATAAGCAGATAGGAAAAACAGGAGAAGCTGCAACAATAAGAATGAGCCCAATGTCCGTTCAACGCCAAGGGTGAGGGTATCGCCAGGCCCTCCGTGACCATTTGGAGATCTTCTTCCTCTTTCGAACATCTCTGACAGCTGAAATGCACAAAAACGTGGCTAGCCTAGCCACCAACCTTTGCCATCCTAGGAGAAGCGGGTGTTGTGTGTGTCGAGTGATCGACATTGAGGTGAATCCTACTCATCCCTCCTCTTTCCATACCCTCCCCTTTTTTTTTTCTCTTTGTGCGTCGCCAAAATGATAGGCATACTGATTTTCCTCCCCGCCTCCGAGTCTCCTGACCCAGACTCGTTGCTAGAGAGTCGATAACAAAAACAGAAAATGATGGAGTAATGGTTTGTCCAACATATCATGAGACACCCTTTATGACGTTGAACCGAAGTGACAACCCGCCCACCAGTTCCTTTGCCGCCGCCTGACTTTTGTCTTTGTCTCTTTCGCTCGCAGATAGATGGATATTAAACGAGGGTAGAGAAAGGTATCATGTAAACAAGCGCGAGAAAAACCAGAAAAAAAAATGACAATGCGAACCGTCTAAAATATCCCAGTTGTCGTGCCACTCAACGAAGTGGAGGATATGGGGGAAGTATCAGGGGATGATCATGACTCGAACCGGAAAAAAATCGTGATCTCGTACTAGCCCTGCTCGCTGCAGACCATCTCGACGTTTTGAAGTTGCTTTTGAAGGCATGGTTTCTGCTACTCTGGGCATGCCGGTATGAAAGAGCAAGACTCTTCGGCCTTTAATGGGTGTGCTGTTCTTTAGTCAGAGTGATGATCCTCAGATCCCGCCTCTGACCTAGCATCGCCCTTGTGCACCTTCTTGTGACGTCTGAGATTCGATACAACAGAGAAATGACGGCCACAGCCTTCAACCTCACAAGCAAATGCTACAGAAAAAAAGTCAGTACAAGATGAACCGAAAAGAGCCTATTAAGGCCACGAAATAAGAGTCTTACGCTTCTCGCCGGTGTGGCTGTACATGTGTGTCTGAAGGGACGAGGGCCGGGTGAAGCGCTTGTCGCAAACCTTGCACTTATGCTTCTTTTGTGTGCTCGACGATACCTTTGAGCTAAATTGACCCATCATAGATTGAGGTGCTGGGGGAACCTGAGGTGCCATGAGACCGTGGGGGCGAGGCAACGTGCGGGAGGTGACAGACTCAATGTCAGACCCAGCGGTAGAGTAATCACTAACAGAGTCGGCGCCGTAGTAGTTGCCGAATCCAGAAGCGGATGAGACGGAGGAGCTGGTGGAGTGCGTGGAGGGGAAGCCGTAGGAGTCACCGGAGCCGCGGTCACTGCGTGCACCGTAAATATTGCGCGGGGTCTCTTGGCTCATGGCAAGCATGCCGTGGCTCGCGTCAAGAGCGTCTGCAAAGCTCCTTCGGTCATCGTGTTGGAGTCCTCTGTTGTTAAAGTCAATCATTGAGTTTCGATGGGGCCGGGCCAGTACATTGGGGTCTGGTACGTTCACCAGAGAAGTTGAGGGTACTGACGAGTGAGAAAATCTCCTAGAGTGCTCGGGTTCAGGGGCGAGAGCGAAGGTAGAGCGCATGGGAGCTGGGGCGTATCCCATAGTCTCGTAAGGAGTTGGCGAAGCGGTATATGAACCGTTAACGGGGGAGGCTGCCGTCGCATAGGGAGCGTCGCCATAGGCAGGGGCCGAAGTGGCAGCCATGCGGTTGATACTGAGAAGATCTTGGGGAACGGTGAGTAAGTCCGTCCTAGGCAGAGGGTCTGCCATGGGGAGGCTACCTGCTGAAGCTGCTGTCACGGGGATCTGGCCATAAGAACCCATAGACGAGGCATTACTGCTGGTGCTAGTCCGAGCAGTATGTGACCTGTCTAGACCCAAACCCGAGCCAAGGCCATGACCGTGGCCGACCGCGTACAAGCCATTGGGCGCTTGGGGCGACGACGTGGTGTTGCCCCAGGGGTTTGAGAACTGGGGAGAAGTCGAAGAGGTTGCGTAGGAAGACATATGGTCGAAGGTGTTCAAGGGTCCGAATCGCTGCTGGGAGTCTAATGTCATAGTCATGATCGGTGATGTTTGATGAGATGGGATGACGAGGTGTCCGTCAACAAAGGTTCGTTGGGATAGTGTTCGCTGATCAGATGCGAGTGTCCGACAATGAAGTAAAGAGACAAGTCGTGACACAGATCAGATAGAACTGGATGATCCCGTGGGAGTTGAACAGTTGAGGATGGGGGATCAGCGAGGTTTAAGTGTGTGCCTGTGGACTACTGACACACGACTATTTGAACCAGTTGAGAGCTGAGACCAATCGTTTGGGCCGACCAGGTAAGAGTCGTATGAAGCTTGTTGCACAGTGGTCAGCGAGACATGGGAGGAGTGTGGAGACCCCTTCTCTGCAGATAGCTGTGACGACTCCGACTCAGAGTGATCGACAACGCCAATATCCCGTGGGAAAGAGGCCGAGGTGGACAGGGTTGGGGGCGATTAAGTAGGGTTGCAGGCTGGTTCAGATTGAGACCAGGGGGGCAGGCTGAGGAGGAGGAGGAGCCTAAGGAGGGACAACCAGGCGGTGGATTGAGCGAGAGCGGAGCGGACGCACGGTAGTGCGTAGCGTGAAGAGAAGAGATGGTGGCCCAATTTTTGACAAGGCGACCAGGAAGAAAGGAGACCTGGAGTATAGCCAGGGACAAGTCGAAATGGATGGAGGATCTGCGGCGTCGAGGACAGTCTGGTGAAAAGTCTCGAGGTCAATTGGGGCAGCCGTGACAAGGACCCCAGGTGTCGAGTTTGCGGTGTAATGCGAGGACAGATGGCCGTGGGGTATAGACGACTAAGTTTTTGTCCCTTTTTTTGCACCGGGAAGTTTGAGCAATGGTGTTCCTTGGTGTTGGGAATTGTTGCTTCTTTTTTTGGGTTGATGCTGCCGCGAAGTCTTGCGATGAGACGATGAAGCAAGGCGAACAGGGCGGGCAGGGCGAAGCAAAGAAGGCGGAGCGCGTCTAAGGACGTTGTGTGCTACTCGGTGCGGTTTGAGGTTGGTTAATGGAGCTTGATGATCTCAGATGATGAGCGTTCGGAAAATTGGGTCAGAATTGTAGGAGGTCGAGGATGATGGGGAGGCGAGGGAACAACGCTTTTACATCTGGTGGTTCCGGGTTGGGAAGGAGAGACACAGATGAAGCTATGATGTCGGTTTACTTGGTGGTATAGGACGCTGTGTGGAGCAACAAGAGAAAGGGTGGGGTGTGAGAAATGGGTGGAGGGGAGGGGTGGGATGGGAAATGAGAGGGAAAAGAAGGCAAAGAGAAGAAGGGTTCATTCAGGGTAGGGTCTCGTTAGCCAGGATGGGATGGGGGTTCACTTTGGGGCGGCGGGGAGGAGGGAAAGCAGAAAGGAAAAAGAGAGGGGGGGCAGGGGCCAGGTGAAGTGGCACTCGGACACAGCGAGTGAGAGAGCAGACAGCACTCAAAATCGGAGGGAGCTCAGTGGAAAGGAACTTGGCGTAGCCGGTACAGCCAAGGTACCGGACCAGACGGGACCGACTCCTAGTATAAGCACGGCTGGCACAAGGACAAACTAGTCCTGGTAAGGTACCGACTACTGACCAATGTACGGAGTACCTGTGTCACTTACTACCTATACTAGGTAGGACCTTAAGGTATGGCTAGTAGCAGGCGCAAGAACTTGCCTCTCATCACTGCTTTCGTGCTCTTTCCTTGCTACACCACGTAGGGCAAAGTCCAAGCCCAGAAGCCGGCGGTAGCTGGCTTTCCCGCTCGCCATTGCCTTCAACGCAATGCCATGGAGGGGAACTCAGTCCTCCCACCTGCCAAGCCGAGCCCTCTATACCGCCCTAGATTAGCGTTGAGGTCGTGAAGGTTGAGGTAACGTAGGATATCTTTCCCCCTACGCTTAGGTTTAGAGGTAGGGGCACCAAGGGCACGCAGATACTTATCCACCCGCTCTCTTTTCGGGCAAGAAGTACTAGAAGTAACATCAAAAACGCCACTGATGATGGGCTGGCACAGACACGGCACGGGAGGGGGCAGAGCTTGTCGGTGGGCGGACTCCTTTCCTGCGCACCTACAATCCCAGGTATTAGTTTGAAAGTGAGAGGGGTGTGCTATTTTTCGCCCCCCCCCCCCTCCCAAAGATGATGTCTTTTTCGACAGGAGGGCGCCCCAAACCGAAGTGATCAATCGCGAGTGGGATATGCAGGGTCCTTGCAAAAGGCATCCAAGTGCTTTCCCCTCAGTCCGTCAGACTAGATACGTAGCCGAGCATCATGTCATCAGATTCAGACTTCTGTGGGCTTGACTCGGAATTGGACTCATTCACTCGCCGCAAGCGACCCCCTGAGCCAGGTTAAGAAAGGTACTCGAGTACCTTATTTTGACCGTAAAAGGGTGGATGCTTTTCTTCCCAAGTAGAGAGGTATAGTCATTCCGGTTCACGTAATCGGACTGGTACAATCAACTCGACAACGATTCCCAGATGCGTGACGACAGTGGCCTCTGTGTCTGGCTCGAAAGGATGATGCGATAGCGTTAGTGTGGGTTTCCACCCAGCTCGTGTGATGGTATCGGAACTCTGCACTCGGAAAGTACCAGGACAACGCAAAAGTAAAAAGAGTGGAGGGGCAGACCATAGTAAACGCACCTGAGTTGTGAAAAGGTCTGGAGGGGAGCGTGACTGGAGCATTATCGCATGCTCAAGTTGAGGTACCGTGACCATCTATCAGTAGCCACCAAGTGCCAGTGAGTGTCCACTATCTCCTCGTCATCTTTTTCCTTCTTTCCCTCGCCTTCATTGTGAAAAGTATTTTGTAGTCACTTCATCGTGGTGCGCAGCTACTATGTACGTTCGCTCCGGATGCGCCCACCTATGGCATCCAAACGATGTCAACGGCATCCTTGCGGAGCCAGCAAAACTACCAGGAAGAAGGGGGGCGCTTAGAAAGGAAGGCGTGCAGAGGGAAGGACAGGTAGGGTTGAGCTATGAAGAAAGGCGCAAGAAAGACAAGTGGATCGCAGTACAGTACTGGCTGAAGGTACTGAATACTTTTTTTTCTTTTTTTCTTTTTTTTTATCGCTCCTTTGGGGCCCATCCTGCCCACCACGAAGAAATAAGCAACCGCATGCTGATGTCGATGAGTACGCCAAGAAATACCTCTGCTTGATGGGTTCTGGGCAGAGGCCCTGACAGTAGGGTGTGAATGTGGACAAGGAAAATGGGCGTGTTGTTAGTGCCAGCGGACCCTGGTGTCTTCTCAACTGCACCACTGACGTAAGGCAAGTCGATGTACTGTTGCGTTTCGAGCAGGGGTGTGCAAGATTGAAACAACCTCCACAGTGCCCACCCGGAAACTGCTGTCATCAACTGGCAGGGGAAAGGGCAGGGGCCCGGGGGGGGGGCTCTTTGGAATTGAGTCCTTGGAGGTGGGAGCGCCGAACAATTGAAGGTAATGGAGCAAGTACGAGTGGAGGGAGGCGGATGGGGGTATAATAGGAGGGGAGCCACTAATTCACTCGGGAAAAAGCTGCAGGGCAAGGACAGGAGAGAAAGAGACGAAAGGCCCTGCCTTACAATACGTTCCCTTGCCCTGTACGCTGCCCCATCCTTCTTCTCTTCCCTTTCCTTTTGGAGGGGAAATGACATGGGGCATCCACAGATGAGAGCGGGCGGCCTTGAATGAGAGGGTGTTGCTGGACCACATCGCAACCGTGGCTTTGGGCAGCAAGAATGGACGGCCGCGTACAGACCGGCTCGACATTGTCGTCATATCACGGCATCTCTGATACGTTGACATCCCATGACAGCAGCTCATCCCACCTACGAAATATACACTTCATTGTCTACTTGTGGGACATCAATTGCCAATTTCTCTGACGTCCGTCCCCTGGAGCGAGATATGGACTTCGGGATTGGACAAAGGTCACCTCGTCCCCATGGCCCATCCCATCGACAACGGCCCCTGAGCCTCAGATGGCGGAGGCATTGGCCAATCTAACACCCTATGCGCAGCCCCGTGCTATGTACACAATGTGGACGAAAGAAAGGAGAGGCACCATGCATCAATTTTGCAATACTCGATCCTGGTGATTTTATTTCCTGCTGCGGCTACTTGAGCCAATTCATCCGTTCAACATTTCGTCAATGTTTGAGAGAACGTGTTGTGGTATATGCCATGCCACTTATCGCTGCAAGGGTACTTGGGTCTACGTTTAGGTCTAGCGTTGTAGCCTGCACGTAGACATCAGACGGGGTCCCTGGTGGCAAAAATTTCAGCGGGTTGACATCAAAACCCGCCATGAAAAGATATGCGCCGACTATGCTCAAACGTCAGCATCGATTCCTGCTAAATGTGCGGACGCACGAACACAAGTACAGAGGTAGCGTGTATGACGCAAATGCCAGCCTCTACCAGACGATGCAGCCACAGGGACGGAGCCTAAGTAAGGATGGTGGCCCATCGTTCCTGTGTTGTTTGGATCAGAGTATCTCTACATTCTACCATACATAGTAGTGTGTGACCGTCGAAAAGGTAAACGGGGGTCGAATGCGCAAAGTCGATGGGGTGTGATGCCGTCCGTGAGGTCAGTGGGTGTCAACTGACGTAGTGAGCCTCTCCTTGTCAGCTTCCATAGGATCAGGATCCCTTTTCCCCAAGGTTGCGACTCAGGGAGGACTAGGACAGGAGCAGTATTACTGCCAGCCCGTCCTGGCTTTTTTTTTTTTTTTTTTCTCACTTGCGCCCGTATATGGTTGTTGTTCAACCAGCCAAGCATTGCTAGTCACTATTTGGGAGAGAGTAAAAAATTTTCAAAAAAAAAAAAAAAACAGCCCAGCTATTGCATCAACGATCTGGGGTACCCTCGATTGACTGTGCCCCTCATCTACCCTCAACCATCTTACAAGGTGGAGATGTTGCTATTCATTCAGAATCCCATACGCACCACATGTCTCCCTCCTTCGCCCTGGACAGATTCGCCTGATCTGGGTAAGTGAACGACAACGAGATCTTCTTTCCTCACGTGCTGGGCCTAAAAAGTGTCCGTACC